GGCACCGGGAGGGCAACCGGGGGGCACCGGGAGCGGCCACGAGAGGTGGGCACGGGGGCACCGGGAGGCACCGAGGGGCACCGGGAGGCACCGGAGGGCACCGGGAGCGGCCACGAGAGGTGGGCACGGGGGGCACCTGGAGGCAACGGGGGGCACCGGGAGGCACCGGGGGACACCGGGGGGCACCGGGAGGCACCGGGGGACACCGGGGGGCACCGGGAGCGGCCACGAGAGGTGGGCACGGGGAGCACCGGGAGGCACCGGGAGGCACCGGGGGGCACCGGGGAGCACCGGGAGGCACCAGGGGGCACCAGGAGGCACCGGGAGGCACCGGGGGGCACCGGGAGCGGCCACGAGAGGTGGGCACGGGGGGCACCGGGAGGCACCGGGGGGCACCGGGGGGCACCGGGAGGCACCGGGGTGTAATTCTCCTCCCGGCCGCCAGGCGGCGCAGCGCGCTGTTCCGGCACCTCGCCCGCCAGGCCTCGCTGCTGCACACGAGCCGCTCGCTGACGTCACTGAGCCGCTCGCTCTCCTCCTCCGACTCGCTGCCCGCCTCCCCCACGCATGCGCGGGCGCGCGAGCCCGGTAAGGGGCGGGGCCAAGGGAGGGGGGCGGGGCCACTGGGAGGGCGGGCGGTACCGGGGAAGGGAGAACGGGGGCGTGGTCACGGGAACGGGCGTGCGGTGCCCGGTCCTGGTGCCGGTGCCTGGTCCCGGTGCCCGGTCCCGGTGCCCAGTCCCGGTGCCGGTGCCTGGTCCCGGTCCCGGTCCCGGTGCCCGGTGCCGGTGCCTGGTCCCGGTGCCCGGTCCCGGTGCCCGGTCCCGGATGCCGGTGCCCGGTCCCGGTGCCTAGTCCCGGTCCCGCTGCCCGGTGCCCGGTGCCCGGTGCCGGTGCCCGCTCCCGGTGCCCGCTGCCGTTCCCCCCGGCTCTGACCCCGTTCCGCGCAGGGGCCTCCCCGCCCAGCAGCTCGCCCGGTTCCAGCGCTCCGCCGTCACCGGCGGGGCCGCACCTGCGGCCGAGCTCCCTGCAGGGGCTGTCACCGAAGCTGCAGCGGCAGTACCGGGCGGCGCGGTGCCGCTCCGCCGGCAGCATCCCGCTCTCGCCGCTCGCCCACACGCCCTCGCCGCCCGCCGCCTCCCCGCCCGCCTTCCCCGCCAAGCTGCACCCCAAAGCCGCCGAGTCCCCGCGCCTCGCCCGCCGCGGGCTCCCGGAGAAGGCGGCGCCGGGGCCGCCCCGCAAGTTGGGGCTGGAGCCGCCCCGCAAGGACTTCCCGGCCGAGCCGCCGCTGCAGAGCTTGGCCGAGTGGGACGGCGAGGGCCCGGCCGAGCCGCCGCCCGCCGCGCCCCCCGCCCGCCGCCTGGGCCGCCAGGAGCTGCCGCTGCTGCTCGGGGGTCCCCCCGGGCGGAGCCGCCGCCGCCGGGCCCGGAGGAGCCCGAGCGGGGGGCGCGGGGTCCCCCCAAGGCGCTCAGCCCGGTGCAGGAGCACGAGCGCGGCGGGGCGGCCCCGGGGGGGCCCCCGGTGCCCATCGTGGTGGTGGGGCCCGGCGCGACCCCCGGGGACCCCCGGAGCGCCGCGGGCCCCCCCGGGCGCTGAGCTTTACCCGAGCCCCCCAAATCCCGGCTGTAAATAGGGGGGGCACCCCGGGACCCCCAGGCATGCGGGGGTCGCGCCCCCCCCCGGTCCCTCCCCCCGCGTACGCGAAGGGTTAATACTGTGACACACCTCCCCCCCGTGTGACGTCACCGACCCGGCACCCCCCGGTGTGACGTCACCGACCCGGCACCCCCCCCGGTGTGATGTCATCGACCCGGACACCCCCCCCACGCCCACCCCCGGTCTCCCGTTTGCCCCCGGTTCTGGCTCCCGGTGTTTGACGTCAGAGCGGTGATGACGTCACAGCACCGATGGCACGGGCGGGGCACGGGCGCTGCTCTGATGTCACTCGAGGTAGGGGTGGTGACGTCATCCCCTCGAGCGTGACGTCACGGCTGCTGCAGCATCGATGATGTCACGGCTGCGGCATCACCGGCGGCGTTCGGGTGCTGACGTCACGGCTGTGACGTCACTGAAGGTGCGAGGGCGGTGACGTCATAGTGACAGCCGGGAGGGGGGGTTAGGCCCGGTTTGCACTCCGTGGTGACGTCACACGAGAACCGGCCACGCCGGTGACGTCACCAACACCCCGTGACATCATCACAGTCCCCTCCCCCCCCCCCCCCCGTTCTCGCTATGCAAACGCCCCCCGGGCAGGGGGGGCCGGGGGGGTCCCGGGACCCAATAAAGGCTGTACAGCACCGAGCCCCGGCTCTGCTTCGGGGGGACACCGGGGACACCGGGGGGACACCGGGGGGGATGAGGGACACCGGCCATCGCCCCGGAACCCCCCGGGAGGTGATCTGGGGGTGCCACCGCCCCCCAGCCCGGACACTCACGGGTTAACATCGGTGTTTACCCGCCACGCCCCCGCCACGCCCCCCCCGCCCCCGTGACGTCACGGTTCCACCGGGTCCGTTCGCCGCCGCGGAGCCCGAACGGTCCGGGGGGGGTGTCGGGGGATTTTGGGGTGTTGGGGACCTCTCGGGGAGCGCTCGGGGGTCTTTGGGGCGAATCGGGGCGCAAGGGAGGTCCCCGGTGGTCTCTGGAGTGAACTGGGGGGCCCTGGGGGTGGAATTGGGGGTTTAAAGGGGGTCTCTGGCGGAAATTGGGGGTTCCTGGGGGAATTGGGGGTCAGGACCGGGGGTCCCTGACCCTCCCGTGTGCCCCCAGCCCCCCATGGCGCTGCGTTTGGCCGCCCGCCTGGCCCGCCTGGCCCGGAGCGGTGTCCGGTGCGGGGGCACCGGGCCCCCCCCGGCACAGGGTGAGTGCAGGGGGGCACGGGGCGAGAGGGCCGGAGCCTCCCCGGGAGCCCCCCGGGACTGGCAGCGACCGGGGGGGACACCGCGAGTCCCCGGTGCTGACCCCAACGTGGGGGGACACCGCGAGTCCCCGGTGCTGACCCCAATCTCCCGGTGCTTCTCCTCCTTCTCCCGGTGCTGACCCCGCCCCTCCCGTTGTTTCCCCCGTCTCTCCCGGTGTTTCCTCCCTCTCTCCCGGTATTTCTCCCCGCCTCTCCCGTTGTTTTCCCTGTCTCTCCCGGTGTTCCCCCCCCTCTCCCGTTGTTTCCCCCGTCTCTCCCGGTGCTGACCCCCTCTCTCCCGGTATTTCTCCCCCCCTCTCACGGTGCTCCCCCCCCTCTCTCCCGGTATTTCTCCCCCCCTCTCCCGGTGTTCCCCCTCTCTCCCGGTGTTCCCCCCCCTCTCGGTGCTCCCCCCTCTCTCCCGTTGTTTCCCCTGTCTCTCCCGGTGCTGACCCCCCTCTCCCGGTGCTGCCCCCTCTCTCCCGGTGCTCCCCCCCCCCTCCCGGTGCTGCCCCGTCTCTCCCGGTATTTCTCCCCCCCTCTCCCGGTGTTTCCCCCCTCTCTCCCGGTGTTCCCCCCTCTCTCCCGGTGCTCCCCCTCTCTCCCGTTGTCTTCCCCTCCCTCTCCCGGTGTTCCCCCCTCTCTCCCGTTGTTTCCCCTGTCTCTCCCGGTGTTCCCCCCGTTCCCGGTGCCGCCCCCCTCTCCCGGTGCCGCCCCCCTCTCCCGTTGTTTCCCCCCCTCTCTCCCGGTGCCGCCCCCCTCTCCCGTTGTTTTCCCCCTCTCTCCCGTTGTTCCCCCCCCTCTCCCGGTGCCGCCCCCCTCCCGGTGCCGCCCCCCAGTCGCCGCCCCGTTCGACTGGCAGGACGCGCTGGGGCTGGAGTCGCTGCTGAGCTCCGAGGAGCGGCTGCTGCGGGACACGACGCGCAAATACTGCCAGGAGCGGCTGCTGCCCCGCGTGCTGCACGCCAACCGCCACGAGGGTACCCCAAAACCTGACCCGCAACACCCCGAGACAGCCTGACCCCCCCCGCCCCCGGTACAGCGGAACCCGAACCCCCCGAGCGCCGCCAGAAGCAGCCGGTGCCGGTTCCCACACGAGGGTCCCGCAGCTCGCCCCCGATGTCCCCAGTGTCCCCCTGACCTCCCTCAGGATCCTTCCTCTGCAAAAAACGGAGTTTTGGTATCCCCAAAAATCTCCCGGCCCCCCCAAAACTCCCTGACTCCTCTAAGCTCCCTCCACCAGCCCCCAAATCCTTTCCCCATCTCCCCTCCCGCAGGCCCAGGGTGGGGGCAGGGGTGTAGGGGACCCCCAAATTTCCCCAGGGGGTCTCCCCGCTGCCCCCTCTTAGCTCGACCTCTCCTGACCCCCACCTTGCCCCCCCCCAGTCTTTGACCGAGAGATCGTGACGGAACTGGGAGAACTGGGGCTGCTGGGCCCCACCATTCAAGGTTGGGGGGCCATGGGGACACGAGGGGGGACGTGGGTGGGCAGGGACGGCCCGTGGGGCTCCCGAGGGGGTTTTTGGGGGGCTCAGGGGCAGATGGGATGGGTTGTGTGGGGGGGGACAGCTCTGGGGGGTATTGGTGGTCAGGAATGGGGTTTGGGGGCTCTGTGGGGGGCTCACGGGGGGCAGGAATGGGGTTTGGGGGCTCTGTGGGGGGCTCACGGGGGGCAGGAATGGGGTTTGGGGGCTCTGTGGGGGGCTCACAGGGGGCAGGTTTGGGGTGACACTGGGGGCTCTGAGGGATGGCGCTGTCCCCAGGGTGGGGCTGTGTGTCGGGGGTGACACCGGGGTCCCCGAGGAGACCCCCGGGATCCCCTGAGTGACCGGGCTGGGGTCACCGCAGGGTACGGCTGCGCGGGCACCACGTCGGTGGGCTACGGGCTGGTGGCACGGGAGCTGGAGCGGGTGGACAGCAGCTACCGCTCGGTGCTCAGCGTGCAGTCCTCCCTCGTCATGTTCCCCCTCTGGGCCTACGGGACCCCCGCCCAGCGCCAGCGCTTCCTGCCCCGCCTCGGTGAGCCCCCCGCCGCGGGAGGGGCAGCCTGGGGGTACAGGGGGCAGAGGGGCGTTTGGGGGGCGTGCCAGGGGGTTTGGAGGAGGAGTGGGGTGTGCAGGGCGGTGCTGGGGAACTTGGGGTGTCCCCCGGGTGTCCCTGACGCCCCCTCCCCAGCTCGGGGGGAGATCGTGGGGTGCTTCGGGCTGACGGAGCCCAACCACGGGAGCGACCCGGGGCGGATGGAGACGCGGGCACGGCACAACCCCGGCGCCGGCACCTACACCCTGCGCGGGTCCAAGACATGGTGAGGCTCGGAATCGGGGTGAGGGGGACACGGGGGCCCCCCAGAGCTCCCCCTTGACCTTCCCCGAACCGCCCAGGATCACCAACTCGCCCATAGCCGACCTGTGCTTGGTGTGGGCCCGGTGTGAGGAGGACGGGCGGGTCCGGGGCTTCCTGGTGGAGCGCGGGACCCCCGGGCTCAGCACCCCCAAAATCGAGGGCAAGTTCTCCCTGCGCGCCTCGACCACCGGCATGATCCTCCTGGATGAGGTGGAGGTGCCCGAGGAGAACGTGCTGCCCAACGCCGAGGGGCTGGCGGTAAGGGGGGAGCCGGGGCACCCCGGGGAGGGGTCCCGGGGCACGGAGGGGGGTCCCGATGACACCCCCTGTCCCCAGGGCCCCTTCGGCTGCCTGACCCAGGCGCGGTACGGCATCGCCTGGGGCGCGCTGGGCGCCGCCGAGGCCTGTCTGGAGACGGTGCGGCAATACGTGCTGGACAGGTAACGGGGGGCTGGGGGCGTTTTGGGGGGGGTCCCACCCGCCCAGACCTCAGTGCCCCCCTCCCCCGGCCGGCAGGAAGCAGTTTGGGGGCCCGCTGGCCCGGAACCAGCTGGTGCAGAAGAAGCTGGCGGACATGGTGACGGAGATCACGCTGGGGCTCCACGCCTGCCTGCGCCTCGGTCGCCTCAAGGACAAGGGCAGGTGGGTGGCACTGTCCCCAAGGGGTCTGGGGGGCCCTGGAGGGGGTCAGTGTGTCCCCGTCCGTGTCCCCACAGGGCCGCCCCCGAGATGGTGTCGATGCTGAAGCGGAACTCGTGCGGGAAGGCGCTGGGCATCGCGAGGGATGCGCGGGACATGCTGGGGGGCAACGGGATCTGCGACGAGTTCCACGTGATCCGGCACCTCATGAACCTCGAGGCCGTCAACACCTACGAGGGTACGGCGGGGAGGGGCACGGGGGGTCCCCGAGGGGTTTGGGGGGTCCTACTGAGGGGTGGTGATCCCCGCAGGCACCCACGACATCCACGCGCTGATCCTGGGCCGCGCCATCACCGGCATCCAGGCCTTTGCCCCAGCAAAGGGGACGTAGCGGGGACGTGGTGGCACCGGTGGCACCGACGGGGACCGGGGCTGCTCCTCGTGGGAAGGGATGTGAGGAGATGGTGGCACTGACCGGAGCCGGTGTCACCAAGCGGACCCAGGTACCCCCGGAAGGGATCCAGTGCCGCTGACAGGACCCGGTGTCACTGACGGGACCTTGTGTCACCAGCCAGGCCTCGTGTCGCCAGTGGGTCTCAATGTCACCCCAAACAAATCTCGTGTCACTGGCGGGACCCGGTGTCACCAAGCACATCTTGTGTCATTGATGGGACCCAGTGCCACCGACTAAACCTCCTGTCACCAACGGGACTCAGCGTCACCGACAGGACTCGGTGTCACTCAGGGGACCCCACTGGTGCTGGGCCCCGTGTCCGGTGCCATCTCGGTGCCTGTGCCAGTCCTGTGGCCAATAAACGGTGGGACAGCCCCTCCATGCCAGCCCTGCTCGTCAGCATTAATTAACCTGCCAGGATCCAGCTCTGCTCTCGGGCTGGGGGGTCCCAGCTCATCACAGACCCCCACACCAGCTTTTGGGTCAGCTTCAGCCCTTTATTTGTTCCAACCACCGACAGCAACAGCAAGAGAAAAGCCCTTTGGGGCAAAAATCCCCCTGTGGCCCGGCACAGCCCCACGGTCCCGTGGGTTTGGGGGGTCCCGCTCCTGTCTGGGGGTGCCCTCAGTCCTCGGGCTGCAGGCAGAGGTCCTGATAAACCGCCTCCACGGTGCAGCAGATGCGGCGCAGCTCCGCCTGCACCCCCTCCACGCGCTCCAACACCTCGCTGAGCGCCTGCAGCCTCTCCTGGATCAGCCCGTTGTGGAAGCCGTAGCCGTGGAAGAGCCGCTCCTCCAGCTGCTCCGTCAGCTCCGAGACCTGCCCGAGCGTAGCCGCGGCTCGTCCCGGTGCTGGCACGGCCGCCGTCCCCGGGGCCGGGGGGGCAGCTGCGCCCGCCCGCGCTGGCACCGCTCCCGGCCTGGCCCGGCCGCCGCCAGCTGCGCCCCGGTAGCCGCAGCGCCGGTCGCGGTGGCCACCGAGCGCCGGGTCAGCGCGGGCCGCAGCTGCCGGGCCGCGCCGCCATCTGCGCGGGGACCTGGGGACACCCCCGGCCGGTCCCCCCCGGCCGAGCGAGGTCAGGCGCTGGGGCGGCGTGGGGACAACGGGGGACATCGGGGGCCGCTGGAAGCGGGGCCGGAGGCAGCTGCGGCCGCCCCCGCGGGGGGCTCGGGGGGCTCCCCCGGTCGGGCTCCGCAGCTGCCTCCACGCCCGGGCTCTGCCCTCCCTCGTCCCGCCAAACCGGGCGGAATAACGCGGCTCCCCGTGCCCCCGGAGGAAGGGAGGGGAACCCTCCGTGCCTACCTTCAGCAGCAGGCTGTCCCTGACGCCGCTCAGCTCCGTGTGCGCTTCTTCGCGGCCGCCGTTGAGGCGTCGGAGGATGTCCTGCACCCGCTGCTGCAGCCCCTCCACGGCGGCGTCCAGCGAGGCGAAGTACAGCGAGGAGCGGGGACCCAGCGCTGGCTCCGGGCACGGCCTCGGCACGAACACGGGACCCTCACGGGCGGGCGGGGGGCAGCCCATGGACCCCACGGGGACAGGGACCCCACAGGGACAGGGACCCCACGGGGACAGGGACCCCCCCATCGGGGCCGTGGGTCACACAGGGACAGGGACCCCACGGGGACAGGGACCCCACGGGGACAGGGACCCCCGAACGGGGCCGTGGGTCACACAGGGACAGGGACCCCATGGGGACATCAGAGCCATGGATCACACAGGGACAGGGACACCCCTGTGAGGGGCACAGACCCCGTGGGGACAGGGTGGATCACACAGGGACAGGGACCCCATGGGGACAGGGTGGGGGACCTTGGGGCCGTGGATCACACAGGGACAGGGACCCCACAGGGACAGGGACCCCCGAACGGGGCCGTGGATCACACAGGGACAGGGACCCCATGGGGACAGGGTGAGGGACATCAGGGCCCTGGATTACACAGGGATAGGGACCCCATGAGGACAGAGTGAGGGACATTGGATCCATGGATCACACAGGGATAGGGACCCCATGAGGACAGGGTGAGGGACATTGGATCCATGGATCCCACAGGGATAGGGACCCCATGAGGACAGGGTGAGGGACATTGGGGCCGTGGATCCCACAGGGACAGGGACCCCATGGTGACAGGGTGAGGGACATTGGATCCATGGATCCCACAGGGATAGGGACCCCATGAGGACAGGGTGAGGGACATTGGGGCCGTGGATCCCACAGGGACACGGACCCCATGGTGACAGGGTGAGTGACATCGGGGCCATGGATCCCACAGGGATAGGGACGCCCCATCAGGGCTGTGCACCCTCTCAGGGTCACACACCACCAGGACAGGGACAGGCTGTGCCCTGTGACAGCCCTGCCAGTCCCGTTAATTGAGAATTACCCTCTAATTAACGTCGGGACTCGTGGGGACACGTGTGGCACCCCCTCCCCGCACTGCCCGGGGTGTCCTTGCTCTTTTTTTCTCCACTTTTCTCCCCGTTTGAAATCGCGGCGCGGGGTGAGGTCGGTACCTGTCCTGCTCCTCGCCGCGGGGCCCGTCCCCCCCCAGCTCGGCCGGGAAGAGGCTCCCGCCCGCCGCCGCCTCCGCCTCGGGACCCTCAGGCTCCTCCCGCGACATCGCGGCCCCGGGGGGCTGCAGGGGAAGGACCCCCGGGCTGGGACAGCCCCTGCCCCGGGCGGGCTCCGGCGGTGGGCTGGGGCCGGGTCCCGGGGCCGGTGCGGGGCCGTTCTGCGGTCACTACCCCGGCTCGGCCGGTCCCGGGCCGGTTCTCGGCCCCTCGGCCGCCCCTCACCGCACCGGCCTCACGCAGCCCTGCTGGGCGGGCACCACCGCCGCCCAATAGGCGCCCGCCATTCACACCTCGGCGCTGCTGATTGGGGCGTTCAGCGCCCCCAGGGGATGATTGGCACCTGCGAGGGCCAATCGCCGGGCAGTGAAAGGCAGAGGCGGGAAGGGCCGGACGGTCCCGGGGGTCCCGGGCCGGTCTCGGGCGGATCTCGGGGGTCCCGGGCCGGTCTCGGGGATCCCGGGGGGATCTCGGGGGTCCCGGGGGGATCTCGGGGGTCCCGGGCGGATCTCGGGGGTCCCGGGCGGGTCTCGGCTCCCGCAGCACCGTGCGAGGCCATGAAGTGCCAATAAACTCTCCCCACGCGGTTCCCTTCCCCAGCACACACCGGCCTTTATTGGGGGTGGGGACCCCCGGGGACGGGACCCCTCCCCACAAGGAGGGGACCCCCGGCTCAGACGTCCAGGCGGCACATGGGGCTGTCGTAGACCATCTGCAGGTTGACGCGGTGCCCCACCAGCTCCCGGATGTTGTTGATGCCGTATTTGATCATGGTGGGTCTGGGGGGGAGGTGGGATTTGGGGGGTCAGTGGGTGGGATGGGCCCACATTGGGGTCCCCCCCAGGTGAGCCCCCCACTCACCGCTCCAGCGACAGCCCCCAGGCGATGACGGAGACGTTCTCGGGGAGCCCCATGGGCAGCAGCAGCTCGGGGCGGAAGACCCCCGAGTTTCCCACCTCCACCCACTTCTTCAGCCCTGGTGGTGGGGCAGACGAGGATCAGCAGGGGCACCCACAGACCCCCTCCCCATATCAGAACACCACAGTGCTCTCCCCGCTTCAGGGGAGCTCAAGGTCATCCCCAGACCCCCCTGCTCCAAGTGGAGACCCCTCCTCACCCTCGTGGTAGCTGAACACCTCCATGCTGGGCTCCGTGTAGGGGTTGTAGGCGGGTTTGAAACGCAGCTGGGAGATCCCTGGGGGGCACACGGGGGGTCAGGGGGGCACACGGGGGGTCAGAGGGGTGCCCCCGGTGCCCCCCGTGTACCCAGCTTGGTGAAGAACTGCCGGAGGATGCCCATGAGGTGGCCCAGGGTGAGCCCCCGGTCGGCCACGAGCCCCTCGACCTGGTGGAACTCGGCCAAGTGCGTCGCGTCCAGGCTCTCGTTGCGGAACACGCGGTCGATGGAGAAATATTTCACGGGGGTGAACTTCTCCTGGGGTGCGGGGGGGATACACGGGGATGATGGGGGGCAGCTGGGACCCCCAGATTGCCCCAAACTGCTCTGATCCTCCTCAAATTGCTCCGAGCTTCCTGAGCCCTGAACAACGCTGAGCCTCCTAAACCGCTCTGAGCCCCCCGAACCACTAATCCCCCCCAAAAAACCCCTCTGTTCCCCCTCATGGGAACCCCCCCAGACCCTGCCCAGGCTCCCAAAGCCCCCAGACCCCCCCCAAGCCCCCAGACCTGCCGTGCCAGCTGGAACAGGGCGCGGGCGCTGGCTGACGTGGTGTGGGTCCTCAGCAGGTTCTTCCGCGCCTCCTCCACCTTCCACTCGTACCTGTACCTGGGGGGGCCACAGAGGGGGTTCAGGGGGGTGGGGGACACACACGGGACCCCCTGAATCGCCCCCCAGGTCGGGGTCTCACCCCTGTGAGCCGTAGCCTCCCTGCGAGTGCACCTTCTTCACCTTGGAGTAGTAGCCAGGGGGCAACTGGGGGGCTTCAGCGGGATCTGGGGGGGCAAAACGGTGAGGGGGGGGGCTGGAGGGCTTTGAGGGGTGTTTGTGGGGGCTCAGGGGGCAGGGGGGCTTGTCAGAGGGGTCTGGGGGATCACAGGGGTGTGGGGCAGAGCCGGGGGGCTGAGGGGGGGTTCAGAGGGGTGTGGGGCAGGGGGGGAAACAGAGGGGTCTGGGGGATCAGAGGGGTGTGGGGCAGGGCTGGGGGGCTGAGGGGGGATCAGAGGGATGTGGGGGATCAGAGGGACGTGGGGCAGGGCCGGGGGGCTGAGGGGGGTTCAGAGGGGCGTGGGGCAGGGCCGGGGGGCTGAGGGGGGTTCAGAGGGGCGTGGGGCAGGGCCGGGGGGCTGAGGGGGGGATCAGAGGGGTGTGGGGGATCAGAGGGGTGTGGGGCAGGGCCAGGGGGGCTGAGGGGGGATCAGAGGGGTGTGGGCAGGGCCAGGGGGCTCAGAGGGGTCCCAGGGGGGGTCAGCAGGTCCCCCTGCCCCCCAGCACCCACCCAGCAGGAAGAAGGTGTCGTGCTGGTCGCGCGCCGGGTGCTGCTGGGGCTGGAAGAGCGCGTCGAAATTCCAGAAGGAGCTCTCCACAAAATTCTCCGTGGGCATCTCCGTGAACCTGGGGGGGCCCCCCCGTGATCCAGAACCCCGAGGACAAAGTGAGGCCCTGGGGGGCTGCCGGGGAAGGGGCTGGGCCCCCTCTGAGCCCCACTTTGTGCCCCCCCGGGCTGCAGCAGATCGACAACGCCGAGTACAGCCCCGACCCCCTCCCAACAGCTTCGGGGTGATCGGCCTCGACCCCTGGCAGGTGAGGGGGGGTCCCAGGAGCTGCAGGTGAAGCCCCCACAGGTGAACCAGGCCCCCCAGCCCCCCGCTCACCCCATCTCCAGGAAGATCTGGCGCAGCTCCGAGCGCACCTTGAGCAGGGGGTGCAGGTGGCCGCAGTTGGGGGGCAGCCCCAGCGAGGAGAAGTTGTAGGGTTTGAAGGGCAGCTGGCGCCAGGAGCCCCTGCAGGACGGGCCAGCGCTCACTGCCCGGCCTGGGGGGGCTGGGGAGGGTCCTGGGGGGCTGGGGAGGGTCCTGGGGGGCTGAGGAGGGTCCTGGGGGGTCAGGGAGGGCCCTGGGGGGGTTAAGGGAGGGTCCTGGGGGGCTGGGGAGGGTCCTGAGGGGTCTGGGAGGGTCCTGGGGGGCTGGGGAGGATCCTGGGAGGGTCCTGGGGGGTCCAGGGAGGGTCCTGGGGGGTCAGGGAGGGTCCTGGGGGGCTGGGGAGGGTCCTGGGGGGGGCAGGGGAGGTTCCTGGGGGGCCAGGGAGGGTCCTGGGGGGTCAGGGAGGGTCCTGGGGGGTCAGGGAGGGTCCTGGGGGTCAGGGAGGGTTCTGGGGGTGAGGGAGGGTCCTGGGGGGTCCGGGAGGGTCCTGGGGGTCAGGGAGGGTCCTGGGAGGGTCCTGGGGGGTCAGGGAGGGTTCTGGGGGGCTGGGGAGGGTCCTGGGGGGTCAGGGAGGGTTCTGGGGGGTCAGGGAGGGACGGGGGGACGCCTACGTGGCGATCATCTCCGGGGTCAGCTCCGTCTCCGGCCGCGCCACCGCCGTGCTGAAGGCGCTGCCCTTGCGGATCCAGTAGGATTTGAGGGTCCTGGGGGGGCAGCGAGGGCGTTGGTGACCCCCCGGCTCCTCGTTAATTAGCGCTAATTTCATTAACGGTCGGCTTCACGGCGTTTTTATTGAATGCTTCGCCCGCGCGGGTTTCACACAGTCTTTAATTGGGTTGTGGGATCGTTGAGGTTTTGGGTTTGTTGGGGTAAACCGTGACAAATTTCAGTTAAAAAAACCCAAAATGGGGGAGGTGAGGCCTTAAATCTCCGGCTCCTCAAGGAGAGGAGAAGCAGCAGAACTGAGAACAACAAAAACCTGCGAGATTGGACATTGCCAGCCCGAAAAAAGGACAACAAAAGGCCCGAAGAGCGTGGATAGAAATAAAAACTGATAAACCAACAACCCCTAATCTCATTAATGAGTAGAACTGTGGATTTTAGGAGCAATTAATTCGCTCTGCCCCACTCACACTTCCAGGAGCAGCTTCCTCCTCTTGAGCTCGGCGCGCTCCCGCTCGGGCAGGGACCCCCCGGCCCTCACCTGCCCCAGGTGCTCCTGCACCGTGTCCTGCACCGAGGGCACCTGGGGGGGCACGGGGGGCACCGGGGCTGGGCACGGGGGACCCCCGGGAGGCTCCTGGGGGCCGGCAGACCCCTCCCCAAACCCTCAACACCCAGGGACTCCCGTTTGTCCCCCCGCCCATTCACCCCCAGCCTGCTCCCGGCTTCCAGAGACCCCCAGACCCCTCCTCAGGACACCCCCGGGAACCAGAGACCCCCCCAGACCCCTCCTCAGGACACTCCCGGGAACCAGAGACCCCCAGACCCCTCCTCAGGACACCCCCGGGAACCAGAGACCCCCCCAGACCCCTCCTCAGGACACCCCCTGGAACCAGAGACCCCCCCCAGACCCCTCCTCAGGACACCTCCGGGAACCAGAGACCCCCACTCACCCCACCTTGGGCCACTCCCGCCTCCCGGGGACCCCCGTGCCCCCTCCCCGGGGCACTCCCGCCTCCCGGGGACCCCCGTGCCCCCTCCCCGGGGACCCCCGGCCGTTCCCCGGGTCACTCACGGCGCGGAGCACGCGTGGGCCACCGGCCGCTCCCTTATCCAGCCGCACCCACTTGTTGGCCATGGCCTTGCTGAAGCCCAAGGAGCCCCCGGGCAGCTTCTGCGAGGGCACAGCGGCCGTGAGGAGCCCGGCAGCCGCCGGTGCCGGTGCCGCTCCCCCTCCCCGGTGCCGCCGGTACCCACCACGGCCTCGCCCTGCGGCAGCCCCTCCTCGGGGATGCTCCGGAACAGCCGCACCTCGGGGCTGCCGTCCCGCAGCACCTCCTCGCCCTCGGCGCTCAGCTCCCATCGCGTGGCCGTCCGCGCCTCCGCCTCGATCACCTGCACCGGTACCGGGGGGGGGTCAGCACCGACCGGCGGCGCCCGGGGCTCCCCCCGCGCCGCGGCGGCCGCACCTCGCCCAGCGCCTGCAGGCTCTTGACGGCGCCCACGAGCGTCTGGTGGTCGACGCCGAGCTGGGCGGCGGCCTCGAGGCTGCAGAGCCCCGCGGGAGCGCCGGGCTGGCCCAGCCGCTGCAGGAGCCGCTCCGCCACGCTGGGCGCCATGGCCGGAAGTCAGCCCGGCGGACCGGAAGTGCCTTACGGCACCGGCGAAGCGGCGCGCTGCGGGCGCCATCTTGGGAGTGGCGTAGAGCCCCGTGCGGAGCGTGGTGGGCGCCATGTTGGGTGTGGCGTGTTGCGTGTGTGGGGGTCGCGCAGGTGGCTAAGAGGGGCGCAGTGACGTCATGAAGTTGCACAATGATGTCACGCTGCCCACCGCGGAGCCCAGCGGGCTGATACGGCCCAAGGGCTCCTCAGAGCAGCCCCCGGCCCGGGTCCACCTTCCTTGTGATCACACCTGCCGCGACCTCACTTAATCCATGACATCACCCCCGCGTCGCGGCGCTGTATGAAGGGAAAAGCGAGCAGGAGGCCGCCCTACCCCGCGTGTGCCTTGCTCCCTCCCCATATTCCCGATTTCCCCTTCAATTCCCTCCCCCCCACCTCCGCTCCCGGGCCTGTCCCTTTAAGAGCGCGCGCCCCACGTGACCCCCGGAGCGAGGCGGGCGGGGGGGGGGGCGTCTCCCTCCGAACGCGTGGTCGCTCCTCATTGGCAGCCGCGCTCAGCCAATGGGAAGCGGCCATCTGGGACGCCAACGTTCGGGGGCGCCGTCGCCGGCGGCGGGCGGGCGGGCGGCCAATGGGAGAGGGCCGCGCGCGGGCTCGGGCCAATGGCAGGGCGGCGGAGGCAGGGCGAGGGGCGGCGGGAGTATAAAAGGCGGCGGCACCTCCTCCCCCCTCCGCAGTGCCGGGCGGCGCCGGGCCGGGACGGACGGAGCGAGTGTTCCTTAACCCCCTCCCCCGCCAGCCATGAGCCCCCTCAGCGTCCTCGCCCCCGTCCTGTTCGGAGCCCTCCTGGCGGCCGCCGGCCCCACCCAGTTCTTCCGCGAGGAGTTCGGGGATGGAGGTGAGGGAGGGGCCGGGAGGGGGTCGCTGAGGGCGGGGCCTGAGGGGGGGGGGGCTCCTGAGGTGAAGGGGTTGGGGGGGGGCGGTGCCTGAGGAGTCTGAGGGGAGTCTGAGGGGGAGGCAGGAGGATGGGAGGGCCCTCTTGTGTTTTGTGAGGGGAGAGAATGGAGAGACCTTCCCGTCTTTTCTGAGGGGAGAATTAGGGGATCCTCCTGTGATCTTTGAGGGAAGGGAATGGGAAGACCCCCTGTGACTTGTAAGGCGAGAAAGGAGGGGAGTTGTGTTTTCTGAGGGGAAAGAATTCAGTGACCGCCACCCCACCCCCTTCCCGTGTTCTGTAAGGGGAAAATGGAGTGATCCTGCTGTGTTCTTTAAAGAAATAATGGGGGGACTTCTCTGCGTTCTGTGAGGGGAGAATGGGGACACTCTGCTGTGATCTCTGAGGGAAACAAGGAGGTGTGAGGGCAGAGAATGTGGGACATGCTGCTCCCTGAGGTGACAGGGCACGCAGGAGCCACTCCTCAGGTGTGGGCAGCGAGTGGGAGTCGGGGCAGGGAGGACGAAGCTGCTGAGGAATCCCTGAGCCAGCAAAGGTCCCTGGAGGGACAGGCTGGGGGGCTCAGCCTCAGCAGAGCAGGTGGACAAGAGAGAAAGGAGCAGGAAGAAGGATCGTGAGGAACGCAGCACCCACATGGAGAGGGTTCCTGGGGGTGGGGGGACGATTCAGCTTTCCCCTGCAAGCTTCAAACCATCCAGCAATGAGACCTGCCCCAAGCCCTGAGCTCCTGGGGGAGCAGGAGGGGTTTGGGGGTGCTGAGCCTGCCCCCTCACAGACGCCTGGACCCGCCGGTGGGTGGAATCCAAGCACAAACCCGACTACGGCCGCTTCGTCCTCACCGCCGGAAAGTTCTACGGCGACGCCGAGAAGGACAAAGGTGAGGCGGGAGCGCGGCAGGCGGAGGGGAAAGACCTCGAGGCTGGGGTTTTCCCCCCTTCCCCAACCACGCCCCACGCCCCGCAGGGATCCAAACGAGCCAGGACGCCCGGTTCTACGCGCTGTCGTCGCGCTTCGAGCCCTTCAGCAACCGCGACAAGACGCTGGTGGTGCAGTTCACCGTCAAGCACGAGCAGAACATCGACTGTGGCGGCGGCTACGTCAAGCTCTTCCCGGCCAGCCTGAGCCAGGAGGACATGCACGGCGACTCCGAGTACAACATCATGTTTGGTGGGTGTCCCCCCAGCCCCTTCGGGGTGGTCTCAGCCCCCTTTCCCTGACCCCATATCCCCCCAGCCCCCTCGGGGTGGTCTCAGCCCCCTTTCCCTGACCCCATATCCCCCAAGTCCCCTCAGGGTGGTCTCAGCCCCCTTCCCTGACCCTGTGTCCCCCCAGCCCCCAGTGGGACAGTAAAAATGTAATAAAGTAGAAATCTCTTTAGATTTAAGTGAAATGTGCTGCTTTGAGCTCACTGTTTAGTTTAATAACTGCAGCACTAGCAAAACTACCCCAGCTAAAGAGAAAAAAAATGCAAATTTCCACACTAAAAAGGAAAGAGGTAAGAAAGTCTCCTCAAATCTTGAAACAGACAGGGCAGAGTGACCCAGGAGTTCTTTCTATACTTTCTGACAAAAACTAAGTACAACTAGCAGTGAGTGTAATGTGAAATCAGCAGAATAAATATGTATGAACCTATTACAAAATTCTATGCATATAGAAATTAGTCAGGGTTATAAAAAAGGATCAGGAGTTCTCAAGGGTTCACATGTCCATTGAAAAGTGATAAGTCCCCACATGCATCCACAGCACTGTAAATAAACATATAATTGCCTACAAATGTTTATTAAAATGGTGAAATTTAATTTTTCTCCACATTTCGCCAGGCCCCGACATCTGCGGCCCTGGCACCAAGAAGGTGCACGTGATTTTTAACTACAAAGGGAAGAACGTGCTGATCAATAAGGACATTCGCTGCAAGGTGGGTCTGGGGGCTTTTGGGAGGGGCAGGGTGGGGGTCTGCAGCCCTGCTGAGCCCCCCATGCACCCCCAGGACGACGAATTCACCCACCTGTACACGCTGGTGGTGCGGCCGGACAACACCTACGAGGTGAAGATCGACAACGCCCGCGTGGAGTCGGGGAGCCTGGAGGAGGATTGGGATTTCCTGCCCCCCAAAAAGATCAAAGACCCCGAGGCCAAGAAACCCGAGGACTGGGACGAGCGGGCCAAGATCGATGACCCCGAGGACACCAAACCGGAGGTGGGGAGAGGGGGGCTTGGAGGGGCTTTTGGGGGGGGATTTGAGGGGCTGGCGGAGCTCTGAGGGGTTTTAGGGAGGAACTTGAGGGGTCTCCAGGAGATGTGGGGGGGTGTTGTAAAAGGTCCTGGCAGGATTAGGGGGAGAATGGGGGGGACTGGGTGAGAGGTGGGGAGGTGAGGGTGGTCCTGGGGGGCCACAGCAGCCCCCTGGGGGGGCCACAGCAGCCCCCTGAGCCCCCCTGCCCCCCTTGCAGGACTGGGACAAACCCGAGCACATCCCGGACCCCGACGCCAAGAAACCGGAGGACTGGGATGAGGAGATGGACGGGGAGTGGGAACCCCCCGTGATCCAGAACCCCGAGTACAAGGTGAGGCCTGGGGGGCTGCTGCAGTGTTGGGGGGCTGCTGGGGAAGGGGCTGGGCCCCCTCTGAGCCCCCTTTGTGCCCCCCACCAGGGCGAGTGGAGGCCGCAGCAGATCGACAACCCCGACTACAAGGGCAAGTGGGTGCACCCCGAGATCGACAACCCCGAGTACAGCCCCGACCCCCTGCTCTACTCCTATGACAGCTTCGGGGTCATCGGCCTCGACCTCTGGCAGGTGAGGGGGGTCCCCAGGAGGGGTCTGGGGGGTCCCCTGGAGCTGCAGGACCCCCCCTGACTGCCCCGTGCCCACAGGTGAAGTCAGGCACCATCTTCGACAACTTCCTGATCACGGACGACGAGAAACTGGCGGAGGAGATCGGGAACGAGACCTGGGGGGCCACCAAGGTAAGGGGGGATGAGTCCTGGGGGGCCACCAACGAGACCTGGGGGGCCACCAACGAGACCTGGGGGGCCACCAAGGTACAGGGGGGATGAGACCTGGGGGGCCACCAACGAGACCTGGGGGGCCACCAACGAGACCTGGGGGGCCACCAAGGTACGGGGGGATGAGACCTGGGGGGCCACCAACGAGGCCTGGGGGGCCACCAAGGTAAGGGGGGACGAGCCCCCGGTGACCTCCCCGCCACCTCCCACAGGACGCAGAGAGGAAGATGAAGGAGCAGCAGGACGAGGAGCAGCGGAAGAAGCAGGAGGAGGAGGAGAAGCAGCAGAAGGAAGAGGAAGGGGACGATGAGGGCGACGAGGAAGAGGAGGACGAGGACGAGCCCGAGGCCGAGCCCGAGGAGGCGGAGGCGGCCCCGCGGGACGAGCTGTGAGGGCCCCGCGGCGGGCCCCGTTCTGTCTCTGTGAGACCTGGACTCTTTTCTATGGGCGCCGGCACCGAACCGGCACGGCCGGCTCCGAACCGGCACGGCCGGCACCGAACCGGCCCCGAACCGGCACCGGGCGCCCTGCGGGGCGAGGACTCAGGACCAGCGCCGGGGGTGGGGAGGGACCGCAGAGGGGTGGGGGGGGTGGGGAAAGCACCGGCGGTGTCGCACGGGACTGTACGGGGGGTGTCGTGATCCGGTTTCTATTAAATTAACGACGGTCCCGCCGCCGTTTCGCTCCTCGTTGTTTCCTCCTTTTTCCCCCCCGCCCGCGCCATGTTGCGGCCGCCGCCATTTTGTGCCGCCGCCGCGTCACGTGACTGGGGAGGGCGCGAGGCCCGCGCGCGCGTTTTCCCGCGTCACGTGACAACGGAACCTCCGCCCCCCCTTCTTTTTTCCCGCGGGAGCGCGGCGCGGGCGCGCAGTGACGCACTTCCGGCGCCGCGGCGGAAGCGGCGGGGCCGCCTCTAAGATGGCGGCGGCGTGAGTTGCATGTTGTTGTCGTGGGGCCGCCGGGAGGAGCCGCCGCCGCCGCCCCGCGCCCGTCCCGCCATGGCCGTCACCGTCACGCTCAAGACGCTGCAGCAGCAAACCTTCAAGATCCGCATGGAGCCGCACGAGACGGTGAGGACGCGCCCGGGGGCCGGGGATGGGCGCGGAGCCTGCCCGCCCCCCCCACATCCCCCCCCGAGCCCTCACAGCGCGGGGCCGGAGCCTCCCGGGGCTCCCTTTCGGTGCGGGGGACACCGAGGGGTGGCCCCGTGTGCCCCCGGTTCTGGGGGGGGTCTCGGTTCTTTTTTGGGGAGGGGTCTGCGTGTCCCCCATGTGAGGGGAAGCGAGGGGCGGCACCCGGGGGGGCTCCGTGTCCCCCAGTTCTCAATTTGGGGAGGGGGTTCGTGATTCCTCAATCCCCATTTTGAGGAGGGGGCTCCGTGTGCCCCCAGTTCTCAATTTGGGGAGGGGCTCCCGTGTTTCCTCAATCCCCATTTTGAGGAGGGGGCTCCGTGTTCCCCCAGTTCTCATTTTGGGGAGGGGGCTCCGTGTTCCTTTCAATCCCCATTTTGGGGAGGGGGATTTGGGGCGCTCCTCGTTTTCTGCCTCTGTTTGTGCTGGGAGAAACTCGAGGGGCAGCCTTGGGGGGGGCCTCCGTGTCCCCTTTTTTTGGGGGGCTCCCTGTTATTATTCGCCCCCAGACCCCCCCATTTTGGGGGCAGCTCAGACCCCCGTGGGGAGGGGGAGTTTTTTGGGGGAGTTTCTTCCAGAATATTTGGGGGTTTTGGGGTGCCCTGAGCCCCCGGGGTGCAGTTTGGGGGTGCAGTTTTTGGGAGCCATTTCGGGGTGCCCTGAGCCCTCGGGGGGCAGTTTTTGGGAGCTGTTTCGGGGTGCCCTGAGCCCTCGGGGGGCAGTTTTTGGGAGCTGTTTCGGGGTGCCCTGAGCCCTCGGGGGGCAGTTTTGGGGTGCAGTTTTTGGGAGCCGTTTCGGGGTGCCCTGAGCCCCCGGGGTGCAGTTTTTGGAGCCGTTTCGGGGTGCCCCTGGCGCAGGTGCGGGCGCTGAAGGAGAAGATCGAGGCCGAGAAGGGCAGCGAGGCGTTCCCTGTGGCCGGCCAGAAGTTGATCTACGCCGGGAAGATCCTGAGCGACGACGTCCCCATCCGCGAGTACCGCATCGACGAGAAGAACTTCGTGGTGGTCATGGTCACCAAGGTGGGGGGACGGGCTCTGGGGGTGATTTGGGGGTCCCTGGGTGGGGTCTGAGGGGTCTGGGAGCCATCTGGGGGCACCCAGAGGGATTTGGGGTCCCTGTGTGGGGTTTGAGGGTTCCTGGGGAGGGATTTCGGGTCCCTGTGAGGGGTTTGAGGGGTCCCTGGGAGGGATTTGGGGTCCCTGTGTGGGGTCTGAGGGGTCCTGGGAAGCGATCTGGGGTCCCTGTGTGGGGTTTGGAGGGCCTGAGGGGTCCTGGGGAGAGATTTGAGGGTCCTTGTGTGGGGTCTCAGGGGCCCTGGAGGGATTTGGGGTCCCCGTGTCGGGTCTGAGGGGTCCTGGGAAGGGATTTGGGGGACCCTGAGGGGGTCTTGGAGGGATTTGGGGTCCCTGAGTGGGGTCTGCAGGGTCTCAGGGCTGTTTGGGGGAACCCTGAGGGGTCCCTGGGAGGGATTTGGGGTCCCTGTGTGGGGTTTGAGGGGTCCCTGGGAGGGATTTGGGGTCCCTGTGAGGGGTTTGGAGGGCCTGAGGGGTCCTGGGGAGAGATTTGAGGGTCCTTGTTTGGGGTCTCAGGGGTCCTAGGAGGGATTTGGGGGGCCCTGAGTGGGGTCTGGAGGGTCTCAGGGTTGTTTGGGGGAACCCTGAGGGGTCCCTGAGAGGGATTTGGGGTCCCTGTGAGGGGTTTGAGGGGTCCTGGGGAGGGATTTGGGGTCCCTGTGAGGGATTTGGAGGGCCTGAGGGGTCCTGGGGAGAGATTTGAGGGTCCTTCTGTGGGGTTTGAGGGGTCCTGGGGAGGGATTTGGGGGGTCCTGGGTGGGGTTTGAGGGGTCTGGGAGCCATCTGGGGGCACCTGGAGGGATTTTGGAGTCCCTGGGTGGGGTTTGAGGGGTCCTGGGAAGGGATTTGGGGGACCCTGAGGGGGTCTTGGAGGGATTTGGGGTCCCTGAGTGGGGTCTGGAGGGTCTCAGGGCTGTTTGGGGGAACCCTGAGGGGTCCCTGGGAGGGATTTTGGCGTCCCTGTGTAGGGTTTGAGGGGTCCTGGGGAGAGATTTGGGGGTCCCTTTGTGGGGTTTGGATGATCTCAGGGGTCTGGGAGCCATTTGGGGGGATCTGGAGGGATTTTGGGGTCCCTGTGTGGGGTTTGAGGGGTCCCTGGGAGGGATTTGGGGTCCCTGTGAGGGGTTTGGAGGGCCTGAGGGGTCCTGGGGAGGGATTTGGGGTCCCTGTGAGGGGTTTGGAGGGCCTGAGGGGTCCTGGGGAGGGATTTGGGGGTCCCCAGGGAGGTTTGGAGGGTCCCGAAGCCCTTGGGGGGGGTGGGGGGGAGGTGTTTGGGGGGTGTCTCAGGTGGCTCTGGGGGGACTCGGGGGTCCCGCAGAGTGTGGGGTGGGGGTCCCAGGGGATCCCCAAGCCCCCCCTTTGCCCCCTGGCCAGGCCAAGTCGGCGCTGGGCTCGGCAGCCCCCGAGGCCGGAGCCCCCTCGGAGCCCCCCGCAGCCCCCCCGGGGCCCCCCCCGGCCGCCGACGCTGCCCCTCCCCCCCCGGCCGCGCCCAGCGAGGAGACCCCGGCCCAGGACCCCCCTGCCCTGCCCCTGCCTGAGCCTGCGGCGGGGTAAGGGGGCAGGAAGGGGTTTGGGGGGCAGGAGAGGGACTGGGGAGAGGTTTGGGGGGGTTAGGTAAGGGTTTGGGGGGACAGGAATGGATTTGGGGGGGCAGGAGAGGGTCTGGGGGGAGGTTTGGGGGGGTTAGGGAAGGGTTTGGGGGGGCAGGAAGGGGTTTGGGGGGGCAGGAAGGGGTTTGGGGGGGCAGGAGAGGGTCTGGGGGGAGGTTTGGGGGGGTTAGGGAAGGGTTTGGGGGGACAGGAATGGGGTTGGGGGGGCGGGAAGGGGTTTGGGGGGAGGTTTGGGGGGTCAGGAAAGGGTTTAGGAGGTAGGGAATGGGTTTGGGGGGATCAGGAATGGGTTTGGGGGGAGGTTTGGGGGGGTCAGGAACGGGTTTGGGGGGTCAGGAATAGGTTTGGGGGGAGGTTTGGGGGGGTCAGAAATGGGTTTGGGGGGTTCAGGAACGGGTTTGGGGGGTCAGGAACAGGTTTGGGGGGGTCAGGAACAGGTTTGGGGGGTCAGGAATGGGTATGGTGGGTCAGGAAAGGATTTTGGGGGGGAACTGGGTGGTCTGGGGTGGATTTAAGGGACAGGAGGAGAAATTAGTAGGGGTGGGGGTCGTTGCTTTGGGATTTAATGGGGGGGGAAAGGAGAGTTTTGGGAGCAGGTGCAGGGGGGTGGGGGGGTCACAGGGGTTTTGGGGGGGTCACAGGGGTTTTGGGGGGGTCACAGGTTTGGGGGCTCCCCTGGATTGTTTCTCCCTTGTCGTGGCAGCTCTGTTCCCCCCCCGGGCAGCTCCGGGCGCTCGGCCGACGCCGCCTCCACCCTCGGTGGGTCCTGGGGGGATTTGGGGGGTCCTGATGGGGGTTTTGGGGGTGGGGTACATTTGGGGGGGTCCTGGGGAGATTTGGGGGGACACGGTGCTGTCGCTGTAGGACAGAAACGGAACATTTGGGGTGCCCCACTTCCTAAACTTTGGGAACAGGGGTGGTGTTTGGGGCTGGGGGGGCGGGGCAGTGCCTGGACACGGTTTTTTGGGTGGTTTTGGGGTGGGGGAGGCCCCGGGGGTCCCTCCCCGCTGACGGGGGTCCCGCAGTGACGGGCTCGGAGTACGAGACGATGCTGGCCGAGATCGTGTCCATGGGCTACGAGCGGGAGCGCGTGGTGGCCGCGCTCAGGGCCAGCTACAACAACCCCCACCGGGCCGTGGAGTACCTGCTGACGGTCAGGGGGGGTCTGGGGGCTGTGAGAGGGTTTGGGGGGGATTTTGGGGGGCTTTGAAAGGGTTTGGGGGAGTTTGGGGTGGGGGAGAGGAGGTTTGGGGAGGGTTTCGGGTGGATTTGGGGTGGTTTGGAGGGGTTTTGGGGGGCTTTGAGAGGGTTTGGGGCAGTTTGGGGTGGGGGAGAGGGGGTTTGGAGGGGTTTTGGGGGGCTTTGAGAGGGTTTGGGGTGGGTTTGGGGTGGTTTGGAGGGGTTTTGGGGGGCTTTGAAAGGGTTTGGAGGGGTTTGGGGTTTGGGATGGGTTTGGGGAGGGTTTGGGGTGGTTTGGAGGGAATTTTGGGGGGCTGTGAGAGGGTTTGGGGTGGTTTGGAGGGGATTTTGGGGGGCTTTGAGAGGGTTTGGGGGAGTTTGGGGTGGGGGAGAGGGGGTTTGGGGAGGGTTTTGGGTGGGTTTGAGATGGGTTTGGGGAGGGTTCATGGGGTTTGGAGGGGGTTTGGGGTGGGGGAAAGGGGATTGGGGGAGGTTTCAGGGGGTGTTTGGGGTGGGGGAGAGGGGGTATGGGATGGTTTGGGGAAGATTGGGGGGGTTTGAGAGGGTTTGGGGTGGCTTTGGGGGAGTTTGGGGTGGGGGAGAGGGGGTTTGGGATGGGTTTGGGGAGGGTTCGTGGGGTTTGGGGTGGGTTTGGGGGAATTTGGGGAGGGTTCAGGGGGAGTTTGGGGTGGAGGAGAGGAGGTATGGGATGACTTTGGGGTGGCTTTGGGGTGGTTGGGGAGTTTGGGGTGGGGGCGAGGGGGCAGTTCCAGCTGCAGTAATTGCATTTGGGGGTCCAGGATGGGAGTTCTGGGGGGTGCTGGGGGTGCTGCTGACCCCCCTGTCCCCCCCAGGGCATCCCCGGCAGCCCCGAGCCCGAGCGCCCCCCGGTGCAGGAGTCCCGTCCCCCGGAGCAGCCCCCGCCCGAAGGTCGGTGGGTGTGGTGGGCGGGGTGACCACACCCTCCGAGGCCACGCCCCCTTGCTGGGTGGGGCTAGGCACTCATTAATTATCTTCCTAATTGTTGGAGGTGTGGTCTGGGTGAATTATACTAATTTTTGGGTGTGGTTTGGGGTAAGACACTTATGGGGCCTGAGCCACACCCATTTATTATGGGGGGGGCTGAGCCACGCCCATTTTTGGGTGTGGTCCAGGTAAGCCACACCCATTTCTGTAAGCCACACCCATTTTGGGGTGTGGTCCGGATAAACCACACCCATTTTGGGCGTGGCCTACAAAGGTGTGGGGTGTCCGTGTGGCCCCGCCCCATCTGGGTGTGGCAGTGGGTGGGGAGATGGGCGTGGCCTGACCACACCCAAAAAATGGGCGTGGCCTGAGCCGCCGGCCCCGCCCCCAGGTGAGAACCCGCTGGAGTTCCTGCGGGAGCAGCCGCAGTTCCAGAACATGCGCCAGGTGATCCAGCAGAACCCGGCGCTGCTCCCGGCGCTGCTGCAGCAGCTGGGCCAGGAGAACCCCCAGCTGCTCCAGGTAACCCCCAAAAATCCCCAGAGATCCCCCAAAATACGCCCAGGGCCCACCTGGTCTGAGCACACACACCCCTGTACCCCCAAAATCTCACCTGGGCTGAGCACACAAACCCCAAAATCCCCCCAGAACCCACCTGGTCTGAGCACACACACCCCTGTACCCCCAAAATCTCACCTGGGCTGAGCACACAAACCCCAGAATCCCCCCAGAACCCACCTGGGCTGAGCACACACACACCTGTACCCCCAAAATCTCACCTGGGCTGAGCACACACACCCCTGTACCCCCAAAATCTCACCTGGGCTGAGCACACACACCCCAGAATCCCCCCAGAGCCCACCTGGACTGAGCACACAGCCCTTTTTTCCCCCAAAATCCCACCTGGGCTGAGCCCACTCCCCCAAAATCCCCCCAGAGCCCACCTGGACTGAGCACACACCACTTTTTTCCCCCAAAATCCCCCCAGAGCCCACCTGGGCTGAGGACACAGCCCTTTTTTCCCCCCAAAATCCCACCTGGGCTGAGCACACACACCCCAAAATCCCACCTGGGCTGAGCACACACCAATTTTTTCCCCCCAAAATCCCACCTGGGCTGAGCAGACCCCCCCAAAATCCCACCTGGGCTGAGCACACACACCCCTGTACCCCCAAAATCCCCCCAGAGCCCACCTGGGCTGAGCACACACACCCCAAAATCCCCCCAGAGCCCACCTGGGCTGAGCACACACCATTTTTTTCCCCCCAAAATCCCACCTGGGCTTAGCACACACCATTTTTTCCCCCCAAAATCCCACCTGGGCTGAGCAGACCCCCCAAAATCCCCGCAGCAAATCAGCCAGCACCAGGAGCAGTTCATCCAGATGCTGAACGAGCCGCTGGGCGAGCTGGGCGAGCTGGAGGGGGAGGTGGGCGCCATCGGGGACGAGTCCCCCCAGATGAATTACATCCAGGTGACCCCGCAGGAGAAAGAAGCCATAGAGAGGGTGAGCGCGGAGATTTGGGGCTTTTTGGGGGAGGAACGGCGGGGCCGTGATTAGCGGTCAGTGTTAATTAACGCTGATGGGAAATGGGGTTGGTGGAGGTTGGGGTGGTGGCAGTGGGATGAAGGAATAAAGGGGACAGGAGATGAGATCAGGGGGATCCAAAATTAATGGGATCAGGGGATGGGATCAGGGGATGGGATCAGGGGGATCCAAATTTAACAGGGTCAGGAGATGGGATTAGGGGATGGGATTAGTGGGATCCAAAATTAATGGGATCAGGGGGATCAAAAATTAACGGGGTCAGGGGATGGGATCAGTGGGATCCAGGGTTACAAAGAACAGGAGGTGCCATCAGTAAAATCCAAAATTAATGGGATCACAAGCTGCCATCAATGGGACCCAGGGTTAATGGGATCAGGAGATGGCACCAGTGGGATGAAAGGTTAATGGGGACAGGAGATGGGATCAGGGGGATCCAAAATTAATGGGGTCAGGAGATGGGATCAGGGGGATCCAAAATTGATGGGATCAGGGGATGGGATCAGGGGGATCCAAATTTAATGGGGTCAGGAGATGGGATCAGGGGATGGGATCAGTGGGATCCAAAATTAATGGGACCAGGGGATGGGATCAGTGGGATCCAAATTTAACGGGGTCAGGAGATGGGATCAGTGGGATCCAGGGTTAATGGGATCAGGAGATGGCATCAGCAGGGCCCGGGGTTAGTGGGGTCAGGGCTCAGAGTTAACAGGGTCGGGACCTGGGGTTAACGGGGTCAAGAGGCCGCTGTGGGGCTGCAGGAGCCGCTGTGGGGGTCCAAGCCCCTCTTTGGGGGTCCAAGCCCCTCTTTGGGGGTCCAAGCCCCTCCTTGGGGGGCGCAGGCCCGGCCCTGACCCCTGCCCCCAGCTGAAGGCGCTGGGCTTTCCCGAGAGCCTGGTGATCCAGGCCTACTTCGCCTGCGAGAAGAACGAGAACCTGGCGGCCAATTTCCTGCTCAGCCAGAACTTCGACGACGACTGAGGGACCCCCGGGCCTCCCCCTGCCCTGGGGGGCTCCTTCTGCCTCCGGGGGGGCCCCCACGCCTGTGTGGGGAGGTGGGGGGGGGGTTGGGATGGATCCAGGGGACCCCCAGCCCTGCCCCCACCCCGGGAGCAGGGGGAGCCCCTCGCTGCCCTGGGGGGGGTCTCAGCACCTCCTTTCTCCTGGCCCCCCCTCCCCAAAACCGACCCCCCCTCCCTGTCAGGCCCCGGGGATGGGAGGGTGGGGGAGGGGGGCGGTGCCGCGGAACAACCGAAAGTGGCGGCAAAGAGATTAAATGCAGAGTTTTAAACCCATTCCGGGCTGCTCACGGGACATCACCGGCGTTACCGGGGCGGGGGGGTCAGGAGGTCGCCCCGGTGGGTTTTGGGGGGGGTCTCGTCGCTCTCGGGGGGGGTCCCGGGGAGCGGCCGCGCCGCCGCCGCCGCCTCCGCCGCGGCCAGAGCGCTGCGGGCCGCCTCCTCCCGCTCCTGCCGCCGCCGCCGCTTCTCCTCGCGCCGCCGCCGCCGCTCCAGCTCGTCCAGCGCCTCCTGGGCCCGTTGCGAGGCGCGGGCGGGGGTCCCGGGCCGCGGGAGCCCCCCCAGCCCCGCCTCGGCCAGCAGCCGCTGCCGCCGCGCCGCGTCCGACCGCGCCCGTTCCCGGGCGGCCTCGCGCTCCCGGCGCCAGGCGGTAACGCGGGCCGGCATCGCCGCCAGGCTGCGTGCCACCAGCTCCTGCCTGCGGGCGGCACCGGGACATGGCACCGGGAACCGGGACACAGCACCGGGACAGGGACACGGCACCGGGACAGGGACACGGCACCGGGACATGGCACCGGGACATGGCACCGGGAACCGGGACACGGCACCGGCACCGGGACATGGCACCGGGACATGGCACCGGGAACCGGGACCGGGACACCGGGACATGACACCGGGACAGGGACATGGCACTGGGAACTGGGACACGGCACCGGGAACCGGGACACGGGATACGGTACCGGGACATGGCACCGGCACCGGGACACGGCACAGGGACATGGCACCGGGACACCGGGACATGGCACCGGCGCCGGGACACGGCACCGGGACACGGCACCGGCAAAGGGACACCGGTCCGGGGACACCGGGAGCCCGGCCCCAAACCCGGCCTGATTCTCCCGATACCGCCGGGCGATCCTCGCCAGAAGACTTAACGGGCCCGGTGCTCCCAGTCCTGTCCCAGTTCATCCCAGTCCCACACTCCCGGTGCTCCCAGTTCATCCCAAGGCCACTCCCGGTGCTCCCAGTTCATCCCAGTGCCACTCCCAGTGCTCCCAGTTCATCCCAGTGCCACTCCCGGTGCTCCCAGTTCATCCCAGTCCCACTCCCGGTGCTCCCAGTTCACCCCAGTGCCACTCCCGGTGCTCCCAGTTCACCCCAGTCCCATTCCCGGTGCTCCCAGTTCATCCCAGTCCATTCCCGGTACTCCAGCCCCACCTCTCCGTTCTCCGCCGCTCCTCCTCCCGCTCCCGCTGCTCCAGCCGGGCCTCCACATCCCGGAGCGGCGGGTCCCACTCGCGCTCCTCCGCCTCCAACTCCCGCAGCTGCTCCGGGCTCGGCCAGAGCCGCTCCACCGCCACCCCCGACGCCTCCCCGAGCCGCCCGAACCGCCGCGCGGCCGCCCGCAGGTCCCCGGGGTCAGCAGGGGCCGGGCCCGGGCGGCGGCGCAGCGGATCCGCCCGGTAGGGCCGCGCGGGGACCGGAACCGGCACCGGGAACCGGGAACGGGCCGGGCCCAGCGCCAGCAGCGCCCGCCGCAAGGGCGCCGCCATCTTGGGCACGCGCCGGAAGTGACGTCAGCGGCCGGAGGCGCGGGGAGGGGTGGGGGCGGAGTCAGCGCGGTGGGTGGGGCAGTGGGCGTGGCCACCGGGCTGGGGGCGGAGCCAGGCGGGGGTCCCGGAGGGTCCCGGGGGTCTCGGGGGGTCCCGGAGGGTCCCGGGGGGTCCCGGGAGCGGCTCAGCCCCGGGGGAGTTCAGGGGACCCCGAGGGGGGCCGGGGGGGGGGCTCGGAGAGCAGCGTCCGTGGGGACTCGGTGGGACCGGGGAGCACCGGGGGCTCGTCCCGGGGGTCCCGGCAGGGTGTGGGGGACCCCCGCGGGGGAATGCGGCTCCTCCGGGGCGCAGCTGCCGCCCCGGAACGGCACCGGGGGGGCCGGGGGCGCGCTGCCAGCGACCCTCGGCTCCTCCCCGTGGGGTGGGGGGGGCTGGGCTGGGGGCGGACCCCCCTAAACCCCCCCAAACCCCCCCTAAACCCCCCTAAACCTTTTCAGCCGCCGCCAAGCCCGGGGCCGCTGCCAAGCGCCGGGCGCCGTTAACCCCTCCGTGCCCGCCGCCCGCCCCCCGGACGCCCCCCATCACCGGGAACGCCCCCCCCCCCCATCACCGGGAGCCCCCCCGCCACCACCGGGATCCCCCCAGCGGGAGGGGCTAACGGGAGCGGGGCCCGCGGTTACCGCCGGTGGCGGGGCCGCTCCTCGCGGGGCCCCCCGGGCCACCGGGGCCCCCCCGCCCGCCCGCGCTGGCGGGAGCCGCCGGGGCCCGCGGAGGGGGGGCGGCCCTAATGGCTTCCAGGCCTCGGCAGCCGCCGAAAATCTGCCGCCGAGCTGAGCCAAAACCCCCCGAAATCGCCCCAAAAGCTTCCCCGGTCCTCCCCCGGACGGGGGGGGGGGTGTCCGATGGGCTGGGGCCCTCCCCGCCCTCCGCGGCTCTCGGGGGTCCCGATTTCCCCCTCCGCCGGTGGAACCGGGGCCCCTGATCCGGGTCAACCGGAGGGGCCCCGTTTCGGGGCGGTTTTGCCCCGTTTCGGGGCGGTTTTGCCCCGTTTTGGGGGTTCTGCCCTTCCCGCATTTCTCCGGTCCCGCCGCCCCCAGCCCCGATTTCCTCCGGGGGAGGGGGGGGCCATGCCCCGGGACACCCGTGTCCCCTCCGCCGCGTCCCCGGCGGTGGCAGGTGACACGCTGCGGTGTCGCGACATGCCGAGGCGCTGTCCCCGCGTGTCGCGACCCGCGCGGGCCCCGTCCCGCCGCCCCCGCCCCGCTCCATCTGCGGCCGCAGCCGGTGACGGCGGCACAGCTGGCGCGGGGGTCCCCGAGCAGCCGGTGGGGGACACCGGGGGGGACACCGGGGGGGACACCGGGGGAACACGGGGGCTCGGGTCACCTCTGCCGCCCTGTCCTGTCCCCGCTGTCGCCTCCCGGTGCCCGGCGGGGCGGGGGTTTTGTCCTCCCGTGTCCCCCGTGTCCCCAGCGGGGTGGCGGAGGTGGCACCAGCGCGGGGAGGGGACACGGCTGTGCCACCCGCGGGGGACACGGGGGGCCCGGGACATCCCCCCAGGCGCTCCCGGGGTCCTCTCCGGTGTCCCCAAGGCCGTGGCACCCCGCGGTGGCGGCGGCGGCTCCGGCAGCGAAGGGGTGACAGCGGCGGTGGCGGCGGTGCCAGCGCTGGCACCGGGTGGTGACAGATGGCGGAGGGACGCGGCCGCAGCCGGAATGACAGATGAGGCTCCGCCGTCACCGCCGCTGCCATCGCCACTGTCACTGTCACTGCCATCGCCGTGTCAGCGCCAGTGTCACCCGCGCCGCCGTGGCACTGGCACTGCCACTACCCTGTCACTGTCACTGTCACTGTGTCACCCGCACCGCCGTGGCACTGTCACCGCCACTGCCATCACCATGGCACTGCCACCACCGTGTCACTGTCACCGTCAGTGGCACTGTCACTGTGTCACCCGCACTGTTACCACCACTGCCATCACCATGGCACTGTCACCATCAGTGGCACTGTCACTGTGTCACCCGCACTGTCACCACCACTGCCATCACCATGGCACTGCCACCACCGTGTCGCTGCCAGTGCCACCCGCACCGCCGTGGCACTGGCACCGTCACCCCCCCACGGCACTGTCCCCGTGGCTGTCACTGGCACTGTCGCGACACTGGCACTGTCATTGTCTTGTCCCCGCCGCTGTCCCCGCCGCTGCCGTGGCCACCGCACCGTGCCACCCCCGGTGCTGCCACCGCCGCTGTCACTGTCACCGGCGGGGCCCTGCCAGGGCTGCGGAGTCCCAGCGATGGTGGCACAGGGCTGCAGAGGGGATGGCGGCCATCCTGTGTCCCCCCGTGTCCCCTCTATGTCCCCCCGTGTCCCCTCTATGTCCCCCCGTGTCCCCCCCGTGTCCCCCTCGTGTCCCCCCGTGTCCCCCCGTGTCCCCTCTATGTCCCTCCGTGTCCCCCCGTGTCCCCCCGTGTCCCCTCTATATCCCCCCGTGTCCCCCCGTGTCCCCCCGTGTCCCCTCTATGTCCCCCCGTGTCCCCCCGTGTTCCCCCCGCTCCGTCCCGCCGTGGGCGTGGCCTGTGGCACAGTGGGCGTGGCCCCGAGGGGAGTGGGCGTTCCCGCGATGTGGGCGTGTCCTCGCCCGTCTGGGCGTGGCCAGAAGAGGCGTGGCCTCCCGCGGTGGGCGTGGCCGGCGCGCGCTTCCCGCGGCAAAAGTGCGGCGGGCGCCAACTTCGGGCAAAACTTTCCCCGCGCGCCGCCGGCACCGGGACCCCCGGGACCCCCCGGCACCCCCCGGACCCCCCCGCCATGCCCCGCCGCGGCTGACACCGCCGCCATGTACTCCCCGTATTGCCTCACCCAGGTACGGCTGGGCCGGGGGGGCCGGGACCGGGAGGCGCCCGGTAACGGCGGGGGTGGCGGCGGTGGCGGTGGCGGTGGCGGGGGGGGACGACACACACCGGTGCGATCGGCTGTTGCCCTCTAAAATGGGGTGTAATGGGTGGGGTTGCGACCCCTCCGCGGGCGCCGGTACCTCCCGGGGCAGCGGCGGCTGCGGGGACCGAGATGGGGCCGGTCCGGGGCTGCCGTCCCGGAGCGGCCCCGGTCGGCTCCACGGTGCAGGGGCTCCCGGTTCTGCCGCGATGCGGAGCGGATCTGAGCGCCGGGACGCTCGGCCCGGTGCCGTCGCGGATCCCCGTTGCCGCCGGGGTCCCCCCCGGCTTCGGTGCGGGACCCCGGGGACGGAGCCGCCGGTGCCACGGGGGGTTTCGCGTCCACGGCAGCGCCGGGACGGGCGGGACCCCGGCCCCGGAGCGGGGTTTTGGCGCCGGGACCCGTCAGAGCGCGACCCGGAGGCTCCGGGGTCGACTTCGTGGGCTGGACGAGAGCGAAGCCCCCCGGGGGCACCGCGTCCGGGGGGCGCCCCGTTGTGGGGGGGACTGCGGGGTCGGGGGGGGCCCGTGAGCCGCTTTCGGGGCGGGAGGAGCAGCAGCGGCCGCTTCCCGGGGAGGGCACAACTCGGGGGCTGCGGCGCGGGGGTCCCCGTTAGGGCTCCGTGCCCCCCCCGCGCTGTCCCGGGACGGCCCCGGTGTCCCCCCCAGCGCGGTTTGCGGGGCCGCCCCCGCCGGGCGTTGCTGTTTCCCCCCCCGCCGCCGGCGTTGCCCTTTTCTCCCGCTTTTCGGGGCGGTTTTGGCGGCCGGTTGCGTCTGGGCCGGCGGCCAGCGGCGCTTCTCGCAGCTTCGGCGCCCGCCCCGCACACGCGTGTGCACGCGCCAGGGACACGCCAGCGCACACGCGTGTGCCCCTGCCCGCACACGCCGCGGCCCGCCCGTGCCCGCGGACACGCGTGTGCCCCGCGCCCCCCCCCCGGGGCCCCGTTTTGCTCCCCTCGTGCCGCCCCTGCAGCCGCTCCCGGGGGCTTTGGGCCGGTGCCACCGGCGGGTTTCGGGCTGCACCGGGAGCGCTGCGGGACCGGCGGGCGCGGGCTGGCCCCGGTGCTGCACCGGCCGGTGTCCTGCCGGTGTCCTGCCGGTGTCTCCCGGTGGCCCGGCAGCGGCTCTGGCCTCCTTGGGGACACCGCGGGCTCCGGCTGTCGGTGCCACGGCTGCTCCCGTGCGTCCTCCCCGTGTCCCTTTGTGTCCCCTCCGCGTCCCTCGGGGTCCCCCCGTGTCCCCTCCCCGCCCCGCGGAGCCACCCCCTGCCCGTCCCCGTCACTGTCACCAGCCCGGCATCCCCGGTGCTGTCACCACCGGGGTGACCCGCGCGGTGGGGACACCCCCGGCCCTCTGCCGGTGCCCCGGTGGCCGCGGGGGTGGCGGCCAAGCCCCTCACCGGTGCTCGGCTGCAGTGCAGGAGCCGTGCGTGGCACAGGTGTGACCCGCACACGCGGGACAGGGCACGGCTGTGACACGCGTGTGACGGGGCACAGGCGGGACACCCGTGTGATGCGGCACGGCTGTGACAATCGAGGGACAGGGCACAGGTGTGACGGGGACAGGGGCCGTGCACACGTGGCGGCCGTGCCGGTGACACGCGTGTGACACACGTGCGTGACACCCGGGGCGTGCCAGGCCCGGTGCCCCCCGTGCTGTGGCTGATGCAATCGGGGCAGGGGGAGGCACCGGGGGGACAAACCGGGGGGACAAACCGGGGGGACAAACCGGGGGGACACCGTGGGGGACAAACCGGGGGGACAAACCGGGGGACAAACCGGGGGGACAAACCGGGGGGACACACCGTGGGGCACGCGTGGCTTTGTGGACCCCCGGGCACGCGTGGCTCGGCACGTCCCCGCCCGGCGCTGCCGCACCCCCGTGTCGCAGTGCCGCGCTCAGCCCCCTCCCCGTGTCCCCCCCCGTGTCCCCCCGTGTCCCCCCGGTCGCCGGCGGCATCAATAATGGAGGAGCCCTTGGCCGGGCCGGGGGGGCCCTGAATTATTGATGGGCCACAAAAAGCTTTCTTGGACGCCGCAGCACCGCGGGGCCCCCCCCGGCCCGGGCTGGCACCGGGCCACGGCGGGGGCCGGGCCGCGGGGTCCGCGCCGGGGCGGGAGCGGGGCCGGGGCTGCGGGGAACGCCCGGAACGGCCGCGGTCCCGCCGTGCCAAACCGCGGCCACCGCCCGGAATCCGCCGCCGGTGCCCCCGCGGAGCCGCCCGGGACCCCCGCCCGCGCTCCCCCCCGTGCCGGGCTCCCGGTTCGGGGCTCGGGGCACCGGGGGGGCGATGCCCGGGTTCCCCTCGAGCCGCCGGGACGCTTGGATGCTCCACGTGGCTGCGGCAGGACCGGGCGGGCGCTTCCTCTGCGCGGCCCGGGCCCCCCCCCCAATACCGGGACCCCCCCCCGGGGCGCCACGGTTCCCCCCGCCATACCGGACACCCCTGCCCGTGCCACGGTGCCCCCAAAACGCCCGGGTCTCCCCTTCTGGGCTGCCTGGGCCCCTGCCAGAACCATCCGGCACCTTCTCTCCGAGGCCACCTGGATGCCAAGGTCCCCCCCGGACACCGGGGACCCCCGTGGGCCCCCCGGCTCCCCGCTCGGGGGTCCAGGACACCCCTGGCTCGCTCCCACCCCCCTCGGCTGCCCTCCTCCCCCCCTCCCCACACACGGGAGGGTCTTGGCAGCGGCGTCAGGGGCCGCCGGGGGGATTTTTGGCGGCAATTCCGGCTGTTTCGGGCTGTTTTCTCTCGCGGCGAAGCCGAGGGCCGGGGGGAGCTGGCAGCGGCGCGGGGGGCGGGCGCTGCCGGCCCGGGGGGGTGCTGAGGAGTGGGAAGGGGGGGGAGGTTGGTTGGTTTGATTTCTTTTTTTTTTTTTTTCCTTTTTTTTTTGTCTTTTTTTCCCTCTTTTCTGTTTTTTCTGGGCTTTTCCCTCCCGATCCGGCGCCGCCCCCCCTGCCGCCGCGCTGGCGCTCTGCCGGGCGCTCGCAGCTGCGGACGCGGCGACGTGGCTTCGCCCGAGACTGCGGCTCAATGCGGGGCCGGCGCAGCCAATGGCAGCTCCGCGGCACCGCGGCACCGCCGCCGGACCCGCCTCGGCACCGGGCCCCGCGCCCGCCCCGGGACCCCGGCCCGGCCGCCGACCGCGCGCAGCACCGGGCCCGGGGCTCCGGAACCTTCCGTGGCGGCCGGCCTCGCTCCGGGCCAGGCTGGGGAGGGGTCCCACGTGTCCGGGAGGGGTCCCAGGCGTTGGGGAGGGACCGGGCGTGCCGGGCGGTGTCACCGGGGCCGGTGGCTCTTTGTCTGGGCCGGGGCTTTGGCGGGGACGGAGGCATTCAGGCCGCTGACCCCATCGCCCGAGCCGGCCTGGCCGCCACCGTGCCCGGCCTGGGGTCACACCGGTGTCCTGAGGGGTCACTCCGGTGTCCTGAGGGGTCACACCGGTGTCCAGAGGGGTCACCCTGGTGTCCTGAGGGGTCACACCGGTGTCCAGAGGGGTCACACCGGTGTCCAGAGGGGTCACACCGGTGTCCAGAGGGGTCACTCCGGTGTCCTGAGGGGTCACACTGGTGTCCTGAGGGGTCACACCGGTGTCCTGAGGGGTCCCACATGTCCCAAAGCCCCCCCTGCACCGAGCAGATGCTGCTGGGCCCAGCCCTGGGGTCCTGTGCAGCTGCCAGGGAGGGATTCCGGGCCGGGGGGGCCCAACCACCATCCTCAGCCCCCCCAGGAAATCCTCCCCGCTGCGGCTTTGGGTTGAAAACCGCGAGGTTTGGGGCTGGGCGGGAGCCGCTGCCCAGGCCCGCTGCCGAAACGCCCAAATTTTGGTTTCTTCCCTTTGCACAGAGGGATTTAATTACCGGGGGGGGTGTGGGGGGTGGGAAGGGGGGGAAAAGTGTTGGCTCCGAGCGCCGTGCCGGGATTTTGGGGGCAGAAACGTCGGGTTTGGGCCATTCCGTGCTGGGGCCGCCACGGGGTTGGGGCAGGCGGCCAAATCCGGGACCTTCCCGCTCCGGTGGCGGCGGGGGGGGAGCAGCGGGACCCCCTGGGAACCCCCCCCGGCCCCAGAGGCGTCCTCGCCCGACCCTTTTTGCACGAGGGTTTTTTTGCACGAGGGTTTTTTTTGCACGAGGGTTTTTTTGCACGAGCACGAGGGGCCGCAGCAGGACCCCCGCCCCTCCACGTTTTCCGCGGGGGATTTTTGGGGCGAATCCGCGGGGTTTTGGCGAAGCCCCCCCTCCCCCCCGGGGGGTCTCATCCCCCCCTCCCCTCCCCCCTCCCCCGGTTTCCCCTCCCCCACCCCGGGGTCCCCCCGTTGCACGCGCGGGGCACACTCGCCCCCCCCATTCGGGCCACGCCCCCTCCTGCCAAACCACGCCCACACTGCCACGCCCCCCTAAGTCCTGACCAATGGGGAGGCCGCTCCCCCCGCGCGCTGCGCTCCCATTGGCTGCGGCCGTTCCGGTCCCGGTGCCAAAAAGGGGCCGCGGCGGCTCCGCGCGCTCCGCGCCCGCGGCGGCGGCGGCTCCGGGACCCCCCGACAGCGACCCCCCCCCCCCCCAAAAAACAAACCGGGACCGCTGCCCGCACACACGCACACCGGCAGGGACACCCCGACACCGGGACCCCCCGCACCGGGATCCCCCCCATCGCCGGTAACCGGCACCCCGCGGCGGCTGCGCTGTCCCGCCAGCCGGGACCCAGCTCCTCCATCCCGCGGTTACCGGGACCCCCGACACCTGAGCGTTCCCCCCCGCACGGTCCGCACCCCCGACCCGCCCCCCTCCCTTCCCGGTAGTCCCCGTTAATCCCTTCTCCCCCACTCCGTTTGAGCCCCCCCGTCCCCCTCTGTCGCCCCCGGTTCTGCCCCGCCGGGGCCCGACTGGCAGCTGCCTACGGCCGGGATGAGCCGCCGCGATGGTACGGACGGAACGGGCCGGGAGCGGCGGGGCCGGGCCGGGTACCGGGGACAGGCACCGGTGACACCGGGGACTGCGACAGCGGCCGGGATGGGGCCGGGGAGCGGCGGCACCGGGGAGCGGGGAGAAGGAACGGGGAGCGGCGCCGCTGGCGGTGCAGGCAAGGGACGGAGGCGGCACCGGGGACTGCCGGGGATGGAGATCGGTGGCACCGGCGGTGGGGACGGGGACCGGGATGGGATGCGGGAGCATCACCGGGAGCCGGACGGGGACGAGCGGGGAGGGACGGGGCTGTGGTGGCTGTGGCAGTCCCCGAGACAGGGCTACGGTGGCACCGGGGACGGGGCTGTGGCGGCACCGGGGACGAGGCTGTGGCGGCACCGGGGACGGAGCTGTGGTGATGGCACCGGGAACGGGGCTGTGGTGGCACCGGGGACGGGGCTGTGGCGGCACCGGGGAGGGAACTGTGCCAGTACCGGGGACGGGGCTGTGCCAGTACCGGGGACGGAGCTGTGGCGGCACCGGGGACGGAGCTGTGGTGATGGCACCGGGGACGGGGCTGTACCAGTACCGGGGACAGGGACGGGACCGGGACGGGCTCAGCCATCCCCATCCCGCTCCATCCACACGGGAGCCTGGCGGGACCGGGAGCCGCCTCTTCCCCGGGAAGCACCGGGAACCCGGCGCATCCCCGCGGGGCCGGGAGCGCCGGGGTCACCCGCGGGGCCGGATCCGCCACCTCCGGTGCCCGGCGGGGCTGCGGCCGCCCAGCCCGTGCCTGTGCCTCCCCTGCAGGATGAGTTCCACCCCTTCATCGAGGCGCTGCTGCCCCACGTCCGGGCCTTCTCCTACACCTGGTTCAACCTCCAGGCCCGCAAGCGCAAGTACTTCAAGAAGCACGAGAAGAGGATGTCCAAGGAGGAGGAACGCGCCGTCAAGGACGAGCTGCTGGGCGAGAAGCCGGAGGTCAAGCAGAAATGGGCCTCGCGCCTCCTGGCCAAGCTGCGCAAGGACATCCGGCCCGAGTGCCGCGAGGACTTCGTGCTGTCCGTCACCGGCAAGAAGGCGCCGTGCTGCGTCCTCTCCAACCCCGACCAGAAGGGCAAGATCCGTCGCATCGACTGCCTGCGCCAGGCCGACAAGGTGTGGCGCCTGGACCTGGTGATGGTCATCCTCTTCAAGGGCGTCCCGCTGGAGAGCACCGACGGCGAGCGCCTGGCCAAGGCGCCCCAGTGCGCCAGCCCCGGCCTCTGCGTGCAGCCCCACCACATCGGCGTCACCATCAAGGAGCTCGACCTCTACCTGGCCTACTTCGTCCACGCGCCAGGTGAGTGCGGCGCCCCGTCCCGCGGCCCCGCCGGGGGTTGGGGTGGTCCGTGGGGCCGCCCCCCGGGACCCCCGGCCCCGGTTGGGGCGTCCCCGGGCGGCCTCGCTCGCACAAAGCCGCGCCGAGTGCCAACGCACGCGCCGCGCGCCCGGCGCCGCGTGCCAAGCCCGCGTGCCAGGATGGGCGCTGGGAGCGGGGCCGGGATTGGCACCGGGACGGGCGCGGGGGCCGGGATGGGCTCCGGGATTGGCACCGCTCCGGGTCTGGGGCGTGCGAAGCACCCCCGGTGCCCCGGGGGTCGGTGCCGTGCACAGGCTGGGGGGTTCACACACGTGTGCCCCCACCTCAGCCGCGTTCGCACACGCGTGTGAGCCCCGTGTGTGTGTGTGTGTGTGTGTGTGTGTGTGTGTGTGTGTGCGGGGGGACCCCAGCCCGGCCGCCCCGGCTGCGGGGAGGGAATTTTGGGGGTTCGGGGCGGCTCCACGGGCGCCTCCATCCTTCCCAGGCACCGGGGCCGAGGAGCCGCTCCGGGGGCGCGCGCGCTGCCCCCCTCCCCAAATCCCCCTCCGCGCCCGTGTGCCAGACCCTGTGTGCCCACAGGGGGGGTCCCAGCCCCCCCAGCCCCCCCAGGCCCCCCCCCCGCGCCCCCCATCCCCCCCCCCGGAGCAGCTGCCGGGGCTCGAATCCCCCAAACGCGGCTCCCACCCGGCGCCGCCAAAATGGCCCCGGTTGGCACCGTGCCCCCGTGCGCGGCACGAGGCCCCGCCGGCAGCCCCGGCCCCCCCCCCGGCGGCCCCCCCGCGCCCCCCGCCCCCTCCCCACGCCGGGGGCCCTTTGGCTGCCGCGGGCCGGGGGGGGCTCGGTGCCAACCCCCCCTTGCGCGTAAGATGGCGGCGCTTGTTGGCACCCGAAACGCTCTGCGGCACCGCGGCCCCGCGCCGGGACCCTCGCGCTGCGGGGACCCCCCCGGCCCGTGCGCCGGGACCCCCGTGCCAAGGTGTGTCACCCCCACACCCCCCCCCAAAGCCACCATGGCACCCCCAGCCCCGGCCTGGGCCCCCCCACCCGCCCCTGGCACACCCTCGTGCCCCGGGGGACGCCTGGGGACATCGGGGTCCCCTTCCCCACCGGGGGGGCTCAGGGTGGCTCTGGGGGGGACATGGGGACGGGGTGAGGCTGGGGGCTGCAGCAGCTCAGGGGGGGGTCAGGGTGCAGCCGTGGGGGTCTTTGGGGCTCGGGGGGTTCCAGGTGCTGCCCAGGTGCTGCTCCCCCTCCCCAGCGTGGGGGACGCAGGTGTGGGGTGGGGGGGACACCCCCGGGGGGGGAGGGGGCGCAGCTGCCCAGCAGCACCTGCACCCCCCCCCCCATGCGGGTGGGGGTCGGGGGGCTCTGGGGTGGGGGGGGTGAGGGAGGAGGGGGTGCAGGGACCCCCCCCCCACCCCACGGTGGCTCCGGAGGGGTCTGGGGGCTGGGGGAGGACCCGGCGTGGGGGTGGGAGGGGTGAGGGAGGGTTGGGGAGGGGAGGGGGGGTCTGGCACGCGCCCGCCACGCGCCCCCCCCTCCCCCAATTGAGGTCGTGACCCCGCGCGTGCCCCGGTGACCCCTGACCCCCCCCGCGGGGTGACACGGCGGGGTCACCACCGGGCCGGCGGGGGGGGGGGGGGACACACCGAGCCCCCCCTCCCCTCGGGGGGGGCACCGGGGGACCCCCACCAATCCGGGCTGGGGGGGGACACCCCTTCCCACGGGATGGGGGTCCCGGGGGGGTTCCCAGGTGGATGGGGGGGACCCCGGGGAGGGGGGGGTTGCCGGGGGGGACCGGGTGCCCCCCCCTCCCGGCGCAGACAATGGGCGCTTTGTTGGCGCTGCCCGCTGGCGGGGGGCCAGCGCATTCCTGGCCCCCGGCCCGGCCCCACGGCGGCCCCCGGACCCCCCCCGGCCCGGCCCGGCCCCCTGCCAGCCCCGACCCCCCCCCGGCCCCAGCGCCGGCTGCGCCCCCCCCCATCACCTGCCCGAGGGGTGCGCGGCCACCGGGGTCCCCTCGGGGGGTCGGTATTGGGGGGGGGGGACACCCCCGCACCCCCAGACCCCCACACCTGGGTCCTGCCCGATCGGGGGTGGGGGGAGCCACCGGCGGGGCCCCCCCCGGGGGCGCTGCGGGCGCTGGCGAGGTCCCGGCGGGCGCTCACCTCGAACGACCCCGCGGGAACAACGGCGCCGTTCATCGCCGGCACCGGCGGCGGCGGCGGGGCCGCCCCTCCCCCGGGGCATCGCGGGGTCCCCGGGGGTCGCGGGGGGTGGGGGGGGACACCCCCGCGTCCGCGGCTGACCCCGTTTGTTCGTCCCCCCCCCTCCCCCCCAGATTCCGGACAATCCGACAGCTCCAACCCCCAGGGAGACGCGGACATCAAACCACTGCCCAACGGTGGGTGCCCGGTGTCCCCCGGTGTCCCTGCAGTGTCTCCCGGTGTCCCTGCAGTGTCCTCGGTGTCCCCCGGTGTGCCCCGGTGTCCCTGCAGTGCCCCCGGTGTCCCCCGGTGTCCCCCGGTGTGCCCGGTGTGCCCCGGTGTGTCCCGGTGTGTTCCGGTGTCCCTGTAGTGCCCTCGGTGTCCCCCCGGTGTCCCTGCAGTGTCTTCCGGTGTGTCCCGGTGTCCCCCCGGTGTGCCCCGGTGTCCCTGCAGTGCCCCCGGTGTCCCTGCAGTGCCCCCCGGTGTCCCCCGGTGTCCCCCCGGTGTCCCTGCAGTGTCTTCCGATGTGTCCCGGTGTCCCCCGGTGTGTCCCGGTGTCCCCCCGGTGTGTCCCGGTGTGCCCCGGTGTGCCCCGGTGTGTCCCGGTGTCCCCCGGTGTCCCTGCAGTGTCTCCCGGTGTCCCCCGGTGTCCCCGCGATGTCCCCGGTGTCTCCTCTGTGTCCCCCCCCCGGTGTGTTCACCATCCCCGCGGTGTCCCCTCTGTGTCCCCGCCTCCCCCGCGGTGCCCCCGGTGTCCCCTCACTGTCCCCTCGGTGTCCCCCCGTGTCCCTCCTGTGCTGAATCCCCCCGCGGTGTCCCTGAGTGACCCCGGTGTCCCCCCCGGTGTCCCCCCCCGAGTGACCCCGGTGTCCCCCCCCGCTGTCCCCCCCCGAGTGACCCCGGTGTCCCCCCCGGTGTCCCCCCCCGGTGTCCCCCCCCGAGTGACCCCGGTGTCCCCCCCGGTGTCCCCAGGCCACCTGACCTTCCAGGACTGCTTTGTCACCTCGGGGGTCTGGAACGTGACGGAGCTGGTCAGGGTGTCCCAGAGTAAGTAGGGACACGGCGAGGGGGCTGCGGGCCGGGGGACACGGGGGGACACGGGGGGACACGGAGGGGACACGGGGGGACACTGGGGGGACACAGAGGGGACACGGGGGGACACGGGGGGGACAGAGCCGGGGAGGATGGCACTGGCAGTGAAGGGATGGGAGGATGGAGGAGTTGGGGGGGGCACGGCAGGGTCCTGCGTGGGTCCCCCACGTGTCCCCCGTGTCCCCCCCAGCCCCGGTGGCCACAGCGTCGGGCCCCAACTTCTCTCTGGCTGACCTGGAGAGCCCCGGGGGCTACTACAACATCAGCCCCGTGGCCCTCGGCCGCCGGCCCCTGGGACCCCCCACCGCCAGGTACCCCCCGACCCCCCGCGACCCCCAGACCCCCCATTCCCCAAACCCACTCCCCCTTTTTGGGGTGCTCCCCTCCCCACGGGCTCTCCATCCCCCCAGGACCACCGGACGCCCCCAACCTTTGGGGTCTGAACGTTCTCCCCCGCACCCCACAAACCCCTCGGACCCCCAAAACCTGCCCAGACCCCCCCATTTGGGGGTTTGCCCCAAAACCCTGCGATTTGGGGGGGGGGGGGTTGCTCCGCTTCGCCCTGGGACCCCCTTTTGAGCGCTGTGGATACCCGGGGTGGGGGGCTGGGACCCCCGGGTCGCCCCGGGCGCTTTGGGGGTGACAGCCCCGAGCGCGGAGGTGACACCCCTGTCCCCACAGCGGCCCGAAGCGCCCCAAGGCGCTGGACGAGGGGGACCTGGAGGGTCCCGGGGACGACGTCTTCTACCCCGGGCCGGGGCGGTCCCCCGCCCCCGGCAGCAGCCAGGGGCCCTGGGGGGGGGACGTTGACACCGGTGGGTGAGACCCGGCGGGCTTTGGGGGCACCGGTGCCTTTGGGGGGGCTCCCGGGGACGGCCGCGGTTGTAGGGGGGGATGGAGGAGTCGGGAGGGACATCGCGACATCGCGACATCACCACGGGGACACCGGGGACACCGGGCGGGGTAACGGGGGGGCTCTGGGGATGCGGAGGGGGGGGGACACCGGGGGCGGGGAGGGGTGAGGGGGGGAGCACCGGGGGCTGGGGGAGGTGGGGAGGGGAGGGTTGGGGAGGGGGAAGGCGGGGGGAGCAGGGGTCCGGCTGCCCCCCCCGACCCCCCTGGACCCCCCTGGGCCCCCCCAGGCCCGGCGGCGCTGAAGAAGTCGGGGAAGTTGGATTTCTGCAGCGCCCTGGCCGGGCACGGCGCCGCGCCCCGCATGGCCTTCGGCCACCACCCCCTGCCCGTCCTGGCCGGCGTCCGCCCCGGTGAGACCCCACACCCCCGGGCCCGGGGGGCTGCCGGGGACCCCGCGGCGGGCCGGGCAGGGCCGGGAGGGCGATCCCGGGCGGGCCGAGGTGGCGGCGGTGGGGTGGGGATGTCGGGGCGAGCCCGGGGGTGGAACGGGGCGATGGGGCGGGGGTCCCGCGGCCGCTGGCGCTGAGGGTCCCTGCAGGCAGCCCGCGGGCCACGGCCTCGGCGCTGCACTTCCCGTCGGGGTCCCTCCTGCCCCAGTCGAGCCCCTACTTCGCCCACCCCACCATCCGCTACCACCACGGGCAGGACTCGCTCAAGGACTTCGTGCAGTTCGTCTGCGCCGACGGCGCCGCCCAGGGCCCCCAGGTGCGGCGGGGACGGGCGCGGGGGCGGCCCGGGGGTCGCGGGGGCGGCCCGGGGGTCGTGGGGACATCCCGGGGGTCTCGGGAGTCTCGGGAATCCCCGGTGATCGCGGGAACATCCCGGGAGTCGTGGGGACATCCCGGGGGTCTCGGGAATCCCCGGGGGTCTTGGGAATCCCCGGGGGTCTCGGGAATCCCCGGGGGTCGTGGGGACATCCCGGGGATCGCGGGGACATCCCGGGAGTCGTGGGGACATCCCGGGGGTCTCGGGGGTCTCGGGAGTCTCGGGAATCCCCGGGGATCGCGGGGACATCCCGGGGGTCTCGGGAATCCCCGGGGGTCTCGGGGACACCGGGACCCCCGCCACCCCCCGGCGGGGGCGGGGCCTGTCTCAGAACGAGGCGCAGGAGGCGGGGCCTCTCCCCTGTATGCAAATGAGGGCGAGGAGGCGGGGCGTGTATGCAGATTAGGTGCGGCCGGAGGGCGAGGAGATGCGCGCTATGCAAATAAGGCGAGAGGGGCGGGGTCTGTATGCAAATAGAGCGCAGGGGGCGGGGCCTGTATGCAAACGAGCCCGGGTGGCCGCGCTGGCCGCGGCAGACGGGGACCCCCCCCCCCCCCAGCCCCCCAAATTCCGACCTGGGGACCCCCAACACCGGGACCCCCCCAACTTGGAGACGCCCCACCGGGGACCTCCCACCTGGGGGATCCCCGTGCGGGACCCCCACGTGGAACCCCCCCCAAAGAGGGGCTGCAGGACCCCCGCCCCGCCCCGGGGGTCCCGGGGGTCCCGGGGGTCCCGGGGGTCCGTCACCGTGTTCTCGTTGCAGCCGTGCGGGGCGCAGGGCCGGGCTGGGGGGGCTGCGGGGGCCCCCCTGGCCCGACCCCTGCCCCTGCCCCCGCCGGAGCCCAAAGCCCCCAGCGGCCCCCCGGGCGGAGCCCCCGCCGCACCCCGTAAGTGCCCCCTGCCCCCCACGGCACCCCACGGCACCCCACGGCACCCCACGGCTCCCCCCGCGCCCGCAGCCGGGCCCTGGCCGTGGGGGGCGGGGGGCAGGGGGTCCCCGGGGCCAGGGGCAGGCGGGGGGGTGCCCAGGTGTGGGGGTGCCCAGGTGTGGGGGTGCCCAGGTGTGGGGGGCAGCAGTGAGGGGCAGGTGTCCAGATTTGGGGTGCACGTGCCCAGATGTGGGGTACACGTGCCCAGATGTGGGGTGCAGGTGCCCAGATGTGGGGTGCAGGTGCCCAGGTGTGGGGTGCAGGTGCCCAGGTGTGGGTGCAGGTGCCCAGGTGTGGGGTACACGTGCCCAGGTGTGGGTGCAGGTGCCCAGGTGTGGGGTGCAGGTGCCCAGATGTGGGGTGCAGGTGCCCAGGTGTGGGGTGCTGCTGTGGGGTGCAGGTGCCCATGTGTAGGGTGCAGGTGCCCAGGTGTGGGTGCAGGTGCCCAGATTTGGGGTGCAGGTGCCCAGGTGTGGGGTGCAGGTGCCCATGTGTGGGGTGCTGCTGTGGGGTGCACGGGGTGGCTGCAGGTGCCACCTGGGGACCTCAGGGCAGGTGGCAGCAGCTGCCCCGGGATGCCCCAGCACAGGGTGACACTTGTGACCCAGGTGACACTGACCCAGGTGACACAGGTGACACAGGTAACAGGGTGACCCAGGTGACAGTGACACAGGTGACCCAGGTGACCCAGGTGACAATGACCCAGGTGACACAGGTGACACAGGTGACACAGGTGACAGGGCTTCTCCAGGTGACAGGGGCTGCACCCGGGGCAGGTGACAGGTGCCAGGTGGGCAGCAGGTGACAGGTGACAGGTGGCAGGTGACAGGTGGCAGGTGCCAGGTGCCAGGTGCCAGGTGCCAGGTGGCAGGTGACAGGTGCCAGTGACAGGTGCCAGGTGACAGGTGCCAGGTGACAGGTGCCAGTGACAGGTGCCAGTGACAGGTGGCAGGTGCCAGGTGCCAGGGGCCAGGTGGCAGGTGACAGGTGGCAGGTGCCAGGTGACAGGTGCCATGTGACAGGTGGCAGGTGACAGGTGCCAGGTGAGAGATGCCAGGTGACAGGTGGCAGGTGACAGGTGCCAGGTGCCAGGTGCCAGTGACAGGTGACAGGTGCCCCGCCCGGCCCGGCTGCCCGTGCTTCATCACCTGCATCGCCATCGTCACCGGCCCGGCGCCTCATCCCCCCATTCCAGCCCGGTTCCTTCGCCATTTCCCCCCGTTTTTACCCCATTTTCGCTTTGGGGGGGGGTGGGGGGGAGGTGCGGGTTGGGGGGGGGTCCCGGACCCACCTGCGTGGGTGGGGCACACCTGGCCGCTCCCCCCGCCCCACCCCCACGGGGGGGACCCGGCAGTGTCCGGGGGGGTCGCACAGGTGAGTACCGGGGGGGGAGGGGAGGGGAGGGGAGGGAGGGGAGGGGAGGGGGCCTCGCCTCCGTGCCCACCGCGGGGGTCTCACCTGGAGCACAGGGAGGGGGGGGGGTCGGTTCCCGGTGCCCCCGCGGGCCCTGGGTGGGGGTTCCGGGCTGAGCCCGCTCTCCCCGCAGCATTCGCAGCGTCAGGCGCCGCCGCTGCCCCCCGCCTTGTCGGCCTCGGACCCCGCGACGGCAACTTTCTGAGCCTGCCCCAGCAGCAGGTACGGCCACACCTGGGACACCCCCGGGACACCCCCCGGGACACCTGGGACACCCCCCTGGGCATCTGGGACACCCCCCTGGGCATCTGGGACACCCCCTGGGCACCTGGGACACCCCCCAGGACACCTGGGACACTCCCCGGGACACCCCCTGGGACACCCACGGGACACCTGGGACACCCCCCAGGACACCTGGGACACCTGGGACACCCCCCCGGGCACCTGGGACACCCCCGGGACACCCTCTGGGACACCTGGGACACCTACGGGACACCTGGGACCCCTCCCCACACACCTGGGACACCCCTTGGGACACCTGGGACACCTACGGGACACCTGGGACACCCCTTGGGACACCTGGGACACCTCAACACACACCTGGGACACCCCCCGGGACACCTGGGACACCCCCTGGGACACCTACGGGACACCTGGGACACCTATGGGACACCTGGGACAACCCCCCGGGACACCTGGGACACCCACTGGGACACCTACAGGACATCTGGGACACCCCCCTGGGCACCAGGGACACCCCCTGGGACACCCACGGGCACCTGGGACACCTATGGGACACCTGAGCCCCCCCCCCACAAACCTGGGACCCCCCCAGCACACCTGGGCCCCGCCCACCGGAGCCCCCGGCCACGCCCCCTCGATGACATCACCGCGGGGACAAAGAGGGGCCGCCATTGGCCCCCCCCGCGCCGTGGCACGACGCCCGATTGGCTGCCTGCCCTGCGGCGCCGGCCGCTGATTGGCTGGCGGCGGCGCGGGCGCGGAGCCAATGGAAGGCGAGGAGGGAGCCAGGGCCGGCAGCCAATGGGGGCTCTCGGCGGGCCGCGCGCAGCCAAGCGCGATTGGCTGGCACCGCCAGGCGGGAGGAGGCGGGGCCGGCGCTGATTGGCTGGCACCGGCAGGGCCTTGGCAGGCAGCGGGCGCTGCGGCGGCACGGCGCGATCCCATTGGCTGCGCGCGGTGGTGCGGCGGCGGCGGCTCCGCCAATGGCGGGGCGGGGCGCCCGGGGGGGCGGGGCCAAAATGGGTGGGGGGGCTCCGACCCCCCCCCCTTTTGGGGGTCCTGGGGGGGCTCCCCCCCCCCCCTTTGGAGACCCCGCCCCCTTTTTGGGGTCCTGGGGGGATCCAGCCCCCCCCCTTTGGAGACCCCGCCCCCTTTTGGGGGTCCTGGGGGGGCTCCGACCCCCCCCCTTTGGAGACCCCGCCCCCTTTTGTGGGGGGTCAGAAGGGGTCCGACCCCCCCCCAAGCGACCCCCGAGTCCTAAGGGGGTCTCATCTCTTTTTTGGGGGGGTCGGGGACCCCCAAAAGTTGAGGTTGGGTGTCCTGGGGGGGTCGGGGGGGGTGGTTGGGGTGGGGGGGGGGTCTGTCTTTGTGCCCCCCCCCCCAAAAGCTGACCCCCCCCCCATTTCCCCCCCCCCAGTCCTGGTTCCTCTGACGCCGCCCCCGGACGAGGAGGAGAAACCGCCCGGAAAAAAAAAAAGGAGAAAAACCGGAAAAAAAAAAAAAAAAAAACCCACAAAAAATGACACAAAACAAAACAAAACACATAAAAAAAAACCACCCGCAAACCCCGCCAAAAACAAAACAAAAAAACAACAAAAAAAACACCCCCCCCCAAAAAAAAAATATCCGCACCCCCCTCCCCCCATTTCCTGACACCCCCACCCCAAAAAAAAACAACAAAAAAAAATCCAAACCCCCCCTTCCCCCCCCACGACGTGGATGAGGGTTCGGCCTCTCTGATGTGTCCCCCCCCCAAAAAAAATACCCCAAACCCCCCCCCGGCACACACAGGGTCACCCCGGAGGGAAATTTTGGGGGGGTGGGCGCAGATTTGAGGCGGGGGGGGGTCGGGGTCGGGGGGGACCCCCCCAAAATCACGCCTCTCCCCCCCCCCCCCAAAAAAAAAAAAAAAGCCGCGCCCCCCCCCCATCACCAGCACCCCCCCCCCACCCCCCAAAAACAGGCGCGTGCCGGGGGGGCCCCCCTCGCTGCAGGTCAGCGAGCGGGGGGGGGAGGGGGGCGAGGGGACCCCCCCTCAGACACCCCCCGGCCCCCCCCCGGGCTTTGGGGTTCCCCTAAACCCCCCCCCAAAAAATCCTCCTGCTCATTTTTTTAATTAAGTGCAATTACCCCCCCCCCCCCCCCCCCCCCCCCCCGGGGTCAAACTCCCGCGTTTTGGGGTCAAACCCCCCCTTTTTGGGGTCACACCCCCCGTTTTGGGGTCAAACCCCCCCTTTTTGGGGTCACACCCCCCGTTTTGGGGTCACACCCCCCTTTTTGGGGTCACACCCCCCGTTTTGGGGTCAAACTCCCGCGTTTTGGGGTCAAACCCCATTTCCGCCCACCTCCCCCTCCCCCTTTTGGGTCAGACCCCCCAGTTTTGGGGTTCCCCCCTCCCTTTTTGGGTTTTTTCCCCCATTTTGGGTTTCTCCCCCCTATTTTGGGGTTCCCTCCTCCCATTTTGGGTTTATCCCCCCTATTTTGGGGTTTTTCCCCCATTTTGGGGTTCCCCCCCCCCCTTTTTTTTCCAATTCCCCCATTTTGGGGTCAAACCCCTCCTTGTTCTGCTCCCCCCCCACCTCGGGGCCCCCCCTCCCATTTTGGGGTCAAACCCCCCCTTTTCGGGTCTCTCCCTGCCCCCCCCACGCTCTCCAAGTGCTTTTTTGGGGGAAAACCCCAATTTCCCCCGATTTTCCCCCCGAATTTCTGGTTTTTTTATCATTTTTGGGTAATTCCGCTCCCAATTCGCCTTCCGGGGGGGTCGCGGGGGGGGGGGGGGATGGAATTTGGGGGCATTTCGCTCATTTTGGGGTTTTCTGCACCTTTGGCCGATTTCGGGGCGGGGGGGGGGCGGGATCGGCCCCTCCCTCACCTCCCCCCCCCCAACCCGGGGGTGATTTTGGGCCCCCCCTCGGCCCCCCCGGATTTTGGGGTCAGACGGACCAAAATCGCTTTTGCCTTAGACCCCCCCGCGTGCCTTCCCCCCCCCCGCGACCCCTCCCCAAAATGGGGACACCCCCCCCCCCCCCACCGTGGGGTGAACCCCCTCTTTGTGACCCCCCCCACCGATTTTTGGGGACCCCCCACTCCCATCAGTGCCCCCCCCACGACAAACACCACCCCCAACCCCCCCCACCCCCAATTTTTGGGCTCCCCCCATTTCGGGGCCCCCATTGGGGCCCCCCCACCAGCAATGGGGCCCCCAACATTTGGGGACCCCCCACCCCCACCAGCAATGAGCCCCCCCCACCCCCCCCGGGCAATGCGTCCCTCCCCCACCTCTGGGCACCCCAATTTTGGGCCCCCCCCGCCCCAAAATGAAACCCTGGGGGGGGAGGGGGTGGGGGGGGGGCGATGTTTTTTGGGGGGGGGGTCGCACCCGCACCAGCGTTGCACATTTTGGGGACCCCCCCTCACCCCCCTGCACGTGGTAGTGACGTCATTTCCCATGGGGGGGTCGGCCCCTCCCCCCCCTCCCCCCCCCCCGGCGCGGGATAAAGAAAAAACCGCGGAAAAAACAAAAAAAAAGGGGCGGAAAAGGAGAAAAAAAAATGGAAATAAAAAATGTTACCCGCTGCCAGCGCCTGGCACAGGGGGGATTTGGGGGGGATTTGGGGGGGATTTGGGGGGCACAAAGGGGGATTTGGGGGGGCATTTTGGGGGTCTTGGGAGGATTTTTGGGGGTCCTTCCCATTTTGGGGGGGGCGTGTCCGCGTCCCTCAGTCCCGAGGCTCGAGCGGATTTGGGGAATTTGGGGGAATTTCCGCATGATTCCAATTTCCCAGTGCTCCCAGTAGCCCATCCCCCCCTCTCCCAGTGTCCCATCCCCCCCCCCCCAGTGCTCCCAGTTCCCTCCCCGCGCTCCCAGTGTCCCATCCCCCCTCTCCCAGTGCTCCCAGTGCTCCCAGTTCCCTCCCCCGCGCTCCCAGTGTCCCATCCCCCCTCTCCCAGTACTCCCAGTTCCCCCCCCGCTCCCAGTGTCCCCGCGGGGTCAGGTGACAGCGGCCCGGGGGGGGGCGGGGGTGGCGACCCCACTTCCCCTTCGGTGGCCATAAAGGGGCGGCGGGGGCGGCCCGGGGGGACAGCGGCGGCCGCGACGGTGAGTGACACCGGGGGGGACGGGGACAGCACCGGGTGACACCGGGGAGGGGACGGGGACACCCCCTGACACCGGGGCGGGGAGTTGTGGCACCCCCGTATTCCCCCGGTGACACCCCCAGACCCTGGGTGACACCAGGGAAGGGCAGGTGACACCCCCGGACCCTCGGGTGACACCCCAAGACCCCTGGGTGACACCGGGGGGGGGCTGTGGCAGCGCCGTGTCCCCCCGGTGCCACCCCGTGTCCTCCTTAGTGCCACCCTCGTGTCCCCCCGTGTCCCCCGGTGCCACACACTGTGCCAGCCCCGTGTCCCCCCGTGTTCCCCCGGTGCCACCCCCGTGTCCCCTCGCAGTGCCACCCCCGTGTCCCCCCGTGTCCCCCCGTGTGCCCCCCCTTCAGTACCATCCCCGTGTCCCCCCGGTGCCACCCCCGTTTCCCCCTCAGTGCCACCCTCGTGTCCCCCCGTGTCCCCCTCCCCGCAGTGCCACCCCCGTGTCCCCCTCAGTGCCACACTCTGTGCCACCCCCGTGTCCCCCTCAGTGCCACCCTCGTGTCCCCCCGGTGCCACCCCCTGTGCCACCCCCGTGTCCCCCCGTTTCCCGGTCCGAGTACCCCCGCAGTGCCACCCCCGTGTCCCCCCGCAGTGCTACCCCCGTGTCCCTCCCGCAGTGCCACCCCCGTGTCCCCCCGTTTCCCGCTCCGTGTCCCCCGGTGCCACCCCCGTGTCCCCCCGTGTCCCCCCGGGTCCCCCGGTGCCACCCCCGTGTCCCCCCGCAGATGCCGGCGCTGCTGTGGCTGTCGCTGCTGGTGAGCGCGGTGACGCCCGGTGCCGGTGCCGGTGCCGGTGCCGGTGCCGCTCTGACCTTCCTGGCCCTGGGCGATTGGGGGGGGCTGCCCGAGCCCCCCTTTGTCACCCCGCGCCAGGCGGCCACGGCGGCGGCCATGGGCCGGGCGGCCACCGAGCTCGGCGGGGACTTCGTGCTGGCCCTGGGCGACAACTTCTACTTCTCGGGGGTGCGCGACGAGTGGGACCCGCGCTTCCAGGTGACACCGCGACACCGCCACACCGGGGACAGACCGGCACCGGGGACAGACAGACACTGGGGACAGACAGACACTGGGGACAGCCCGACATTGGGGACAGACAGACACTGTGGGGACAGACAGACATTGGGGACAGCCCGACATTGGGGACAGACAGACACTGTGGGGACAGACAGACACTGGGGGGACACCCTGACCCCGGGGGGACAGCTGCCATCGTCCCCTCCGTGTCCCCAATGTGTCCCCATTGCCCCCCAATTGTCCCCATTGTCCCCGCGGTGTCCCCATTGCCCCCCCCCATGTCCCCACTGTCCCCCCATGTCCCCGTTGTCCCCCCATGTCCCCATTGTCCCCAGTGTGTCCCCACTGTCCCCTCATGTCTCCACTGTCCCCTCATGTCCCCGTTGTCCCCAGGACACCTTCGAGCGCGTCTTCGTGTCCCCGGGGCTGCGCGGTGTCCCCTGGTACGTGATGGCCGGGAACCACGACCACGCGGGCAATGTCACCGCGCAGCTGCGCTACAGCCACCACTCCCCGCGCTGGTACGGCCACCGCTGTCCCCGAGGGTCCCCGAGGGTCCCCAGGTGTCCCCAAGTGTCCCCAGGTGTCCCCAAGTGTCCCCAAGTGTCCCCAGGTGTCCCCAAACATCCCAAATCGCCCCGCAGGCACTTTCCGCACCCCTACTACAGCCTGTGCCTTGTGCCGGGCTGTCCCCACACTGTCCCCAAGTATCCCTAGGTGTCCCCAGGTATCCTGAGGTGTCCCCAGGTGTCCCCAGCTGTCCCCAAGTGTCCCCAACCGCCCCGCAGGCACTTCCCGCACCCCTACTACAGCCTGTGCCTTGTGCTGGGCTGTCCCCACACTGTCCCCAAGTATCCCCAAGTGTCCCCACACTGTCCCCAAGTATCCCTAAGTGTCCCCAAGTGTCCCCACACTGTCCCCAGGTGTCCCCAAGTGTCCCCACACTGTCCCCACACTGTCCCCAAGTATTCCTAAGTGTCACCAAGTGTCCCCAGGTGTCCCCAAGTGTCCCCAAATGCCCCGCAGGCACTTTCCCCACCCCTACTACAGCCTGTGCCCTGTACCGGGCTGTCCCCACACTGTCCCCACACTGTCCCTAAGTGTCCCCAGGTGTCCCCAAGTGTCCCCACCCGCCCCGCAGGCACTTTCCCCACCCGTACTACAGCCTGTGCCTTGTGCTGGGCTGTCCCCACACTGTCCCCACACTGTCCCCAGGTATCCCCAAGTGTCCCCACCCGCCCCGCAGGCACTTTCCCCACCCGTACTACAGCCTGCGGCTGCAGCTGCCCGCCTCCAACGCCTCGGCGCGGCTGCTGGTGCTGGACTCGGTTCTGCTCTGCGGCCCCGGGGACGATTTCGGCGGGGGCCCGGCGGGGCCGCGGGACGCGGCGGCGGCGTTGGCACAGCTGGGCTGGCTGCGGGCACAGCTGGCGGCGGCGGAGGGCGACCGGTTCGTGCTGGTGGCCGGGCACTACCCGCTGTGGTCGGTGGGCAAGCACGGCCCCACGGGCTGCCTGCTGCGCCTGCTGCGCCCGCTGCTGCGGCGGCACCGCGTCAGCGCCTACCTGTGCGGGCATGACCACAACCTGCAGGTGAGCGGGGACGGGGGCCAGGGGGGCCAGGGGTGCCAGGGGAGACATGGCTGGGGGTGCCAGGGGGGCCAGAGGTGCCAGGAGTGCCAGGGGAGACACAGCCAGGTGAGACATGGCCAGGTGAGCATGGCTGGGGGTGCCAGGGGTGCCAGGGGTGCCAGGTGAGGCATGACCACAACCTGCAGGTGAGCAGGGACGGGTGCCAGGGGTGCCAGGGAGGGACGCATGGGGGTGCCAGGGGTGCCAGGGGAGACACAGCAAGGTGAGACATGGCCAGGTGTGCCAGGGGTGCCAAGGGAGGCACGACCACAACCTGCAGGTGAGGCATGGCTCGGGGTGCCAGGGGTGCCAGGTGTGCCAGGAGAGACATGGCTGGGGGTGCCAGAGGTGCCAGGTGAGCACGGACGGGTGCCAGGGGTGCCAGGGGCGCCAGGTGTGGCACAGCCAGGGGTGCAGAGACACCCAAAGCTGTGCAGGGACACCCACAGGTGTGCGGGGACACCCAAAGGTGTGAGGAGACACCCAAAGGAGCTCGGAGACACTCAAAGCTGTTCAGGGACACCTAAAGGTGTGAGGAGACACCCAAAGGTGTGTGGGAACACCTAAAGGAGCTCAGGGACACCCAAATGTGTGCAGAGACACCCAAAGGTGCTCAGGGACACCCAAAGGTGTTTGGGGACACCCAAAGGTGTGCGGGGACACCCAAAGGTGTGAGGAGACACCCAAAGGAGCTCGGGGACACCCAAAGGTGTGTGGGAACACCCAAAGGTGCTCAGGGACACCCAAAGCTGTTCGTGGACACCCAAAGCTGTTTGGGGACACCCAAAGGTGCTCGGGGAGCCCCAGCCCCCCCCCCCCGGCACCCCGAGGTGCCCCCGGTGTGTCCCCCCGTGACTCGGGCCCCTCCCGCAGTACCTGGAGGAGGGCGGCGTGGGCTACGTCCTGAGCGGCGCCGGGAACTTCATGGAGGACTCGCGGCCCCACGCGGGCTCGGTGCCCCCCGGTGCCCTCCGCTTCTTCTTCGGGAGTCCCGCCAGCCCCGGCGGCTTCGCCCACGTGCGCCTGGAGCCCTCCGCCGCCACCGTCACCTTCCTGGAGGCCACCGGGCGCGTCCTGCACCGCGTCACGCTGCCGCCGCGCCACCCGTGACCGGGGACACCGGGACACCGGGACAGCGGGACACGGGAACAGCGGAGAGCGGGACACCGGGACATGGGGACAGCGGGAGAGTGGGACACCGGGACACCGGGACAACGGAGAGCGGGAGAGTGGAGAGCGGAGAGCGGGGCACGGGGACGGCGGGACACGGGGACAGCGGGAGAGTGGGACACCGGGACACCGGGACAGCGGGACACCGGGACATCGGGACACCGGGACATGGGGACAGCGGGAGAGTGGGGAGAGCGGGAGAGCGGGGAGCGGGGCACCGGGACAGCGGGAGAGTGGGACACCGGGACAGCGGGGACGGCGGGAGAGCAGGACACAGGGACAGCGGAGAGCGGGACACGGGGACGGCGGGACACGGGGACAGCGGGAGAGCGGGGCACCGGGAGAGCAGAACACCGGGACACCGGGACACCGAGATCCCGTCTCTAAGGACAGCGCGACACCGGGATACCGGGGACACGGGGACAGCGGGGCACCGGGACACCCGATGAGCAGGGACACGGGGACAGCGGGACGGCAGGACGGCCGGGACAGCGGGATCCCTTTCCTGGGGACACCGGGACCAGCGGGGACAGTGGACACGGGGACAGTGGGACACCGGGATCCCTTCCCTGGGACCAGCGGGACACCGGGACCAGCGGGGACACCGGGGACAGTGGGACAGCGGGACCCCTTCCCTGGGGACAGCGGGACACCGGGACACGAGGACACCGGGATCCGTTCCCTGGGAACACCGGGACCCCTCCCTGGGGACACCCCGAGATCGCCGAGCCCCCCCGGGGGACACCGGGGACACCGGCACCGCTGCCTTTGGGGACACCCCGCCAGCTCTGACCCCTTGGGGACACCGGGGGCCAGACACTGACCCCGGCCCCGCCCGGGTTGCCCCGTGCCGCCAATAAAGGCTTTGAACGGCGCCGCCGGCACTGCCGGACCCGAAACCGCCGCGATTCGCCCCAAAACCGCGATGGGCGGGGTCTGGCAGGGCTGGCCACGCCTCCCTCCTGCTGATTGGCTGAAACGCGCGTCCATCACTCATCGGTGGGCGGGACAGCCCGCGAGTCGCTCGGTTCGCCGCTGCTGATTGGCTGAGGGCGGAGGGGCGGCACTTCCGGGATCGCGGCGGGAGCGCGACGTGAGGACCGGGAGGGACCGGGAGGGACCGGAGGGCACCGGGTGGCACCGGGGGGGTTCGAGCCGTCCTCGGCACGTCCCGCAGCGGCTCGGGGCCACTTCGAGCCGGCTCCCGGGGCCCATCCCGGTGTCGTTCCCCTTCCCGAGGCCGTTCCCGGTTCCGGGCTCCGGTGCGGCCGCCATGGGCCGCCGCAAGTCGAAGCGAAAGCCGCCGCCGAAGAAGAAGATGACGGGGACGCTGGAGACGCAGTTCACGTGTCCCTTCTGCAACCACGAGAAGTCCTGCGACGTCAAGATGTGAGCGCGGGACACCGGGCACCGGGGGACACCGGGGGACACCGGGGGGGCACCGGGGGAGCACCGGGGACGGGACACGGGGATGGGCGGCAGCACGGGAAGAGCGACGGAGGAACCCGGGGGGGAAGCGGAGAGCGGAGACCTGGACGGGGACAGCGGGCGGGGGTGCCGGTACCGGAGAGGGGACACGGGGACACCGGGAGGTGTGGGGGGGGATCACGGAGCCCGGAGGGGTCACGCCCGTCCCGTGCCCCGCAGGGACCGTGCCCGGAACACCGGGGTGATCTCGTGCACCGTGTGCCTGGAGGAGTTCCAGACCCCCATCACCTGTATCCTTACCGGGGACCCCCCCCCCCAACTCCGGGACCCCCCCGGGACCCCCCGAATCGGTGTTGGAGCCTTAACGGCGCCGCCAGACCTGTCGGAGCCCGTGGACGTTTACAGCGACTGGATCGACGCCTGCGAAGCCGCCAACCAGTGACACCGGGAGGGTGGCGGGGACACCGCCCGGTCCCCAAAGCCCCGGCGGGGTCGGGGACCCCTCCCGGCCCCGGTGACACCCCCGGAGCCGGTGTGGGGGTGCCATCTCCCCCTCCCCCAGCAGCTGGCACTTGTCCTTGTCCCCGTGGGGACATCGGGGCGGGGGGTGACGCGTTTGGGGACAGCGGCCCCGGAATAAACGCCGCGAGTGGTGGCCCTTGTCCCCCTTGTCCCTTTTGTCCCCCCCTGTCCCCTCGGTGTCCCCCAGCACGGTCCCACGCCGGTGTCACCTCTGCGTGTGGCTTTTATTGTGCCTCGGTGGCTTCACACGTGGCGGGGCCCGAACCCCCCGGGGCCGAACCGGGAGCCGAACCCGGGGCTGATCCCGGGGCTGATCCCGGGGCCGAACCGGGGGCCAACCCCAGCCCTGTCCCCGCCCGGGGCCGGTCCCGGGATTGTCCCCCCCGGGGCCGGTGCCGAGTGCTGCCCCCCCCCTCCCCCCCTTCCCCGGGAGCCATCGCGGGGCCGATCCCGGGGCCGGTTTCCCCTGGGATTGATCCCGGAGCTGATCCCGGGGCCGGTCCCCCCGGTGCCAGTCCCGGAGCCGATCCCGGGGCCCGTTCCCCCTGAGATCGATCCCGGGGCCGGTTTCCCCTGGGATCGATCCCAGAGCCGATCCCGGGGCCAGATTCTACTGAGATCGATCGCGGGGCCGGTTTCCCCGGTGCCATCCCCGGAGCCGATCCCGGGGCCGGTTCTCCCGGTGCCAGTCCCAGAGCCTATCCCGGGGCCGGTTTCCCCCGGGATCGATCCCGGAGCTGATCCCGGGGCCAGATCCCACTGAGATCGATCCCGGGGCCGGTTCCCCCGGTGCCAGTCCCGGAGCCAATCCCGGGGCCGGTTTCCCCTGGGATTGATCCCAGAGCCAATCCCGGGGCCAGATTCCACTGAGATCGATCCCGGGGCCGGTTTCACCGGTGCCAGCCCCGGAGCCGATCCCGGGGCCGGTTTCCCCCGAGATCAATGCCAGAGCCGATCCCGGGGCCGGTTTCCCCTGGGATTGATCCCAGAGCCGATCCCGGGGCCAGATTCCACTGAGATCGATCCCGGTGCCGGTTCCCCCTGAGATCGATCCCGGGGCCGGTTTCTCCTGAGATCGATCCCAGAGCCGATCCCGGTGCCAGCCCCGGAGCCGATCCCGGGGGCGGCTCCCCCGGTGCCAGTCCCGGAGCCGATCCCGGGGCCAGATCCCACTGAGATCGATCCCGGGGCCGGTTCCCCCGGTGCCAGCCCCGGAGCCGATCCCGGGGCCGGTTCCCTCTGAGATCGATCCCGGGGCCGGTTTCCCCTGGGATTGATCCCAAAGCCGATCCCGGGGCCGGTTCCCCCTGAGATCGATCCCGGGGCCGGTTCCCCCTGAGATCGATCCCGGGGCCGGTCCCCCCGGTACTAGTCCCGGAGCCGATCCCGGGGCCAGATCCCCCTGAGATCGATCCCGGGGCCGGTCCCCCGGTGCCAGCCCCGGGGCCGATCCCGGTGCCAGCCCCGGAGCTGATCGCGGGGCCGGTTTCTCCTGAGATCGATCCCGGGGCCGGTTTCTCCTGAGATCGATCCCAGAGCCGATCCCGGGGCCGGTTTCCCCTGAGATCAATCCCAGAGCCGATCCCGGTGCCGGCCCCGGAGCCGATCCCGGTGGCGGCTCCCCCGGTGCCAGCCCCGGTGGCGGCTCGGCGGGGCGCGGTGAGGCCGGTGACGAGCGGTGTCGGGGTGCAAGCGGCGGCGGGGCCGGCGGCTACTGGGAGTTGTAGAGGCCACCGGGGCCGTCGTAGCCGTCGTGGCCGAGCAGCTCGGGGCCGCCGCAGTACTTGGGGTCGTAGACCTGGCGCGGGAGGCCGTACACCGTCATGCCCTGCTGCGACGCGCCCTTGTTGCTGCCCATCTGCAGGCCGATGGTCAGCGTGTCGCAGTGCTCCATGCCCAGCGCCGGCTCGAAGATCTGCCGCTTCGTCCCCGGTGCCGTCATCCCCGCCTGCACCGGGGAACGGGATCCGGTCAGGGATGCGGGCAGGGATGCGGGCAGGGATACGGGCAGGGATCCGGTCAGGGATCCGGGCAGGGACGGGATCCGGTCAGGGATGCGGGCAGGGACCGGCTCGGGGCAGGGATCCGGGCAGGGATGGGATCCGGTCACAGATCCGGGCAGGAACGGGCTCGGGGCAGGAACGGGCTCGGGGAAGGGACGGGATCCGGTCAGGAACGGGCTCCGGTCAGGAACGGGCTCGGGGCAGGAACGGGCTCGGGGCAGGGATGGGCTCGGGGCAGGGATCCGGGCACGGACGGGTTCCGGTCACGGATCCAGTCAGGGACGGGCTCCGGTCAGGGACCGGCTCGGGACAGGGATCTGGTCAGGGATCCGGTCAGGGACGGGCTCGGGGCAGGGATCCGGTCAGGGATCCGGTCAGGGACCGGCTCGGGACAGGGATCTGGTCAGGAACGGGCTCGGGGCAGGGACGGGTTCCGGTCACGGATCCGGTCAGGGACGGGCTCCGGTCAGGAACGGGTTCGGGTCGGTGGCCGCGGGCACCCCGAGGGGGTCACGGCCACCCCGGGGCCACGGGGGGATGCGCGGGGGTTCCTCCGTTCTGCTCCCCGTGCTGCCCGCAGGGTGTCTGTCCCCTCTCTGTCCCCTCTCTGTCCCCTCACTGTCCCCCCTCTGTCCCTCTCTGTCCCTTCCTGTCCCCAGAGTCCCTCCGTGCCCCCCTCAGAGCCCCTTTGTCCCCTGCTCCGGTGTCACCGGCTGGGCCAGTGGCACCTCAGGGTGCCCCGCTCTGTCCGTCCCCGCTGTCCCCGGGCTCTCCGGTCCCTTTGTCCCCCTAACCCGGGACATCCAAGTCCCCTGGTGCCATCTCTCCCTGTGTCCCCGTGCGGTGGCAGTGTCCCCCCATGGTGGCAGTGTCCCTGTAGGGTGGCAGTGTCCCCCCATAGTGGCAGTGTCCCGTGTCCCGTGTCCCCATGAGCTGGCAATGTCCCTGTAGGGTGGCAGTGTCCCCATGTCCCTATGTCCCCCTGTGCTGGCAGTGTCCCCATGGGGTGGCAGTGTCCCCATGTCCCCGTGTCCCCCGTGCTGGCAGTGTCCCTATGGGGTGGCAGTGTCCCCCGTGCTGGCAGTGTCCCTGTGTCCCCCATGGTGGCAGTGTCCCCCCATAGTGGCAGTGTCCCTGTGTCCCGTGTCCCCATGAGCTGGCAATGTCCCTGTAGGGTGGCAGTGTCCCCATGTCCCTATGTCCCCATGGGGTGGCAGTGTCCCTGTAGGGCAGCACTGTCCCCCCATAGTGGCAGTGTCCCGTGTCCCCATGGGGTGGCAGTGTCCCCCCGTGCTGGCAGTGTCCCTGTAGGGTGGCAGTGTCCCGTGTCCCATGTCCCCATGGGGTGGCAGTGTCCCCCCATGGTGGCAATGTCCCTGTAGGGTGGCAGTGTCCCCATCTCCCCGTGTCCCCTGTGCTGGCAGTGTCCCCGTGTCCCCACCTGGCTGGCGCCTTTGTTGGTGCCCATCTGGAGGCTGATGGTGGCCTGGTCCAGGGGCTGGTCCGTGCCCAGTTTGGGGTCGTACAGGTGCCGCCGGGTCCCGTACGCCGTCATGCCCTGCTGGCTGGCGAACTTGTTGGTGCCCATCTGGGGACAGCGAGGGCCACGGTGTCACCCACCGGCTGTCCCCAGCACGGCCCCCGTGTCCCCTCGGCGTCCCCGGGTGTCACCTGCAGCCCGATGATGTTCCTGCCCTCGCGCAGCTTCTCGGGGTGGAAGCGCCGCTGCTGCTTCTCGGCGTATTTCACCCCCAGCCCCACATTGTTCCCCTTTGTCTTGGCCTGGCGGAGACCGGGGGCTTGGGGGGGGCTCACGGGGACCCCAGACCCCGAATCCCCTCCCTAAATCCCAAATCCCCTCCTTGGACCCCCAATCCCCTCCCCAGACCCCAAATCCCCTCCTTGGACCCCGAATCTCCTCCTCGGACCCCAAATCCCTTCCCCAGACCCCAAATTCCTTCCCTAAACCCCAAATCCCCTCCCCAGACCCCAAATCCCCTCCCCAGACCCCAAATCCCCTCTCAGGACCCCAAATCCCCTCCCCAGACCCCAAATCCCCTCCCCAGACCCCAAATCCCCTCCTTGGACCCCAAATCCCCTCTCAGGACCCCAAATCTCCTCCCCAGGCCCCAAATCCCCTTCCCCAGACCCGAAATCCCCTCCCCAGACCCCAAATCCCCTCCCCCAGACCCCAAATCCCCGCTCTGGATCCCCCCCAGCGTGTGGCCGGTGCCCTCCGAAGGGATGTGAGGACCCCCCCGGAGCCCCCCAGACCCCCCTGGACCCCCCCGGAGCCCCCCAGAGCCCCCCGGAGCCCCCAGAGCCCCCCGGAGCTGACCTGGCTGGCGAGGGCGATGAGGGTGGACTGGACCTGGGTGTGGTTGGTGTTCTCGAAGAGGTCGTTGGCCTCGAAGATGTCGTGGGGCTTCACCCCGTAGCGCGTGATGGCCCTCAGGAAGTTCCCGATGTTCTCCAGCTGCGGGGTTCGGGGTCAGACCCCCCATCCCCCTCCCCCCGAGCCGCCCCCAGCCCCGCTTTTGGGGTGTCCCCCCCTCACCTTGTGCCAGTTCTGGACGGGTTCGTTCACCTTGGGCACCGAGCCCGGCTGCAGTTTGTTGATGAGCCTGGAGGGGCCGAGCACGGCTGGGGTCAGGGGGTGACCCCGCGGTGACCCCGCGGTGACCCCGCGGTGACCCCAGGGTGACCCCGCGGTGACCCCAGGGTGACCCCAGGGTGACCCCAGAGCCCGGCCAGGAGCGGCCTGTGCTCAGCAGGGTCGGGGTCGGTGAGGGAAGGGTTAAAATTCATCCTCCCGGTGGCAGGAGTGGGGACGGAGCGGGGGTCCCGGCGGGGGTCCCGGCGGGGGTCCCGGAGGGGGTCCTGGGGGTCCCGGGGGTCGCGTCAGGGGTCCCGGGGGTCGCACGGGGGTCCCGGGGGTCGCACGGGGTCCCGGGGGTCCCGGCGGGGGTCCCAGGGGTCCCGGCGGGGGTCCCGGGGGTTGCACGGGGTTCCAGGGGTCCCGGGGGTCCCCGCGGGGGTCACACGGGGGTCCCGGGGGTTGCACGGGGGTCCCGGCGGGGGTCCCGGGGGTCGCACAGGGTTCCAGGGGTCCCGGGGGTCCCGGCGGGGGTCCCGGTGGGGGTCCCGGGGGTCGCACAGGGTTCCAGGGGTCCCGGGGCTCACACGGGGTCCCGGGGGTCCCGGTGGGGGTCCCGGTGGGGGTCCCGGGGGTCACACGGGGTCTCGGGGGTCGCACAGGGTCCTGGGGGTCACACGGGGTCCCGGGGGTCCTGTCAGGGGTTCCGGGGGTCCCGGTGGGGGTCCCGGCAGGGGTCCCGGGGTTCGCACAGGGTCCCGGGGGTCACACGGGGGTCCCGGGGGTCCCGGGGGGGGGTCCCGCGGGGGTCCCGGGGGTCGCACGGGGTTCCGGGGATCCCGGGGGTTGCACGGGGTTCCGGGGGTCACACGGGGTCCTGGGGGTGGTCCCGGGGGTCCCGGGGGTCGTACTCGCAGAGGATGACGCCGTCCTTGAGGCCGTCCATGAAGTTGTCCCCGATGCGGCGCCCCGTGGTCCCCTCGATCCAGGCGCGGAGCTCCCGCTCGTGCTGCGGGTCGTACTTCTGGGCCAGCTGCGGGACAGGGGACACGGGACGTGGGGACACGGCTGGGGGACACGGGGACACGGGACACGGGACGTGGGGACACCGCCGGGGGGACACGGGACACGGGACGTGGGGACACCGCCGGGGGACACGGGGACAGGGGACACGGGGCGTGGGGACACCGCCGGGGGGACAGGGGGACACGGCCGGGGGACGGGGGGACACCGCCGGGGGGACACGGGGACGTGGGGACATGGCCAGGGGGACGGGGGGACACTGCCAGGGGGACAGGGGGACGTGGGGACATTTGGACACCGCCGGAGGGGACACGGGGACAGGGGGACACCATCAGGGGGACAGGGGGACACTGCCAGGGGGACACCAACACAGGGACACTGGGACACTGCCAGGGGACACGGGGACGTGGGTACACTGCCGGGGGGACACGGGGACACTGCCGGGGTGACGCGGTGGCACGGAGAATGTCGGGGACACCCTCACGGGGACGAGGGGACACGGGGGACAGCGTGCGGAGGCCACGGAGGGTGCGGGGACACCGCGGGGGACACGGGGACACCGGCAGGGGGACGGATCCCCACCGGGGAGGGGACACGGGGGGCGTGGGGACACCCCAAGGAGGGGACACCGGGGACACCCCGAGGAGGGGACACCGGGGACACCCCAAGGAGGGGACACCGGGGACACCCTCAGGGAAGAGGCGGCGGCCACGCCGGGGCCGGAGGATCCCCGGTAGCACCGGTGGCCCCGTTTCCCCCGTTCCCGCGGGGCCGGAGGATCCCCGGTAGCACCGGTGGCCCCGTTTCCCCGTTCCCGCGGGGCCGGAGGATCCCCGGTAGCACCGGTGGCCCCGTTTCCCCGTTCCCGCGGGGCTGGAGGATCCCCGGTAGCACCGGTGGCCCCATTTCCCCGTTCCCGCGGGGCCGGAGGATCCCCGGTAGCACCGGTGGCCCCGTTCCCCCGTTCCCGCGGGCCGGAGGGACCCGGCAGGGCCGGGGGTGCCCGGACCCCCCCCCCGCCCCGCCCCGGCCCCCCCGGGAGCGGCGGGCGACCGGACCGGCCGAACCTTTGCCCATATATAGCCCCGGCCCGGGGCCGCCGCCGCCCGCCCGCCGCGCTCCGCCGCCTTATAAGGGCTCACGGCGGGGCCGGGGGCCGCCGGGGCCCCCCCGGGCCGCCGATTCCCCCCCCCGTTAACCCTTAACGGGCCGGTGCGCGGCGGGACCCCCCCCTCCCCCGCCGTGTCCGGCATCTCCCGCCCGCCGCGGGGCCCCCCCGGGCCACCCGAACCGCCCCCGTTAACCCTTAACGGGGCGGACACCGGCGGGACGCCACCCGGTGCTCGTGGCGGGGGTCCCGGGGTCGTTCCGGTGTCGCCCCGTCCCCTCCTCAGTCCCGGCGAGGGTTCCGGTGTCGCCCCCGCTTCATCTCGGTGCCCGTCACCTCCCGCCCGCCGCGGGCTCGGGGGTCGGCGGGGCTCCCCCGGTCCGCCGAAGCCCCTCCGGGTTAACCCTTAACGGGCCGCACACCGGGGGTAGCACCCGGTGCTCCCGGTGCTCCCCCGGTGCCGCCGTCCCCGTACCCCGTCCCGGGGCGCACCCGGTGCCCGTCGCCTCCCGCCCGCCGTGGGGACCGGGGGCTGCGGAGGCCAAGAAACCCCCCGCTCCCGGTTAACCCTTAACGGCCCGGTGCCCGGCAGGACCCCCCGGTGCTCACGGGGGGGAGCCCCGGTGTCGCCCCCTCCCCTCCCTCCCTCCCCCCCGCCGGGGACCCGGTGCCGGTCACCTCCCGCTTACCGGAGGGAACGGGGGGTGCGGAGCTCCCCGGGCAGCCCAGCCGCACCCCCGGTGAACCGGGGGGGCCGCCCCGGTGCCGCCCCCCTGTCCCGGTGTCCGTCCCTTCCCTCCCGGGGCAGCACCAGGGACAGCGCCGGGTCCCGCCCCCGCTCCCGCCGGGTCCTGCCGCGACCCCCGCCCGCCCCCGGTGCTGCCGCCGCCCCGGGGGGGTCGCACCTGCCCGGAGCCGCCCGGACCCCCCCGGTTCGGTCCGGTCCGGTCCGGTTCGGTTCGGTTCGGTGCCGCTCACCTTGTTCTTCACCTCGGCCGACAGCCCGTAGGCCGGGCCGCGGTTGAAGTGCGCGTTGGACATTTCGGGGCTCCCGGGGGGGTCTCGGTGGCTCCGGTGGGGTCGCGGCGGGCGGGTGGCGCCGGTTCGGGGCTGTCCCGGGTGGGTTCGGGGCTGTCCCGGGTGGGTTCGGGGCTGTCCCGGGTGGGGTCGGTGCCCTCGGCTCGGCTCGGTGCCCTCGGTCGGTTCCTCCCGGTCCCGTCCCGGCGCCGCCGCCGCCACTTTTAAAAGTGGGCGGTGGGCGCGGAGCCCCCCCCGGGCCGGGGCGGCCGCAGCCAATCCGCGGCCTCCGCCGCGCTGACGTCACGGCGGGGCGGGTGATGGCGTCATTTTTTCCACATTTACCGGGGGGGATCCCGGAGCCGGGGGGGGATCCCGGGGGGGGCGGGGGAATCCCGGAACGCCCCCCCCGCCCCAAATCAGCGCTTGCCCGCTCTGCCCCCTCCCACCGGACACCCGTGTCCCCCCCCGGTCCCACCGGAGCGGGGACCCCCCGGGGGGCACCGGGGCTCCCCACCGGTGCTTGGGGATCCCCCCCGGGGCACCGGGGGCCTCGTCCCCGCGCACCCGGGACCCCCCCGGTGCCGCGGGACCCCCCGGGACAGCGCGGCTCGACCCCGCCGCGCTCCCCACCCCCCCCGCTCGGTGCCGTCACCGGATCGGACTCCACCGCCCCCCCGGGGGAGGACACGGCTCGTCACGGGTGGGGAATGTCCCCCTCCCCCTCCCCTCCCCCCCCTCCCCTCCCCCTCCCCGGGCCGTCCCCGCCCCCCCCGCGGCTCCGGGACCCTCCCGGGGCTGGGGGGGCACCCGGGACCCTCCCCACCCCCATCAGGGACTTGGGGACCCCCTCCCCCTCACACACCCCCCACCCCGCCGGGGCTGCCGTTCCCGTTCAACCGCTCTTACGTCACCGCTCACCCCCGTGACGTCACCGCCCATCCCCGTCCCCGCGCTCATCCCGGGGTCCCGCTCTGACGTCACGGGGGAACCCCCTCCGAGCCCCGCCCCTCTCTGCCTGCCAATCACCGCCAAAGCCGCGCGGTGATTGGCCGCGCCCGCAGGCCCCGCCCCCCGACCCGCCCGCGCGGGGTCACCGCGAAGATGGCGGCGCCCAGCGGCGCGACCGGGCACGGGGACGGCGGAGCGCGACCGTGAGCGGACACGGCCCGGCCGGGAGAGACCGGGAGCGGACGCAGCCCGACCGGGAGCGGACACGGCCCGACCGGGAGAGACCGGGAGCGGACACAGCCCGGCCGTGAGCGGACACGGCCCGGCCGGGAGAGACCGGGAGCGGACACGGCGGCAGCGGGCGCCATGCGGCCGGGGTGGCTCCGGGTCCTGCCCCGCCGCCTCTGGGGCGGCCCCGCAGCGCCGCAGGTGCGGGGGACACCGGGGACACCGGGACAGAGGGGACGGGGAGGGGGCCGGGGAGCGGTGGGGACACCGGGACAGCGCGGGGGAAGGGGACACGGGGGGGACGTGGGGACACGAGGGGACAATGGGGGGGAAATGGGGACACGAGGGGACAATGGGGGGGAAATGGGGACACGAGGGGACAATGGGGGGGAAATGGGGACACGAGGGGACAATGGGGACACGGGGGGGACAATGGGGACACGAGGGGACAATGGGGGGGAAATGGGGACACGAGGGGGGACATGGCGGACACAGGGGGGACAATGGGGACACGGGGGGGACACGGGGACAGCTGTGGGGTGACCCCTTCTTTTCCTCCCCAGCTGTGCCGGAGCTTGTGCCAGCGCCCCGCGCGTGTCCCCCCGGCGGAGGGTGACACCTCGGGGGCTGATACCTCGGGGGGTGACACCTCGGGGAGTGACACCTCGGGGGGTGACACCTCGGGGACCTCAGCGTGGCATCGCCGCTTCCACAAGATCTGGAGGAACGACCCCCAGCCCCGGGGCCACCCGCGGGACCCCATCGGGGGTGACACTTCAAGGGGTGACACCTCAAGGGGTGACACCTCAGGGAGTGACACCGCAAGGGGTGACACTTCAAGGTGTGAGGCCTCATGGGGTGACACCTCAGGGGGTGCCACCTCAAGGGGTGCCACTTTAGGGGGTGCCACCCCCAAGGCCCCTCTGCGCCACCTCCGCTCCTACAGATCGCGCCGTGAGGACACCCACGGCAACGCCAGTGACCCCGGTGACCGTGGGGATTCCGGTGACCCCGGTGGGCACGGTGACCCCGGTGGGCACGGTGACCCCGGTGCCCGCAGTGACCCCGGTGCCCACGGTGCCCGCGGTGACCCCGGTGGGCACAGTGCCCGCGATGACCCCAGTGCCCGAGGTGCCCACAGTGACCCCGGTGACCCCGGTGACCCCGGTGACCCTGGTGACCCCGGCGCTGCCTTGGCGGCGGCGCTGGAGGAGCTGGCGCGGAGCCCGCCCGGGTGCGGGGCGCGGCTGGCGCTGGTGGAGGCGGCGCTGGCGGCGATGCCGGCGCTGGGCGCGGAGCGCAGCCTGGCCGCGTACAAGGCGCTGCTGCGGCTGCTGCCCCGCGGGGCCTGGGTGCCGCGCGGAGCCGTGCAGCGCCTGCTCTTCCCCTTCCCGCGGCAGCACGAGTGCGGCCTGCGCCTGCTGGAGTGCATGGAGCGCCACGGTGCGTGCTGCCGGTGCCCTGTGCCGTCCCTGTGCCCGGTGTCCCCTGTGTGCCCCGCTGTGTCCCGGTGTCGCTCCTGTGCTGTGACCCGCTGTGCCCCGGTGTCCCTTGGTGTCCCTTGGTGTCCCCTGGTGTCCCCTGTGTGCCCCGGTGTGCCCTGGTGTCGCTCCTGTGCTGTGACCTGCTGTGCCCCAGTGTCCCCTGGTGTCCCCTGGTGTGCCCCGGTGTCCTCCGGTGTGCCCTGCTGTCCCCTGGTGTCCACAATATCCCCAATGCCCCAATGTCCCCCAATGTCCCCAGTTTCCCCAATGGCTCCCATGCCCCAATGCCCCAATGTGTCTTCGCTGTCCCCAACGTGTCCCCAGTATCCCAACTGTCCCCAGTGTCCCACTGTCCCCACTGTCTCCGCTGTCCCCAGTGTTCCCAGTGTCCCCATGTCCCCAGTGTGTCCCCATGTCCCCAGTGTCCCTAATGTCCCCATGTCCCCACTGTCCTGCTGTCCCCAATGTCCTCAGTGTCCCCATGTCCCCAATGTCCCCAATGCCCCGCTGTCCCCAATGTCCCCAACCTGTCCCCAATGTCCCCAACATGTCCCCACTGTCCTCAGTGTCCCCATGTCCCCAGTGTCCCCAATGTCCCCAACCTGTCCCCACTGTCCCCAATGTCCCCAAGCTGTCCCCAATGTCCCCAAGCTGTCCCCAATGTCCCCAACCTGTCCCCGCTGTCCCCAAACTGTCCCCGCTGTCCCCAGTGTCCCCATGTCCCCATGTCCCCAGTGTCCCGCTGTCCCCAATGTCCCCAAGCTGTCCCCAATGTCCCCAAGCTGTCCCCGCTGTCCCCAGGCGTGATGCCCGACGCCGAGCTGCGCTTCCTGCTGCTGGGGGTGTTCGGGCCGCGCAGCCGCCCGCTGCGGAAGCTGCAGCGGATGCAGTTCTGGCTGCCGCGCCTGCGGCACCTGGACCCCCACCCGCTGCCCCCCCGGCTGCCCCCCGGGCTGGCGGCCGCGCGCCTGGGGCTGCAGCGCATGGCCACCGAGCCCGGGGCCACCGTCACCCTGGTCCAGGTGGGCACGGGCACGGGGACACGGCTGGGGGACGGGGACAGGGATGGTGAGACAGGGACAGGGATAGGGGGACATGGGGATAGGGATGGGGGACAGGGATGGGGGACACGGGGACAGGGATGGGGGACAGGGAGGGACAGGGATGGGGGACGGGGACACGGCTGGGGGACAGGGGGGGACAGGGATGGGGGACCGGGACAGGGCTGGGGGACACGGGGACAGGGATGGGGGGACAGGGACAGGGATGGGGGACACGGGGGGACAGGGATGGGGGACGGGGCTGGGGGACACAGGGACAGGGATGGGGGACCGGGACAGGGATGGGGGACAGAGACAGGGCTGGGGGACACGGGGGGGACATGGCTGGGGGAAGGGGACAGGGCTGGGGGACACGGCTGGGGGACGGGGACAGGGATGGGGGCACGGGGATGGGGGACTGGGACAGGGATGGGGACACGGGGGGACAGGGATGGGGGACATGGGGGGACAGGGCTGGGGGACAGGGACAGGACTGGGGGGCGGGGACAGGGATGGGGGACACGGGGACAGGGCTGGGGGATGGGGACAGGGCTGGGGGACATGGGGGGGGACAGGGCTGGAGGGGACGGGGGGGACACGGGGGGACAGGGATGGGGGACCGGGACAGACATGGCTGGGGGACGGGGACAGGACAGGGCTGGGGGGGACGGGGGGACAGGGCTGGGGACAGGGACAGGGCTGGGGGACAGGGGGGACATGGCTGGGGGGACAGGATGGGACAGGGACATGGCTGGGGGGACAGGAGGGGACAGGGACAGGGCTGGGGGCACAGGGGGTGGCCCTGCAGTGACCCCCCTGTCCCCGTCCCGCAGCGGCCGGTGCCGGACTCGGGGGACGATGAAGGCTCTGTCCAGCCCTACATCCTCAGTGAGTTCTGGGGGGATGTTGGGGTGCCCTGGACGGGGGGGATGGTGTCGGGTTGGAGGGGTTTGGGGTCCCTGGGGTAAGTTCGGGGCTCCTCAGGGGTCTCTGTGAAGGATTTGGGGTCCCTGGGGTGGGTTTGGGGCAGGGTTTGGAGTCTCTAGGGTGGGTTTGGGGTCCCTGGGGTGGGTTTGGGGTGTCTGGGGTGGGTCTGGGGTGGGTTTGGGGTCCCTGGGGTGGGTTTGGGGTCCCTGGGGTGGGTCTGGGGTTCCTTGGGGGTCTCTATGAGGGATTTGGGGCAGGGTTTGGGGTGCCTGGTGTGGCTTTGGGGTGTCTGGGGTGGGTTTGGGCTACCTGGGGTGGGTCTGGGGCAGGGTTTGGGGTCCCTGGGGTGGGTCTGGGGTCCCTGGGGTGGGTGTGGGGTGTCTGGGGCAGGGTTTGGGGTCCCTGGGGTGGGTCTGGGGTCCCTGGGACGGGTCTGGGGTCCCTGGGGCGGGTGTGGGGCAGGGTTTGGGGTGCCTGGGATGGGTCTGGGGTGGGTCTGGGGTGGGTCTGGGGTCCCTGGGGTGGGTCTGGGGCAGGGTTTGGGGTCCCTGGGGTGGATCTGGGGTGGGTCTGGGGTGGGTTTGGGGTCCCTGGGGTGGGTTTGGGGTCCCTGGGGCGGGTCTGGGGTCCCTGGGGCGGGTCTGGGGTCCCTGGGGCGGGTCTGGGGCAGGGTTTGTGGTGCCTGGGATGGGTTTGGGGTCCCTGGGGTGGGTCTGGCGTCACTGGGGCGGGTCTGGGGTCCCTGGGGTGGGTGTGGGGCAGGGTTTGGGGTGCTGGGCTCTGGGCTGGGCTGTCCCCCCGTGTCCCCAGCCGTCCCCCCGTGTCCCCCCGTGTCCCCCCGTGTCCCCCCGTGTCCCCCCGTGTCCCCAGGCTCGCAGAGCCCCGAGCAGCGGGAGCTGCTGGCCCGGCACGGCCCCGACCGCCCGGTGTTCGTGGAGGGGCCGTTCCCGCTCTGGCTCCGCGGGACCCTCCTCAAATACTTCGTGCTGCGGGGAGACCCCCTGCCCCCCCACCTCAGGGTCAGCCGGGGGTCCTGGGGGGCTCTGGGGGGCTCTGAGGGGTTCTGGGGGGATCCTGGGGGGTTTTGGGGGTTTCCTGGGGGTTCTGGGGATTCCTGGGGGGATCCTGAGGGGGTCCTGGGGGGTCCTGGGGGGTCCTGAGGGGTTCTGGGGGGTTCTGGGGAGGCTCTGGGGAATTTTGGGGGATCCTGAGGGGGTTCTGGGGGGTCCTGAGGGGTTCTGGGGGGTTTTGGGGGATCCTGAGGGGGTCCCGGGGGGTTCTGGGGGTCCTGAGGGGTTCTGGGGGGTTTTGGGGGATCCTGAGGGGGTTCTGGGAGTTCCTGAGGGGATCTTGGGGGGTTTTGGGGGTTTCCTGGGGGTTCTGGGGGTTCCTGGGGGGATCCTGAGGGGGTCCTGGGGGGGTCCTGAGGGGGCTCTGGGGGGTCCTGGTGGTTTTTGGGGGATCCTGAGGGGGTTCTGGGGGGTCCTGAGGGGGTTCTGGGGGGTCCTGAGGGGGTCCTGGGGGTTTTTGGGCGTTTCCTGGGGGTTTCCTGGGGGATCTCCGGGACAGGTGAGACAGGACCCCCAAAACCCATCACACCTGGGGTGGCCCCCCATGACCTACATGGGAAGACAACCCCACCCTCCCCCCCAAACCCCCCTAAACCCCCTCCCCAAAACCCCAGGACCCCCCCCTGGACCCCGAGCGCAGCTTTTACTTCCCGCTGCGCCTGGAGCTGGACCTGGAGCGCGGCCCCTGGGACGACGAGGATTTCCACGTGGACGAAGGTGACGACCCCTGGGTGTTTTGGGGGGGAGGTGAGGATGTTTTTGGGGTTCCCCCTGACCCCCTCGCCCGCTCCCCGCAGTGGAGGAGGGCCCGGTGCTGGCACTGTGCATGGCGGGCGCGGGGGACCGGCGCACGCTGGGCCGGTGGCTGGCGGCGCTGCAGCGGCACAACCCCGCCCTGGGCCGCACCCCGGTTCTGTTCCGCCTCACCCCGGGGGGGGACCCCGCCGCCGACCCCCCCCAGGGACCCCGAGACCCCCGGCTGGGCGCGGGGACCCCCGGGGCTGCGGCGCTGGAGCCCCCCGAGGATGGGGAATAAAGGGGGCGACGGATGGACGGATGGAGAGGGGGTGGCGTGGTTTTTTTGGGGGTGTCGTGGTTTTTTTGGGGGTGTCGTGGTTTTTTTGGGGTGTCGTGGTTTTTGGGGGGATCCCTGGGGGCGTTTTGGCCCCCCTGTGCCATCCCCCAGAACGTGGTGGTGGCCGGGGGGGATTTTGGGGGGTCAGGGGGAGGGTTGGGGGTGCTGGGAGGGCATTGCTCCTTCTCAGCAGCAAGGCCCAGTTGGTTCTGGGGGAGTTTGGGGGGCATTTGGGGGGTCCCCGGTGAGTTTGGGGGACATTTGGGGGGTACCTGGTGAGTTTGGGGGGCATTTGGAGGGTCCCCGGTGAGTTTGGGGGGCATTTGGGGGGTTCTGAGTGTCCCTTGGGGGGTCCTCAGTGGGTTCTGGGGGTTCTCCTGGGGGGTCTTTGGTGAGTTTGGGGGTCCCTTGGGGGATCCCCGGTGAGTTTGGGGGTCCCTGGTGGGTTTTGGGGGTCCCTGGTGCGTTCCCGGGGTCCCTGGGGGGGTCTCCAGTGAAGTTTGAGGTCCCTGGTGAGTTCTGGGTGTCCCTGGGGGGGTCCCCGGTGAGTTTGGGGGTCCCTGGGGGGTTTTGGGGGTCCCTGGGGGGGTCTCCAGTGAAGTTTGGGGTCCCTGGTGGGTTCTGGGGGGTCCCTTGGGGGATCCCCAGTGAGTTTAGGGGTCCCTGGTGGGTTTTGGGGGTCCCTGGAGGGGTGCCTGGTGAGTTTGGGGGTCCCTGGTGGGTTTTGGGGGTCCCCGGTGAGTTTGGGGGTCTCTCATGTGCGGCACCTGCACACCCCACACCTGCGGGGTACCGGGCAGGGCTGGGAACTTCCGGGACCCCCTTTTTTGGGGGGGAATCTCCTTTTTTTAGGGGTGGATCTCCCCTTTTTTGGGGGGATCGCCCATTTTTGGGGGGGAATCTCCATTTTTTGGGGGGGGATCTCCCCTTTTTTGGGGGGATCGCTCCTATTTTTTTGGGTGGGGTCTCCCCTTTTTCTCCTCGGGATCCCTCCCAAAAAAAGCCCAAAAAAAAAAACCAAAACAAAAAAAAACCCAAAACAAACAACAAGGAAAATACAACAAAAAAACAGAAAAACAACAAAACAAAACCAAAAAAAATCCGAAAAACGCCAGGGCGGAAGTACGGGCAGCTCCGCGCCGCGCATGCGCACGGAGCGCCGCGACGCCACGGCGCGCACGGCTGACGTCATCGCGGCGCGCCGCGGCATGAGCGCGGCCGAGCGCGGCGCCGGCGGGCCCGGGGCTCCCGGTGGGCCCGGGGCTTCCGAGCCCGGCGGGGGCCGCAGGACGCGGGGCCGGCCGCGCCTCACCGACACCGACCGCGCCCGGCGGCGGCTGGAGTCGCGCAAGAAGTACGACGTGCGGCGGGTGTACCTGGGAGAGGCGCACGGGCCCTGGGTGGAGCTGCGGCGCCGCAGCGGATGGAGCGACGCCAAACTGGCGGCGTACCTGCTGGGGCTGGAGCAGGGCCAGCGCGCCGGGCGGCGCGGGTGAGCGCCGGGGAAACCGGGGGAACCGGCGGGGAGCCGCGGGGAACCGGAGAGAACCGGGGGAAGCTGGGGAGAACCGCGGGGAACCGGCGAGGAAGCGGGGAGAACCGGGGAGGGGACCGGGAGGGAACCGGGGAGAACCGGGGGGAGCTGGGGAGAACCGCGGGAAACCGGCGAGGAAGCGCGGAGAACCGGGGAGGGGACCGGGAGGGAACCGGGGAGAACCGGGGGGAGCTGGGGAGAACCGCGGGAAACCGGCGAGGAAGCGCGGAGAACCGGGGAGGGACCGGGAGGGAACCGGGGGGGAACCGGGGGGAGCTGGGGAGAACCGCGGGGAACCGGCGGAGAACCAGGGGGGGACCGGAAGGGAACCGGGGAGAACCGGGGGGAGCTGGGGAGAACCGCGGGGAACCGGCGAGGAAGCGGGGAGAACGGGGGGGACCGGGAGGGAACCGTGGAGAACCGGGGGGGACCGGGAGGGAACCGGGGAGAACCGGGGGGGACCGGGAGGGAACCGGGGAGAACCGGGGGGGACCGGGGAGAATCGCGGGGAGAACCGGGGAGAATCGCGGGGGGAACCGGGGGAACGGGGGAGGAACGGGGAGAACCGGGGGGAGCTGGGGAGAACCGCAGGGAACCGGCGAGGAAGCGGCGAGAACCGGGGGAGAACCGGGAGGGAACCGGGGAGAACCGGGGGGGGACCGGGAGGGAACCGGGGAGAACCGGGGGGGGACCGGGAGGGAACCGGGGAGAACCGGGGGGCACCGGGGAGAATCGCGGGGGGCACCGGGGAGAAACAGAGGGTACCGGGGGAAACCGGCACCGGTCCTCGGGGGAAACGGGCGGGCGCTGTCCGCGGTGCTGGAGCGGCGCAGCGAGGTTGTTACCGGCCTTGCTCGTCCCCCTCTTCCTCGTCCTCTTCTTCCTCACCCTCCTCTTCCTCGTCCCCTTCATCTTCTTCTTCCTCTTGCTCCTGGGGGATGAAGAAGGGGCAGAGGGAGGAGGAGGAGGAGGAGGAGGGGGAGGAAGGCCGGGGGTCCCGCGGGAGCCCCTTCCCCGTCTCCCATCTCCCTCTCTCCGCAGCAAACCCTGGGAGCAGCTCCCGAAAAAACCCAAACGCAAGAAAAGTGAGTGCCGTGCCCTGCGGGGGGTGCGCCCCACTTTGGGGGGGGGCTGTGCTTGATTTGGGGGCGCTGTACCTGATTTGGGGGCGCTGTACCTGATTTGGGGGGCTGTGCCCCACTTTGGGGTCTGTACCCCACTTTGGGGCTCCTTTACCCCACTTTGGGGCTCCTTTACCCCACTCTGGAGTGCCTTTACCCCACTTTGGGGTGCCGTACCCCACTCGGGGGTGCCTTTACCCCACTTTGGGGTGCCGTACCTCACTTTGGGGTGCCTTTACCCCACTTTGAGGTGCCATACCCCACTCTGAGGTGCCTTTACCCCACTTTGGGGGTGCTGTACCCCACTCGGGGGTGCCTTTACCCCACTTTGGGGCACCTTTACCCCACTCTGGGGTGCCTTTACTCCACTCTGGGGTGCCTTTATCCCACTCTGGGGTGCTGTACCCCACTCTGGGGTGCCTTTACCCCACTCTGGGGTGCCTTTACCTCACTTTGGGGTCTCTGTATCCCACTCTGGGGTGCCTTTACCCCACTTTGGGGTGCCGTACCCCACTCTGGGGTGCCTTTACCCCACTCGGGGGTGCTGTACCTCACTCTGGGGTGCCTTTACCCCACTCTGGGGTGCCTTTACCTCACTTTGGGGTGCCATATCCCACTCTGGGGTGCTGTACCCCACTCGGGGGTGCCTTTATCCCACTTTGGGGTGCCTTTATCCCACTCTGGGGTGCCGTACCCCACTCGGGGGTGCCTTTACCCCACTCGGGGGTGCCTTTACCCCACTCTGGGGTGCCATACCCCACTCTGGGGTGCCTTTACCCCACTCTGGGGTGCCTTTACCCCACTTTGGGGTGCCTTTACCTCACTTTGGGGTGCCTTTACCTCACTTTGGGGTGCCTTTACCCCACTCGGGGGTGCTGTACCCTTCTCAGGGGGTGCCGTACCCCACTCTGGGGTGCCGTACCCCACTCGGGGGTGCTGTACCTCACTATGGGGTGCCTTTACCTCACTTTGGGGTGCCGTACCCCACTCGGGGGTGCCTTTACCCCACTTTGGGGTGCCTTTACCTCACTTTGGGGTGCCTTTACCTCACTTTGGGGTGCCATACCCCACTCTGGGGTGCCGTACCCCACTCTGGGGTGCCGTACCCCACTCGGGGGGTGCCGTACCCCACTTTGGGGTGCCTTTACCCTACTTTGGGGTGCCTTTACCCCACTCGGGGGTGCCGTACCCCACTCTGGGGTGCCTTTACTCCACTCTGGGGTGCCTTTATCCCACTCTGGGGTACTGTACCCCACTTTGGGGTCTCTGTACCCCACTCTGGGGTGCCTTTATCCCACTCTGGGATGCCGTACCCCATTTTGGGGTGCCTTTATCCCACTTTGGGGTCTCTGTATCCCACTCTGGGGTGCCTTTACCCCACTCGGGGATGCCTTTACCCCACTCGGGGATGCCGTACCTCACTTTGGGGGTTATGTATCCCACTTTGGGGTGCCTTTACTCCACTTTGGGATACCATACCTCACTATGGGGTGCCTTTACCTCACTTTGGGGTGCCCTACCTCATTTTGGGGTGCCGTACCCCACTCGGGGGTGCTGTACCTCACTATGGGGTGCCTTTACCTCACTTTGGGGTGCCATACCCCACTCGGGGGTGCCGTACCCCACCCGGGGGTCTCTCCCCCCGCAGGGCGCCGGCGGAACGTGAACTGCCTGCGGCACGCGGTGATCTGGTACGAGGACCACCGGCAGCGCTGCCCGTACGAGCCGCGCCTGGCGGAGCTGGACCCCTCGGTGGGGCTGTACACCACGGCCGTGTGGCAGTGCGAGCGCGGGCACCGCTACTTCCAGGACCTGCACTCGCCCCTGCGCCCGCCCAGCGACTCCGAGGGCGATGACGGTGCGGGGTGCGGGGGGTTTGGGGTGTGGGGGGTTTGGGGTGTGGGGAATTTGGGGTTTGGGGTGTGGGGGGTTTGGGGAAATTGGGGTTTGGGGTGTGGGGTTTGGGGTGTGGGGGATTTGGGGTGTGGGGTTTGGGGATTGGGGTGTGGGGGGTTTGGGGTGTGGGGATTTGGGGTGTGGGATGTCGGAGATGTGGGGTTTGGGGATTGGGGTGTTGGGGGGATTGGGGTGTGGGGATTGGGGTGTGAGATTTGGGGTTTGGGGTGTGGGATGTGGGGCGTGGGGGGTTTGGGGTGTGGGGGGTTTGGGGTTTGGGGTGTGGGGGGTTTGGGCTGTGGGGGGTTTGGGGTGTGGGGTGTGGTGGGTATGGGGGGATTGGGGTGTGGGATGTGGGGGTATTGGGGTTTGGGGATTGGGGTGTGGGGTTTGAAGTATGGGGATTGGGGTGTGGGGTGTGGGGGGTTTGGGGTTTGGGGATTGGGATGTGGGGTTGGGGTGTGGGATTTGGGGTTTGGGGTGTGGGATGTGGGGATTGGGGTGTGGGATGTGGGGCTTGGGGTGTCGGGGATTTGGGGTGTGGGGGATTTGGGGTGTGGGGTTTGGGGTGTGGGGGGTTTGGAGTATGGGGGGTTTGGGGTGTGGGATGTGGGGTTTGGGGTGTGGGGTGTGGTGGATATGGGGGGTTTGGGGTGTGGGGTGTGGGGGGATTGGGGTGTGGGGATTGGGATTTGGGGTGTGTGGGGTGTGAGGTTTGGGCTGTTTGGGGTCAGGGGCGTTTGGGGTGACCTGGGCGCCGTTTGTGGGGTGCAGGCTCCTGGGGGTGCATGCGGGGCAGAGCGGAGTCTGTGGGGCAGTTTGGGGAAAACCCGAATCGATTTTTGGGGCCGTTTTGCGTCTCGGGGCGGTATTTGGACGCCCCGTGGACAATTTTTGGGGTCTGGAGATGGATATTTTTTTTACCTGTGGTGGGGGGGTCGGAAGGGAAAGACCCTCCCGTTGACTCTGCGCTTCCCCCGCAGCCCCCGGCTCCTCCTCCTCCTCCTCCTCCTCCTCCTCGGGGGGCTGCAGCTCGGGCTCGGAGGCGGCTGTGGGCGGGGGTCCCGCGGTGGCGGCGGCGCCCCCCGGGGGTCCCGAGGCGCTGGAGGCCGTGGTCTGCGTCCCCCTGCCCCTGCCCCTGCCCCGGGGGGGGCCGGACGGGGCCGAGCCCCCCGCGCTCCTGCAGGGCCCCCCGCTCCTGATCCTGGGCTGCGAGGGGCTGGGGGGGCTGCAGCTCGGCCTGGGGGGGCACGGGGTGCTGCTGGGGGCGGGGGGCGCCTGCCCCGCCCCCCCTGACCCCCCACACCTGGCCAAGACAGGTAAAGGGCGGGGGGGGGGGGCTGGGGAAAATGGGGGAGGTTGGGGGTGCTGGGGATGGGGGGATTTGGGGTGGGGAGTGGGGGATTGGGGATGGGGAATTGGGGATGGGGGATTTGGGGTCGGTGATGGGGGACTGGGGAAGATTTGGGGTCGGGAATGGGGGATTGGGGTCAGGAATGGAGGATTTGGGGTCAGGAATGGGGGATTGGGGAAGATTTGGGGTCGGGAATGGGGGATTGGGGAAGATTTAGGGTTGGAAATGGGGGTTTTGGGTCAGGAATGGGGGATTGCGGTCAGGAATGGGGGATTGGGGAAGATTTGGGGTTGGAAATGGGGGATTGGGGTCAGGAATGGTGGATTGGGGTCAGGAATGGGGGTTTTGGGTCGGGAATGGGGGATTGGGGTCAGGAATGGGGGTTTTGGGTTGGGAATGGGGGATTGGGGTCAGGAATGGGGGATTGGGGTCAGGAATGGGGGTTTTGGGTTGGGAATGGGGGATTGGGGTCAGGAATGGTGGATTGGGGTCAGGAATGGTGGATTGGGGTCAAGAATGGGGGATTGGGGAAGATTTGGGGTTGGAAATGGGGGATTGGGGTCGGGAATGGTGGATTGGGGTCAGGAATGGTGGATTGGGGTCAGGAATGGGGGTTTTGGGTCGGGAATGGTGGATTGGGGTCAGGAATGGTGGATTGGGGTCGGGAATGGGGGTTTTGGGTCGGGAATGGGGGTTTTGGGTCGGGAATGGGGGATTGGGGAAGATTTGGGGTTGGAAATGGGGGATTTGGGTTAAGAATGGGGGATTGGGGTCAGGAATGGTGGATTGGGGTCAGGAATGGGGGTTTTGGGTCGGGAATGGGGGATTGGGGAAGATCTGGGGTCAGGAATTGGGGGGGCTGTGGTGCTGGGGGGAGGACGGGGATGGGTTTGGGGGTCAGAAACGGGACGGGGCAGATGCTGGGGGGATCCCGGGGGGTCTCACCGGCCCCGCTGATGGCAGAGGAGGATGAGGAGGACCCGGTGCTGAGGCTGAAGCAGGAGGAGCTGCCCCCCCCCGCCGAGCTCCCCCCTCCGGAGCCCCCCCGGGAGCCCCCCCGGGACCCCTCCCCGGCTGAGGACCCCGAGGTGTCGACGATCATCTACGAGATCCCCAAAGAGCCAGAGAGGTCTGGGGGGTCCCTGGGGGGCTTTGGGTGGGGGGCTCAGGTGTGCGAAGGAAGTGGGGAGCACCTGGGGGGGTTTTGGGGGGTCAGGGGCTGTTTGATTTGGGGGTTTAGGGCAGCTTTTGTGGGGAGGGGGTGTTTTGGGGGTGGGGCAGGGGGTTTAGGAGGCTCAGGTGAGCTGCCCCCCATCTTTTTGGGGGGGGCACTCACGCCAGGCTCTGCAGGCGCCGGCGGAGCCGCCGGGGCCGCGCCCCCTCCCCGGACCCCGAGGACCCCCCCGAGCCCCTCACCTGCCCCTACGGCGGCTGCGGGCAGGAGTTCAGCGCTCTCAGCGAATTCCAGGTGCCTGGAAGCGGGGGGGAGCACCCCCTCACCTGCCCCACGTTCCCCTCTCACCTGTCCTGGACCCCTCTCACCTGTCCTGGACCCCCCCCAGACCCACCTGAGCCTGGTACACCGCAGGGGCCGGAGCCAGGTGTGCCCCCAGCCCGGCTGCGGGAAGAGGTTTTACCTGGCCAAGCACCTGCGGCGGCACATGGGCGTCCACTCAGGTGAGCCCCTCAGGTGTGCCCCCCAACCTCCCCCTCTGCGCCCCCAAAATCCTCCTCCCTCCACGGTAAAGAGCTTTTACCTGGGCACCCCTCTCAGGTGAGCCCCCCAGGTGTGTCCCCCCCAATTCCCCACCGTGCCCCCCCCCCCCCCAGGTGTGCGGGAGTTCACCTGCGACACCTGCGGGAAATCCTTCAAGCGCAAGAACCACCTGGAGGTGCACAGGAGGACGCACACCGGGGAGACCCCCCTGCAGTGAGTGATGGACTTGGGGGGTCCTGCCCAGGACTCGGCACCCCCCCGGGAGGGCGAGGAGGGGTCCCCAGGCACACCTGACGCCCACCTTGCCCCCCCACCTAGGTGCGAGGTGTGCGGGTACCGCTGCCGCCAGCGCGCCTCCCTGACGTGGCACATGCGGAGACACGGGGGGCTCAAGAGCCACCCCGAGCCCCGCGGCACGTAGGGACCCCCCGGCCTCATCTGGGACCCCCGGCCTCATCTGGGCCCCCCCAAACTCATCTGGGCCCCCCAAACTCATCTGGGCCCCCCCAGGACTGACCTGGACTCACCTGGGACCCCCAAACTCATCTGGGCCCACCCCAGACTCACCTGGGCCACCCCAGACTTACCTGGGCCCATCCTGGACTCACCTGGGGCCCCCCAAACTCACCTGGGCCCACCCAAGGACTCACCTGGGCCACCCCAGACTCACCTGGGGCCCCCCCAAACTCATCTGGGGCCCCCCCAGGACTCACTTGGGCCCCCCCAGACTCACTTGGGCCCCCCCAAACTCACCTGGGCCCCCCCAAACTCACCTGGGGCCCCCCAAGGACTCATCTGGGCCCACCCCGGACTCACCTGGGCCCCCCCGAACTCATCTGGGCCCACCTCGGACTCACCTGGGGACCCCCAGGACTCACTTGGGCCCCCCAAGGACTCACCTGGGCCTCCCCAGGACTCACTTGGGCCCCCCAGGACTCACCTGGGCCCCCCCAGACTCACCTGGGCCCCCACCTGCTCACTGGCACCCCCAGATGTTCCTGCAGCTGTACCTGGAGGTGAAGAAGAACCACCTGGGGGGGTCCTGAGCCCCTCCCCAGGACACCCCGAGCACCTCAGGGGCCTCTCGGGGGTCTCCTTGTGTGTGTCCCCCCCCGCCCAGGTGACCCTGTGCCCCCCCCCAGGTGTCCCCGTTGCCCTCCCCCTTCACCTTTTATTTATTTCCTCATTCTCGCTGTCTCCCCCCTGGTTTTGGGGGGTTTTGGGGGGTTTTGGGGGGTTTGGGGGCTCTGGGTGGGGGGTGCAGACCCCTCTGGGACCCCCCCACACACAAATCCATTAAAATCGGGACTTTTCGTGCTGCTTCTTCTGTGGGGGGGTCCCGGGGGGGGGGTTGGGGGCCCTCGCCGGTGCCCCCCTCCCCAATTCCCGTTTCGGGGGGCGGCGCGGCCCCTCGGCGGAGCCGGGCTCGGGCTCGGCGCTGTCCCCGGTGCTGAAACGGCGGCGGCTGCGCCCGGCCTTCATCACCCTCCTCTTCCTCTCCGTCCCTTCTCTTCCTTCCTCCTCCTCCTCCTCCATCCCCCCCCATCCTTCCTGCTCTTCCTCCTCCTCCTCTTCCTCCTCCATTCCCTCTTTCTTCCTTCTCCCCATCCCTGCTCGTCCTTCCTCCTCCTCCTCCTCCTCCTCCTCCCGTGGGCGGGGCCTTGGGGGTCTCGGGGGGCTTCGGGCCCTGGAAAAAGGGGGGGGGGCGGTTCTTTTTTTGGGGGGGGGGGGGGTTGGGCCGGGCAGACCCACCTCTATTTTTTGGGGGGGGGAGGGAGGGAGGGCGCGGACGGAACCATCTCGGGAGGAGGGGGGCTGGGGGGGCGGATTTTGGGGGGCCCCGCCCCGCGCCCGCCCAAGGACGTTTAAAGGACCGACGGGGCCGCCGCTCGCAGCGCCCGGTGCCGCCGCCGCCGCGACCCCCGGAGCCCCCCCCACCCCCGGTTTGGGCCCCTCGGGGCCGTGCGGGGCCCCCCCCGCCCCTCCCCTCCCGGCGACACGATGGTGACGGTAGGAACGGGGTGGGGAGGGGGCGATTGCGGGGATCCCCCAGACTGCCATCCCCTCCCCCATCCCGGGCACCCCCCACCCCCGAGTCCCCAATTCCCACCCCCCCGAACCCCCCCACCTTGGTGTCCCCTCCTCGCCGTGCGCGGGTGACACGCTGGGCTGGGGACACGGCGTCACACGCGGGTGGCACCTGCGGGGACACGCGTGTGCCAGGGAGGGGCGGGGACCCCTCCCCAAACCGCGGCCGATTTGGGTGGGGTGGGGAGGGGGGCGCGTGTGTCGCTGTCCCCCGCGTGTCGCTGTCCCCACGCCACCCCCCCCACCCCACCCCGGGGCCGTGGCTGGTGGCCCCGGGTGTCCCCATCCCGCGGTGACAAAGGGCCATTGTCACCCACCCCGCGCTATTGGGGAGGGGGGGAAGGGGCGGGGGCGCTGCCGCCGCACAATGGGGGGATTGTCCCCCCGTGGCCCCACCCGGCTGTCGCTGTCCCCCCTGTCCCCTCCCCGTCCATCCTCACGGGCTCGCTGTCCCCGTGTCCCCGCTGTCCCCGTCCCACCGCTGTCCCCACGGTCCGGTCGTCTCTGTCCCCTCCCCATCGCCGTGTCTGCGCTGTCCCTGTCCCCTCTCTGCCCCCCGTCCCTGCAGTGACACCCCAGTGACAGTGACCCCCCCAGTGACAGTGACACCCCCAGTGACCCCCCCCAGTGACAGTGACCCCCCAGTGACAGTGACCCCCCCGTGACAGTGACACCCCAGTGACAGTGACACCCCCAGTGACAGTGACCCCCAGTGACAGTGACACCCCCTGTGACAGTGACACCCCTGTGACAGTGACACCCCCTGTGACAGTGACACCTCAGTGACAGTGACACCCCCTGTGACAGTGACACCCCCTGTGACAGTGACACCCCAGTGACAGTGACACCCCCAGTGACAGTGACCCCCCAGTGACAGTGACACCCCAGTGACAGTGACACCCCAGTGACAGTGACACCCCCAGTGACAGTGACACCTCAGTGACAGTGACCCCCCAGTGACAGTGACACCCCTGTGACAGTGACACCCCCAGTGACACCCCAGTGACAGTGACACCCCAGTGACAGTGACCCCCCTGTGACAGTGACCCCCCAGTGACAGTGACACCCCAGTGACAGTGACACCCCTGTGACAGTGACACCCCCTGTGACAGTGACCCCCCAGTGACAGTGACACCCCAGTGACAGTGACACTCCCAGTGACACCCCAGTGACAGTGACCCCCCCAGTGACAGTGACACCCCTGTGACACCCCAGTGACAGTGACACTCCCAGTGACCCCCCCAGTGACAGTGACCCCCCTGTCCCCAGCAGATCCTGAGCACGGTGGAGGCCCAGGCTCCCAGCGCCGCGGGGCCCTCGGGCTGCGGCCCCGTCCCCGTCCCGGTCCCGGTGGTGGCCGTGCCGGGCCCGGGGGTGGCGGCAGCGCTGCCCAACGGGGCCCCCCCGGGTCCTCCCCCCGTGGCCGACGACAGCAAAACCAACCTGATCGTCAACTACCTGCCGCAGTCCATGAGCCAGGAGGAGCTGCGGAGCCTCTTCGGCAGCCTCGGCGACATCGAGTCCTGCAAGCTGGTCCGGGACAAGGTCACCGGTATGGGGGACGCGGCCTGGGGGGGACAGAGACATGGACTGGGGGGACACAGGGCATGGGGACATGGCCTCGGGGGGACAGGGACGCAGCCTGGGGGGGACACAGGGCATGGGGACACGGTCTGGGGGGGACACAGGGCATGGGGACATGGACTGGGGGGGACACGGGGCATGGGGACATGGTCTGGGGGGGACAGGGACATGGACTGGGGGGGGCACAGGGCGTGGGGACATGGCCCGCGGGGACAGGGACATGGACTGAGGGGGACACAGGGCACAGGGACACGGTCTGGGGGGGACAGGGACATGGACTGGGGGGACACAGGACATGGGGACATGGTCTGGGGGGGGGCACAGGGCGTGGGGACGCGGCCTGGGGGGACAGGGACATGGACTGGGGGGACAGGGACATGGGGCATGGGGACATGGACTGGGGGGGACACAGGGCATGGGGACATGGTCTGGGGTGGACAGGACATGGGGACACGGAATGTGAGGTGTGGGAGATGGGACACGGGGACACGGGCAGTGGGATGTGGACAGATGGGACAAGGGACACAGGGACATGGGGAAATGGGACACGATGACGTGGGAAGGGAGAGGGGACACGGGGACCTGTGGGGACAGGGATGGGAGCACAGGGGACAGGGCCACCCCTGTGACGGTGACACGGTGTCCCAGGGCAAAGCCTGGGCTACGGCTTCGTCAACTACGTGGAGGCCGGCGACGCCGACAGGGCCATCGGGGCCCTCAACGGCCTCAAGCTGCAGACCAAGACCATCAAGGTGCCCTGGGGACACGGGGGTGGGCACCTGGGGGGGCTTTTGGGGCGGGGGAGGCACCTGGAAACCCTTCGGGGTAGGGGGGCACATGTGGGATCCTTCAGGGGGAATCCTTTGTGTGGAGGGGGCACTTGTGGGGCACCTGGGAGCCCTTGGAGGGGGGTGGGCGGGCGATGCCGCTGTGCCCTGGGGGTCCCGAGGGCTCACCTGTCCCCCCAGGTGTCCTACGCCCGGCCCAGCTCCGCCTCCATCCGCGATGCCAACCTGTACGTCAGCGGCCTGCCCAAGGCCATGGGGCAGAAGGAGATGGAGCAGCTCTTCTCCCAGTACGGCCGCATCATCACCTCCCGCATCCTCGTGGACCAGGTCACAGGTGAGCCCGGCTGTGCCCAGGTGTGCTCAGCCCACCTGGGAAGGTGGGACACGCCTGGGGTGGGGGGTCTGGGGATCCTGGGGGGGGTGGGACACTCCTAGAAGGGTGGGACATCCACGGGGGGTAGGACATCCATGGGATGGGGGGTCCTGGGAGATCCTGGGGGAGGTGGGACACTCCTGGGGGGTAGGACATCCATGGGGGGTAGGACATCCCTGGGAATGTGGGTCCAGGGGGATCCTGGGGGAGATGGGACACTCCTGGGGGGTAGGACATCCATGAGAATGGGGGTCCTGGGGATCCTGGGGGAGGTGGGACACTCCTGGGGGGTGGGACATCCATGAGAATGGGGGTCCTGGGGATCCTGGGGGAGGTGGGACACTCCTGGGGGGTGGGACATCCATGGGATGTGGGGTCCTGGGGGATTCTGGGGGAGGTGGGACACTCCTGGGGGGTGGGACACTCCTGGGGGGTGGGACATCCATGAGAATGGGGGTCCTGGGGGGATTTTGGGGGAGGTGGGACACTCCTGGGGGGTGGGACATCCATGGGATGGGGGGTCCTGGGAGATCCTGGGGGAGGTGGGACACTCCTAGAAGGGTGGGACATCCATGGGATGGGGTCCTGGGGGGATTTTGGGGGAGGTGGGACACTCCTGGGGGATAGGACACTCCTGGGGGGTGGGACATCCCTGAGAATGGGGGTCCTGGGGGATTCTGGGGGAGGTGGGACACTCCTAGAAGGGTGGGACATCCATGGGATGGGGGGTCCTGGGGGGATTTTGGGGGAGGTGGGACACTCCTGGGGGGTGGGACACTCCTGGGGAATAGGACATCCCTGAGAATGGGGGTCCTGGGGGGATTTTGGGGGAGGTGGGACACTCCTGGGGGGTGGGACATCCATAGGATGGGGGTCCTGGGGGGATTTTGGGGGAGGTGGGACACTCCTGGGGGGTGGGACACTCTTGGGGAATAGGACATCCCTGAGAATGGGGGTCCTGGGGGATTTTGGGGGAGGTGGGACACTCCTGGGGGGTGGGACATCCCTGGGATGGGGGGTCCTGGGGGGATTCTGGGGGAGGTGGGACACTCCTAGGGGGTGGGACACTCCTGGGGGGTAGGACATCCCTGGGAATGGGGGTCCTGGGGGGATTCTGGGGGAGGTGGGACACTCCTGGGGGGTAGGACATCCATGGGGGGTAGGACATCCCTGGGAATGTGGGTCCTGGGGGGATTTTGGGGATTCTGGAGAGGTGGGGCTCCCCTTGGGGGGTTACCCAGTGATCCCTTTAGGGTCTGTGGGTGGGCGAGGCGGGCAGGGGGCTTTGGGAGGGGCTGCCCCTGATGCCCCCCATGTCACCTGCGCAGGTGTGTCGCGGGGGGTGGGCTTCATCCGCTTCGACAAGCGCGTGGAGGCCGAGGAGGCCGTGCGGGGGCTGCACGGGCAGAAGCCCCTCGGGGCCGCTGAGCCCATCACGGTCAAGTTCGCCAACACCCCCGGGCAGAAATCGGGGGGGGCCCTGCTGAGCCTCTGCCCCGGAGCCCGGCGCTATGGGGCCCTGCACCCCCCCCCGCAGCGCTTCCGGTGAGGGGCTGGGAATGGGGGGCTGGGAATGGGGGGCACAGGCCGGGAATGGGGGGCACAGGCCGGGAATGGGGGGCTGGGAATGGGGGGCTGGGAATGGGGGGCACAGCCCGGGAATGAGGGGCTGGGAATGGGGGGCACAGCCCGGGAATGGGGGGCTGGGGGGCTGGGAATGGGGGGCACAGCCTGGGAATGGGGGGCTGGGGGGCTGGGAATGGGGGGCACAGCCCGGGAATGGGGGGCTGGGAATGGGGGGCACAGCCCGGGAATGGGGGGCTGGGAATGGGGGGCACAGCCCGGGAATGGGGGGCACATCCCAGGAATGGGGGGCTGGGAATGGGGGACACAGCCCGGGAATGGGGGGCTGGGAATGGGGGGGACAGCCCGGGAATGGGGGGCTGGGGGGCTGGGAATGGGGGGCACAGCCCGGGAATGGGGGGCTGGGAATGGGGGGGACATCCCGGGAATGGGGGGCTGGGAATGGGGGGCACAGCCCGGGAATGGGGGGCTGGGAATGGGGGGCACAGCCCGGGAATGGGGGGCTGGGAATGGGGGACACAGCCCAGGAATGGGGGGCTGGGAATGGGGGGCACAGCCCGGGGATGGGGGGCTGGGAATGGGGGGCTGGGAATGGGGGGCTGTGGGGCTGGGAATGGGGGGGACAGCCCGGGAATGGGGGGCTGGGAATGGGGGGCACAGCCCGGGAATGGGGGGCTGAGGGGCTGGGATTGGGGGGGGACATCCCGGGAATGGGGGGCTGTGGGGCTGGGAATGGGGGGGACAGCCCGGGAATGGGGGGCTGGGAATGGGGGGCACAGCCCGGGAATGGGGGGCACATCCCGGGAATGGGGGGGACATCCTAAGAACAGGGGCCCTGGGGGGATGGGGGAGCTGGGGGGATGAGATATCTTTGGGAATGGGGGTCCCGGGGGGTCGGAGGGGTGGGACACTGGGGCACTGGGGGTCCTGGGACACCCCTGGGCACAGGGACCCCCGTGACACCAGGGCCACCCCTCCTTGTCCCCCGCTGACGCCCCCTCGTCCCCTCCAGGCTCGACAACTTGCTGAACGTGGCGTACGGGGTGAAGAGGTAAACCCTAAAAAACCCCCCCAAATCCCCCCAAACCTGCCCTACCCAACCCCCCCTCCCCGCAGCCTGGGGCGCAGGAGGGGACCCCGGGACCCCCGCGCTGACCCCGGGCCAGCCCGCTGTCGCTGCTGCCCAGGTTCTCGCCGTTGGCCATCGAGGCGGTGCCGGCGCTGGCCGGGGTGGGCTTGGGGACCCCCGGGCCGGGCTGGTGCATCTTCGTCTACAACCTGGCGCCCGAGGCGGACGAGAGCGTCCTGTGGCAGCTCTTCGGGCCCTTCGGCGCCGTCACCAACGTCAAGGTCATCCGCGACTTCGCCACCAACAAGTGCAAAGGCTTCGGCTTCGTCACCATGACCAACTACGAGGAGGCGGCCATGGCCATCGCCAGCCTCAACGGCTACCGCCTGGGCGACCGCGTGCTCCAGGTGTCCTTCAAGACCACCAAGCAGCACAAGGCCTGAGCCGCGTCCCCGCTGAGGCCGCGGGGGTCTCCTGCCGAGCCCCCGTGAGCGCCGTGGAGAAGCTCGGCTGGAGGTGTCTCGGGGACCCGCTGGGAGACCGTGGAGAAAGCCAGCTGGAGACCTCGGGCACCTTCAGGGACCCCCATGAACACCATGGAGAAACTCAGCTGGAGACCTCGGGGACCCCCCAGCAGCACCAAACACATCCCGGAGACCTCAGGGTCCCACCATGAGCACCACGGAGACCATGGAGAAACCCACGTGAAGACCCGGAGACCTCAGGGTCCCTCCATGGAGACCATGGAAAACCCACGTGAAGACCTGGAGACCTCAGGGTCCCTCCATGGAGACCATGGAAAACCCACATGAAGACCCAGAGACCTCAGGGTCCCCCCATGGAGACCATGGAAAACCCACGTGAAGACCCGGAGACCTCAGGGTCCCTCCATGGAGACCATGGAAAACCCACATGAAGACCTGGAGACCTCAGGGTCCCTCTATGGGCACCACGGAGACCATGGAGAAACCCAACCGGAGACCTCGGGGACCTTCAGGGACCTTCAGGGACCCCCCCCCGCCATGAGCACCAGACCCATCCTGGAGGTCTCAGGGTTCCCAACATGAACACCATGGAGAACCCCAACTTCAGGTCCCGGGCACCCTCCATGGACACCGAGGACATCCTGGGTCTCCAGGATGGAGAAACGCACCTGGAGACCTTGGAGACCGTGGGGACACCCCATGAGCACCACAGACACCACGGAGACCCCGGAGACCCCCTCCATGGCCACTGAGGACACCGTGGGGACACCTGAGGCACGGCCCGGACACCTGGACGCCCTCACCTGTCCCCGATGAGGAATCCTGAGGAATCCTCCAGGTGCTCCAGGGCACTGGGAGGGGCCCTGGAAAGCCTGGAGACCCCCCCCAGGACACTGTGGACACACCTGGGACCCCCGCCCGGGTACCCCAAACCCCACCACTCCGGCAGTGGCCGGACCACCTGGAGCGGTGCCCCCCCCCTCACCTGATCCAGGTGTGTCCAGGTGGGGGCTGTGCCCCTCCTTCCCTCCACTCCAGGACTCCAGCGGTGAGAGGGGGGGCGCGTCTTCTCGCTCTCTCCTTTCCATGTTTTCCCTTAATTTTCTGGGGGAGGGGGAGGAATTTTTGGGGAGAAAGAACAAAAATAAGGATTTACCACATGTTTAATTAGACCTGTTACTCGATATCAGGTAAGGAGGAACGTGACTGACGCAGGGAGCGGCGACTCCTCGGGAGCTGCTGACCCAAATCCATCTATTTTTATAGCAGAATATTAAAAATATCCCCCAAAATCCCCAAAATCACTGTTCCAGAGAGGGTGAGAACCTGTTTTGTGCTCCCCGAGTTCCTTGGAAGCAGCTTGTGAACCCCAAGAGAGATCAAGGCAAGTTTTGGGGGGTCAGTGGCACTGAAATTCCAGGGATTCCTCTGGTACCCCCAAATCTGGGAGGGAGGGGATGTGTCTTGTCACACTTCCCCCCCCCTCCCTTCCCAAATTCTCCAAAATGGGCAATTTTTGCCCCAAATTACTCCACTCGCTGGAGTTTGGCCACTTGGAGCCTCCTGTCCAAAAAAAGGGCGGAACCCCACCTCAAAAGCCCCGACCCTGAGTTCCCCCATACTCCTTATCATCGTTATTATTCTTAATTATTCTTAATTATTATTCTTATTAATTATTGTTGATGTTATTATTATTATTATTATTATTATTGCAAGTCTTATTTATTTTCCCTTCGCCGTCGGGATAATTTCTCACTTTTCAGTGGTTTATTTCCCATTTATTTCCTATTCTTCCCTGCTTTTTCCCCGATCCTGGTACTCCCCGGGACCCTCTTTTTTCCCCCCCAGACCCTTCTCCCAAACCCATCCCGGCTCCTGGTTTTTTTGTGTCGTGCCTGTGTGAAGCTTCTTGTAGTTTTAATTATTATTAATATAAATATTTAGGAGCGACCCCCCGTGTCCAGATCCGCCATCACGCCCCCCCCCCACCCCCCCAAACTCTGACCCCCACCCCCTCTCCCAGGGATCCAGCCCTGGAATTTGGGGAGGGGGCCAGGGGACCCCCAATTCAGTAGCAATAAGGGGTCCCCACCTCAGCCCTGGCCCATTTTTGGGGGGCCCAAACGTGGGGACAAAAGGTGCCCAGGGACCCCCTGGTGGCACTGCGGGACCCCTCAGAGGGGACCGGGACCCCCCGGCCCCCACCCCTGGACTCGACTCTTTGTATTTTTCATGGGAAAAAAAAATCAATTAAAAAATTTAAAAGGCAGAATTTGTACGTGATTTTGGCAGGGAGGGTGCATCCGTCCGGGACTGGGTGGCTGAGGGACTCTCGGCCATTTCCCTCACGCTTTCCAGCTCTTTTCCCCTCACATTTCCTGCCCTTGTCCCCTCACATTTTCTGCCCTTTTCCTCTCACATTTCCCCTCACATTTCCTTCTCTTTTCCCATCACATTTCCCACCCATTTCCCCCTCACCTTTCCTGCATTTTTTCTCCTCATGTTTCCTGCCCTTTTCCCCCTCACATTTCCCACCTTTTCCCCCCTCACGTTTCCCACCTTTTCCCCTCACATTTCCCGCCCTTTTTCCCTCTCACATTTTCTGCCCTTTTCCCCTCACATTTCCCCTCACATTTTCTGCCCTTTTCCCCTCACATTTCCCCTCACATTTCCTACCTTCTTCCCCTCACATTTCCTTCTCTTTTCCCATCACATTTCCCACCCATTTTCCCCTCACCTTTCCCGCCTTTTTTCCCCTCACATTTCCCGCCCTTTTCCCCCTCACATTTCCCACCTTTTCCCCTCACATTTCTCACCTTTCCCCCTCACATTTCCTGCCTTTTTTCTCCTCACATTTTCTGCCTTTTTTCCCCTCACATTTCCCGCCCTTTTTCCTCTCACATTTTCTGCCCATTTTCCCTTCACATTACCCTCCCTTTTCCCCTCATGTTTCCCTCCCTTTTCCCCTCTTGTTTCCCTCCCTTTTCCCCTCACATTTTCCACCCATTTTCCCCTTTCATTTCCTGCCTATTTTCCCCTCAGATTTCCCTCTTTTTTCCCCCTCACCTTTCCCGCCCTTTTCCCCCTCACCTTTCCCACCTTTTTCCCCTCACGTTTCCCGCCCTTTTCCCCCTCACCTTTCCCGCCCTTTTCCCCCTCACCTTTCCCACCTTTTTCCCCTCACGTTTCCCGCCCTTTTTCCCCTCACCTTTCCCGCCCTTTTTCCCCTCACATTTCCCACCTTTTCCCCTCACATTTCCCACACTTTTTCCCCTCACATTTTCTGCCCTTTTCCCCTCACATTTCCCCTCACATTTCCTTCTCTTCTCCCCTCACATTTCCCACCCTTTTCCCCCTCACATTTCCCGCCTTTTCCCCCCCTCACATTTCCCAGGTTTTCCCCTCACATTTCCTGCCTTTTTCCCCCTCACGTTTCCTGCTCTTTTCCCCTCCCTTTCCCCCCTTTTCCCCCTCCTAACCAACCCCTCTAATTAAACCCTTTTAACCAATGAAAAAAGGGTTTTGCTCCCTCAGTTTAAATCTTAAAAATGGAAAAAGGGGTTCCCTCTATGTTTAGACCCCTAAAATAATGGATAAAGGGGGTCTTCTCCCAAAATAAGACATAAAAATGGTGAAAAAGGGGGAGTTTCCCTCAATTTAAACCCGTAAAATGTCAGATCATGCCTCAATTTAAAATTTTTAATGGAATTCCCACTCAATTTAACCCCACAAGAGGCCTCCTCCCTTTACTGGTTTTCCCTCAAGAAACACAAGTTTTGGGGCTTTTTGACAACATTTCCCCTGTAAGATCCCTTAAAACCGAGGGCTCCTGTTGATGGAACTCTTAAAACGTCCCATAAAGAATCTCCTTTCAATTTAAATGCTTAAAAATGATGGAAAACAGAGATTCATGTTCAATTTAACTATTTAAGGAATTAAAAATTCGGATTTATCCTCCGCTAAATCCCTATGTAATAGAAAGTAGTCCTTCCCAGTCAATTAAACCTCATCAAATCACTGAAGAGGAAGGCTTTTCCTGCAATTTAAACCCTTAAAAACGATGGAAAACACAGATTCCTCCTCAATTTAACTACTTAGGGAATTAAAAATTTGGATTTATCCTCAACTAAATCCCTAAAATAATAGGAAGTAGGCACTCCTAGTTAACTAAACATTTTCAAATCAGTTTTTTCCTTCAACTTAAACCTTTAAAATAGTTTAAAAGACTTTATTGATTGTATTAACTCCTTTAACCCCGCAGGTAAAAACCATGGCGGGTGTGTGTGGGTGTGTGTGTGTGTGTGTGTGTGTGTGTGTGTGTGTGTGTGTGTGTGTGTGTGTGTGCTCGTGTCTCTTTAAATCCGCCGCCATCTTTGAAGCGGGCGCGGCTTGGCGCGGGCCGCGAGCGAGGCCGGGCGCGGCGCCGGAAGTGCGTCAGGCGCGGGCGGAAGCGGGCGGGGGCCGGAGGGAAGGTGGCGGCGGCCGCGCCATGGTGGATTACAGCGTGTGGGACCATATCGAGGTCTCGGACGACGAGGACGAGACTCACCCCAACATCGACACCGCCAGTCTCTTCCGATGGCGCCACCAGGTGCGGCTCGGCCCGGCCCGCGGCGCTCTCCCCCCACCCCCGGGCCTGGCGCTCCCAGGGAGGCCCCGTTCCCATGGCGACCGGAATTCCCGGGATTCCCGGAGGGACGGGGGAGGCACGGGGTGGGGGATCTGTTGTTCATGGGAGCCCGGGGGTGTGGGGGGCTCTCCGTGTTCCCGCAGGACGGGGAATGGGGGGGGTGTTGTCCTTTTCCAGCTGCAGGGGCTCCCGTGGGGCGGGGACTCCCTGCATTCCCATGGGATCATCCCTGGAGCCCCCGCGGGGAGCTCCGCCATCCCAGCACGGCCCGGTTCCCGTTCCCGGTGCTCCATCCCAGCCCGTTCCCTGTTCTCCATCCCATTCCCCATTCCCGATGTCCCACCCCATCCTTAGCCCGTTCCCCATCCCAGCCCATTCCCCGTTCCCCATTCCCCATCCCATCCCATTCCCCATTCCCAGTTCCCCATCCCATTCCCCATTCCCAGTGCCCCATCCCATTCCCCATTCCCCATTCCCAGTGCCCCATCCCATTCCCCATTCCCCACCCCATCCCATTCCCCATTCCCCACCCCATCCCATTCCCCATTCCCAGTGCCCCATCCCATTCCCCATTCCCAGTTCCCCATCCCATTCCCCATTCCCCATCCCATTCCCCATTCCCAGTTCCCCATCCCATTCCCCATTCCCCATCCCATTCCCCATTCCCTGTTCCCCATCCCATTCCCCATTCCCAGTGCCCCATCCCATTCCCTGTTCCCCATCCCATTCCCTATTCCCAGTGCCCCATCCCATTCCCCATTCCCTGTTCCCCATCCCATTCCCCATTCCCTGTTCCCCATCCCATTCCCCATTCCCAGTGCCCCATCCCATCCCATTCCCCGTTCCCCATCCCATTCCCCATTCCCAGTGCCCCATCCCATTCCCCGTTCCCCATCCCATTCCCCATTCCCCGTTCCCCATCCCATTCCCCATTCCCCATTCCCCATCCCATCCCATTCCCCATTCCCAGTGCCCCATCCCATTCCCCATTCCCCATTCCCAGTGCCCCATCCCATTCCCCATTCCCAGTGCCCCATCCCATTCCCCATTCCCCATTCCCATTCCCCATCCCATTCCCCATTCCCCATTCCCATTCCCCATCCCATTCCCCATTCCCCATCCCATTCCCCCTTCCCGCTGCCCCCGGCATCTCCCGCTCCATCCCTGCCGTGCCCAGGGGCTGCTCCTTCCCTCGGGAATCACCTCAGGGTGGGGAGGGGGCGGTCACAGCCCCCCAAAATCCCCCTGCGTGTCCCAGGATGGGGCAGCGACCCCTCCGAGGGCTCGCACCCAACTTTGGGCTGTGGGAAGCGCCAGAATTCCAGATCCACCACCCCCAACTCCCTACGGAAAAGCTGCAGCTCCCTGGGGTGGATTTGGGGCTTCAACCCCTCCTGAACCCCACAAAACCCCCACAAAACCCCCCCAAAACCCGGGAGCGAGGCGCCCCAGCTCCTTCCCTGCTGCCCCAGGCCCGTGTGGAGCGCATGGAGCAGTTCCAGAAGGAGAAGGAGGAGCTGGATAAAGGCTGCCGCGAGTGCAAGCGCAAACTGGCCGAGTGCCAGAGGAAGATGAAGGAGCTGGAAGTGGCCGAGCCGGAGAGTGGGAAAGGGGAGCTGGAAAAGCTCCAGGCCGAGGCCCAGCAGCTGAGGAACGAGGAGAAAAGTTGGGAGAACAAGCTGGAGGAGCTGAGGAAGAAGGAGAAGAACATGCCCTGGAACGTGGACACGCTCAGCAAGGATGGCTTCAGCAAGGTGGGGGTTTTGGGGAGGAAAACCCCCCCCAAAAAAAGCACCCCCAGCGTGTCCTAAATTCCCCAAATCATTCCCTGCCTTCCTTGGCGTTCCCAGAGCGTTGTCAACGTGAAGCCTGAGGAGAAGGAGGAGACGGAGGAGCAGAAGGAGAAGAAACACAAAACCTTCGTGGAGCGATACGAGAAGCAGATTAAACACTTTGGTGAGGGATTTTCAGGGGGGAGGAAACTTTTTGGGGTTCTCCAAGCTTGGGAACACCCCGTGTGGTGGGAGCAGCCGGGAATCCTCTCGCTGCGCTGAAAAATCGAGGATTTTGTGTGGTTTTCCCATTTTTTTCCCCTGCTGAAGCACAGTTTTGGGGGAGTTTAGTTAAATTTCACGATGAGGTGCTCGCCCTCCTGGCCACCCTCATCCTGACGGAGTTTGGGGTTTGTTCCCTGGCTGAGGAGGGGGAATTCTCCTCTTTCCCTGGTTGCAGGGATGCTGAGGCGCTGGGATGACAGCCAGAAGTACCTGTCGGACAACCCTCACCTGGTCTGCGAGGAGACAGCCAACTACCTGGTCATCTGGTGCATCGACCTGGAGGTGGAGGAGGTGAGGAGTCAGGCTGAAATTGGGGTAAAAAATCCTAAAATCACTTCTTTCCCAAGCTGGAGCTGCCTTGTTCTCACCTCTCTGGATTTCTCCCCATTTTTCCTGCCAAAAAAAAAAAAAGAGAGGATTGAGGAATTACAAGGCAGGAGAGGTGGGAAAAGATCCTTAAAATCATCCTGTAAAAGCACCCACCTTTCCTTGGGAGAGAGGTTGACACCTCTCCTGCAGCTCCAGGGTTTTTCTGGGATGAGGAGCCCACAAAATCAGGGAATTTGGGATTAATTTGGGATCAAACAGCTCCTAAAGAGCATCGAACCCAACCCAGTCTCATCCTAATGACTTAACACACCGATCCAATTTGAGTTTCCCTGACCCAAATCGCCTCTTCCTCACCCAAAAAGGGGTTTGGTTGAGTGGGGAATGGGGATTTTGGGGGATTTTGGGGGGATTTTGACCCCGTTTTTTCCCCAGAAACACGCGCTGATGGAGCAGGTGGCCCACCAGACCATCGTCATGCAGTTCATCCTGGAGCTGGCCAAGAGCCTCAAGGTGGATCCCAGGGCTTGCTTCCGGCAGTTTTTCACCAAAATTAAGGTAAAAATCCCCCCTGGACTCCCCAAAATCCCTCCCTGAGGCTGAGCGCACCCCAATTTCCAAGGGTTTAGCCTCAAATTTTTCTCCTTTTCCCAAAATCCCTCCCCGAAGCCGAGCGCACCCCAATTTCCACTGGTTTAGCCTCAATTTTTTTTCTCCTTTTCGTGGGGTTTGACCAGGGGAGGGTGTTCTGGTGGAGTGGGGGATGGGGTGGAAAAGGGGGGGCTCAGGGGGTGGAATTGGGGGTTTAGGAGCGGAATTGGGGGTTTGGGAGTGGAAATGAGGGTGTGGGTTGGAATTAGGGGTTTGGGGTTGGAATTGGGGATTTAGGAGTGGGGTTGGATTTGGGGTGAATTTGGGTTGGATTTGGGGTGAATTTGGGGCGGATCTGGGTTGGATTTGGGGTGAATTTGGGTTGGATTTGGGGTGAATTTGGGGCGGATCTGGGTTGGATTTGGGGTGAATTTGGGGCGGATCTGGGTTGGATTTGGGGTGGATCTGGGTTGGATTTGGGGTGAATTTGGGGCGGATCTGGGTTGGATTTGGGGTGGATCTGGGTTGGATTTGGGGCAGATCTGGGTTGGATTTGGGGTGAATTTGGGTTGGATTTGGGGTGAATTTGGGGCGGATCTGGGTTGGATTTGGGTTGGATTTGGGGCGGATCTGGGTTGGATTTGGGGCGGATCTGGGTTGGATTTGGGGCGGATCTGGTTGGATTTGGGGCGGATCTGGGTTGGATTTGGGGTGGATTTGGGGTGGATTTGGGGTGGATTTGGGGTGAATTTGGGGCGGATCTGGGTTGGATCTGGGTTGGATTTGGGGCGGATCTGGGTTGGATTTGGGGCGGATCTGGGTTGGATTTGGGGCGGATCTGGTTGGATTTGGGGCGGATCTGGGTTGGATTTGGGGTGGATTTGGGGTGGATTTGGGGCAGATCTGGGTTGGATTTGGTGTGGATTTGGGGCAGATCTGGGTTGGATTTGGGGCGGATCTGGGTTGGATTTGGGGCGGATTTGGGTTGGATTTGGGGTGGATTTGGGGTGAATTTTGGGGCGGATCTGGGTTGGATTTGGTGCGGATTTGGGGCAGATCTGGGTTGGATTTGGGGCGGATCTGGGTTGGATTTGGGGCGGATCTGGGTTGGATTTGGGGCGGATCTGGGTTGGATTTGGGGCGGATCTGGGTTGGATTTGGGGTGAATTTGGGTTGGATTTGGGGTGGATTTGGGGCGGATTTAGGGCGGATTTGGGGCGGATTTGGGGCGGATCTGGGTTGGATTTGGGGTGGATTTGGGGCGGATCTGGGTTGGATTTGGGGTGAATTTGGGTTGGATTTGGGGTGAATTTGGGGCGGATCTGGGTTGGATTTGGGGCAGATCTGGGTTGGATTTGGGGCGGATCTGGGTTGGATTTGGGGCGGATCTGGGTTGGATTTGGGGCGTATGTGGGTTGGATTTGGGGCGGATTTGGTGCGGATCTGGGTTGGATTTGGGGTGGATTTGGGGCGGATTTGGGGCGGATCTCGGTTGGATCTGGGTTGGATTTGGGTTGGATTTGGTGCGGATTTGGGGCGGATTTGGGGCAGATTCGTGGCGGATTTGGGGTGAACCCCGTTTTTCCCCCCAAGACGGCGGATCAGCAGTACCTGGAGGGTTTCACGGAGGAGGTGGAGGGCTTCAAGGAGCGGGTGCGGGGCCGGGCGCGGGCGCGGCTGGAGAAGGCGCTGCGCGAGTACGAGGAGGAGGAGCGCCAGAAACGCCTCGGCCCCGGCGGGCTCGACCCCGTGGACGTCTACGAGTCCCTGCCCCCCGTGAGTCCGGGCTGAAACCCCCCGGATTTGGGGCGTTTTGGGGTCCCCTCGTGGTTTTTTCCCCGCTCTGAGTGGGTGCTGGAGGTCTGGGGGCTCCCGGTGGGGTTGGGTTGAGGGGCAGTCGCTCCCAGTGCCAGTCTGGATTTGAGGTTCAGTCCCCCAATTTTGAGTTTTTGGAGTTTCCTTGGGATCGTTGGCTCCCAGTTTGAGCCTGGTCACTCCCAGTGTGATCCCAGTATGATCCCAGTCACTTCCAGTGTGATCCCAGTATGATCCCAGTCACTTCCAGTGTATTCCAGTCACTCCCAGTGTGATCTCAGTCGCTCCCAGTGTGATCCCAGCATGATCCCAGTCACTCCCAGCATGATCCCAGTCACTCCCAGTATGTCCCAGTCACTCCCAGTGTGATCCCAGTATGTTCCAGTTGCTCCCAGTGTGATCCCAGCAACTCCCAGTATGTCCCAGCCCCTCCCAGTGTGATCCCAGCCCCTCCCAGTACATCCCAGTCCCTCCCAGCCCCTCTGACCAGTGCCTGGGCCCGGCAGGAGCTGCAGAAATGCTTCGATGTCAAAGACGTTCAGATGCTGCAGGACACCATCAGCAAAATGGACCCAACCGTGAGTTTTTTACCCCAAAAACCCCTCGGGGGGGGTTCCCTAAATCCTTCAGGGTGTCCCCAAATCCCTCAGGGGTATCCCCAGATCCCTCCGGGGTGTCCCTAAATCTCCCAGGGGGGGTCCTAAATCCCTTGGGGTATCCCCAGATCCCTCAGGGGTGTCCCTAAACCCCTCAGGGGTGTCCCCAAATCCCTCGGGAAGGGTCCCAAATCCCTCAGGAGGGGTCCCAAATCCCTCAGGAGGGGTCCCAAATCCCTCAGGAGGGGTCCCAAATCCCTCAGGGGTGTCCCTAAACCCATCAGGGGTGTCCCCAAATCCCTCAGGATGGGTCCCAAATCCCTTGGGGTGTCCCCAGATCCCTCGGGAAGGGCCCCAAACTCCTCAGGATGGGTCCCAAACCCCTCGGGGTGTCCCCAGATCCCTCGGGAAGGGTCCCAAACCCCTCGGGGTGTCCCCAAATCCCCCAGCACCCCCTTTTTCCAGGAGGCCAAGTACCACATGCAGCGCTGCATCGACTCGGGGCTCTGGGTGCCCAACGCCAAGGGCGGGGACGGGGCGGAGAAGGGCCCGGCCGAGGAGCTGCAGAAGGAGAACGGCGCCCAGGATGAGGCCAAACCCTGAGGGGAGCCCCGAGCCCCCCAAAAAAACAACAGAAAAAAGGCGGAAAAGGTCAAAAAAACAACAAAAAACCCAAACCAAACCGAACCCACGCGGAAAAGCAGCAAAAAGCAGGCGGGGGAGGGGCCCTGCCCCACCCCCACCCCCGCAGCCCCTCCCCACTCCCCTCCCCCACCACCCCCACACCCCCCCCCCCCCCAGCGCTTTTCACGCCGTGTAGAGACTTTTTGGGGAAGGATTTTGGGAATTTTGGGCCCCTCCCGGGTGGGTTTGGAGGGAGGGGGAGGGGTCGGAGCCGCGGTGCCGGAGCAGAGAATAAAAGAGATTGGAGAGGCTGAACGTGGAGTGGGGGTCTGGGGGCGTTTTGGGGGGTCTGGGGGCGTTTTGGGGCATTTTGGGGGGTTTGGGGGCGTTTTGGGGCATTTTGGGGGGTCTGGGGGCGTTTTGGGGCATTTTGGGGGGTTTGGGGGCGTTTTGGGGGGCTCCTCTGGGGGGATTGGCACCCCCAGGTTGGGTCCCAGTCCAGCTGTGCCCGTGGGTTTAAATCCAGCTGTGCCCCGTTCAAATCCGCCTGTGCCTGGGTTTAAATCCAGCTGTGCCCCTGTTGAAATCCAGCTGTGCCCCTGTTCAAATCCAGCTGTGCCCCTGTTCAAATCCAGCTGTGCCCGTGGGTTTAAATCCAGCTGTGCCCCTGTTCAAATCCGGCTGTGCCCGGGTTTAAATCCAGCTGTGCCCCTGTTCAAATCCAGCTGTGCCCCTGTTCAAATCCGGCTGTGCCCGGGTTTAAATCCAGCTGTGCCCGGGTTTAAATCCAGCTGTGCCCCTGTTCAAATCCAGCTGTGCCCCTGTTTAAATCCAGCTGTGCCCGGGTTTAAATCCAGCTGTGCCCGGGTTTAAATCCAGCTGTGCCCCGTTCAAATCCAGCTGTGCCCGGGTTCAAATCCAGCTGTGCCCGGGTTTAAATCCAGCTGTGCCCCTGTTCAAATCCAGCTGTGCCCCTGTTCAAATCCAGCTGTGCCCCTGTTCAAATCCAGCTGTGCCCGGGTTTAAATCCAGCTGTGCCCCTGTTCAAATCCAGCTGTGCCCCTGTTTAAATCCAGCTGTGCCCGGGTTTAAATCCAGCTGTGCCCGTGGGTTTAAATCCAGCTGTGCCCCTGTTCAAATCCAGCTGTGCCCTGTTCAAATCCAGCTGTGCCCGTGGGTTTAAATCCAGCTGTGCCCCCCCAAATTCTGTTTCCAGCTGTTCCTCAGGCCACGCCCACTTTGCTGTCAATCATGAGGCTCCGCCCACTCACTACCCACATAATCCCGCCCCCTCCCGCCCATCAGCCAATCAGATCATTTCTGCCGAAGCGTGGGCGTGGCCTAGCGCCGGCCAATGGCAGCGCGCGTCTCTCCGGGCCAATGGGAAGCGGCGGCTCTGCGGGGCGGAGGGAGCCGGAGCGGCGGCCGGGCCGGGCCGGTACCAATGCGGGGGGACCGGGAGGGGGGGAGCCGGTACCGACCCACGGACCGGCGGCTACCGCGGGGATAACGGGGGGTTGGTACCAACCGGGAGGGGGGAGAGGCTCGGTTCCTACCGGGAGGGGCGGTGCCAACCGGGGGTGGGCCCGGAACCGAGGCTGTGAATGGCCGGGGGTCGGTACCAAGCGGGGCGGGCGGGGGGAGAGGGGGGCAAGGGACGGTACCAACCGAGGCTGGAGGGGGGGAGTCTCCTGTGAGGGACTGAAATGGGTCAAAATCCACCCGAAAATGGGTCAAAATCCACCCGAAAGTGGGTCAAAAATTCACCCTGAAAGGGGGCAAAAATTCATCCGAAAATGGGTCAAAAATTCATCCAAAAATGGGTCAAAATCCACCCTGAAACTGGTAAAAAAAGCGCCAAATTTTCTTGGGATAAACTGGTAAAAAGCAACCGATTTTTAAATTTTCTTGGGATAAACTGGTAAAAAAGCCAAATTTTCTTGGGAAAAACTGATTAAAAAGCCAAATTTTCATGTAATAAATTGATAAATAAGCCAAATTTTCCCAGGATAAACTGGTGACAAAGGCACCAGATTTTAAATTTTCCTGGGATAGACTGAGGAAAATGGCGCCAAATTTTCCTGGGATGAAGTGGTAAAAACCCCAAATTTTCCCGGGATAAACTGGTGAAAAAGCCAAATTTTCCTGGGATAAAGTAAAAAAACAACCAAATTTTCCTGGGATAAACTGGTAAAAAAACAACCAAATTTTCCTGGGAAAAACTGATAAAAACCCCAAATTTTCCGGGGAAAAAGTGATAAAAAACCCAATTTTTTTGCTGTTTTTTGCCCCAAATCCCTTTTTTTTGCCCCAATTCCCTTTTTTATTTGCCCCAAATCCTGTTTTTTTGCCCCAAATCCCGTTTTTTCGCCCCAAATCCCATTTTTCACCCTGGCAGGTGCCGCGATGCCACTGTGCCGGCGCGGCAGCCGAGGCCGAAGGCTGCGCGTTCCATAAATTGGTAAAAAAGCCAAATTTTCCTGGGTTAAACTGGTAAAAACCCCAAATTTTCCTGGAATAAATTGATAAAAAAGCCAGATTTTCCTGGGATAAACTGGCAAAAAAGGAACCAAATTTTCCTCGGAAAAACTGAAAAAATCCCCAAATTTTTTGCCGTTTTTGGGCCCAAATCCCGTTTTTTCGCCCCAAATCCCATTTTTTTCGCCCCAAATCCCATTTTTTTCGCCCCAAATCCCATTTTTTTTGCTCCAAATCCCATTTTTTTTTCCCCAAATCCCGTTTTTTCGCTCCAAATCCCTTTTTTTTTGCCCCAAATCCCATTTTTTTCACCCCAAATCCCATTTTTTTGCCCCAAATCCCATTTTTTTTGCCCCAAATCCCATTTTTTTGCCCCAAATTCCTTTTTTCTCGCTCCAAATCCCATTTTTTTTGCCCCAAATCCCATTTTTTTGCCCCAAATTCCGTTTTTCTCGCTCCAAATCCCATTTTTTTCACCTGAAATCCCAATTTCTCGCCCGGCAGGTGCTGCGATGCCGCTGTGCCGGCGCGGCGCGGCGGCCGAGGCCGAAGGCTGCGCGTTCCCGGCCGGCTCGGGGCTGAAGGTGCTGCTGCACTGGAGCGGCGACGAGGAACGGCAGCGGTGCCGCGTCTACGGCGGCGGCAGCCGCAGCGCCGAGGAGATCTGCATCGAGCTGGCCCGCGGCATCGGTGAGCGCCGCGCTGCCGGGAGAGGAACACCGGGAATTCACGGGGAAAACACCGGGAATTCACGGGGAAAACACCGGGGAAAACACTGGGAATTCACGGGGAAAACACCGGGAATTCACGGGGAAAACACCGGGGATTCACGGGGAAAACACCGGGGAAAACACCAGGAATTCACGGGGAAAACACCGGGAATTCACGGGGGAAACACCGGGAATTCACGGGGAAAACACCGGGAATCCACGGGGAAAACACCGGGGAAAACACCGGGAATTCACGGGGAAAACACCAGGGAAAACACCGGGAATTCACGGGGAAAACACCGGGAATTCACGGGGAAAACACCGGGGAAAACACCGGGAATTCACAGGGAAAACACCGGCAATTCACGGGGGAAAACACCGGGGAAAACACCGGGAATTGCCAGGGAAAAGAAACACCGGGAATTGCCAGGGAAAACACCAGGAATTCCCAAAGAAAACACCTGGGGATTCCTGGGGAAAGAAACACCGGGAATTGCCAGGGAACACCAGGAATTCCCAAAGAATTCCCTGGGAATGCCAAGGAAAACATCAGAAATTGCCAGGGAAAAGAAACACCGGGAATTGCCAGGGAACACCAGGAATTCCCGAGGAAAACACCCGGGAAAACACCAGGAATTCCTGAGGAAAACACCCAGGAACACACCAGGAATTCCCAGGGAGCACACCAGGAATTCCCAGGGAAAACACCAGGAATTCCCAGGGAAAACACCAGGGAACACACCAGGAATTTCCAAAGAAAACACCTGGGGATTCCTGGGGAAAGAAACACCGGGAATTGCCAGGGAAAACACCAGGGAAAACACCAGGAATTCCCAAAGAAAACACCTGGAATTCCCTGGGAACGCCAAGGAAAACGTCAGAAATTGCCAGGGAAAAGAAACACCGGGAATTGCCAGGGAAAACACCAGGAATTCCCGAGGAAAACACCCGGGAAAACGCCAGGAATTGCCAGGGAAAACACCAGGAATTCCCAGGGAAAACACCAGGGAACACACCAGGAATTCCCAGGGAACACACCAGGAATTCCAAGGGAAAACACTAGGGAACACACCAGGAATTTCCAAAGAAAACACCTGGAATTCCCTGGGAACGCCAAGGAAAACATCAGAAATTGCCAGGGAAAAGAAACACCGGGAATTGCCAGGGAACACCAGGAATTGCCAGGGAAAACACCAGGCAAAACACCAGGGAACGCCAGGGATTCCCGGAGAAAACACCAGGAATTCCCAAAGAAAACACGGGGAATTCCCGGGATTCGGGGTGGGGAGGGATTCCCGGGGAAAAGAAACACCGGGAATTGCCAGGGAACACCGAAGAAAACACCAGGAATTCCCAGGGAAAACACCAGGAATTCCCAGGGAAAACACCAGGAATTCCCAGGGAACAAAGCTCCTGTAATTTCAGTTTTTTGGTAACAAAGCCCCCGGAATTTCAGTTTTTTGGTACAAAGCTCCTGTAATTTCAGTTTTTTGGTAACAATCCCCCTGTAATTTCATTTTTTGGGCACAAACCCCTGCTCCCAGCCTTTTTTCCCATTCCTGGCAGGAATTACCCCGCTCTGCTACAGCCTCTTCGCCCTCTACGACCCCCAGAGCCGGCTCTGGCTCCCGCCCAACCACCAGTTCCACATCGGGCAGGACACCAACGTCAACCTGATCTTCAGGATGAGGTGAGCTTCGGGTGAGGTTTTCCAAGGAAATCCCTTGGAAAATAAAGTAAAAAAAACAACCAAATTTTCCCAGGATAAACTGGTAAAAAAACAACCAAATTTTCCTGGGAAAAACTGATAAAAACCCCAAATTTTTTGCCCTTTTTTTGCCCCAAATCCCATTTTTTTGCCCCAATTCCCTTTTTTATTTGCCCCAAATCCTGTTTTTTCGCCCCAAATCCCATTTTTTCCCTTGGAATTTTCCTTGGAAATCCCAGATTTCCTTGGAAAAACCGCTCCCACCCAAAGGAGGGGAACGCTGGGCTTGGCTTCTCCATCAGCATGTAAAAATCCGTTTGTTTATTCCCGATATTCCTCCCCAGCGTCCCTCCCAGAGGTTTTTGGGAGCAGCAGGGAAGCCATGGAAAAACAAAATATAGGAAAATCTTTAAATGATCCCATTCTGGAGGCAGGAAGAGGCTGCTGTCCTTCATTCCCAGCTGGGATTCATTCCCTGTGCTCAAATCCCAATTTTTTTAAAGCACGTGGACGGTTCTCCAACCATTCCAATAAATTTTATTCCTTAAAAAAAAACCCCAAATCCACTGATTTGAGCCCAAAACGTGACTCCCAGCACGAGGCCAACCCCTCTCCTCCTCCTCTCTCCCCGTTCCAGGTTTTATTTCCGGAATTGGCACGGGATGAACGACAAGGAGCCGGCGGTTTTCCGGAACGTTCCGCGGGCGGGGGATTCTCCCGAGGAAAAACCTCCCGGAGGAGCTTTGCTGGACAGATCCTCCTTCGAGTACCTGTTTGAGCAGGTAACGGGGTAGGATCTGGGGGAAAAATTGGATAATTTTCCTCACTTTTCCATCCCCAGGGGTTTCTTTAAGGATAAACCCCCCCCCTGAGTTTTCCCTTTGGAAAGGTTTTTATCCTGCTGGGGTTGGAGCTGGGTGGGATTCCGGAATTCCACGGGATAATTTTCCCTTTTTAAGGGATTTTTATTCATGGTTCCACCTTTTAAATGAAAAAAAAAAAAAAAAAAAGGGAAAATCCTTGTGGAAATCGCCTCAGGGCTGAGTTTTAGCTGCGGTTATTTCACATTTAACAGGGAAAATTCGAATTCATCAACGACGTCGCCTCCCTGAAGGATTTCCAGAGCGAGACGGAAATCCAGAAATTCAAGAACGAGAGCTTGGGGATGGCTGTGCTCCACCTCTCCCACATTGCCCTAAAAAAGGGCATTTCCCTGGAGGAAGTGGCCAGGAAATACAGGTAAAATTCCTGCTTTTCCAAAGGGCTTTTTCCTCATTTTCCGCCGTTTTTTTTAGACTCATTTTATTGCAATTTTTCCGTTGCATCCCAAGCTCTTCCTGCACCTCTTCCCGACAATTCCCCCCACACACCCTTTTTTTTTTGGCAGCTTCAAGGACTGCATCCCGCGCTCCTTCCGCCGCCAGATCCAGCAGAACAATTTCCTGACCCGGTTCCGGATGAAGAACGTCTTCCGCCGCTTCCTGCGGCGTTTCCAGCGGCACACGGTGGCCGCCGGCGGCCTGACGGAGCGGGACGTGATGTACAAGTACCTGGCCACGCTGGAGCAGCTGGCTCCCCGCTTCGGCAGCGAGGTTTTCCCGGTGATTTCCCTGGAAACGGCGGCCGAGGGCGAGACGGGGCCGCCCGGAGCCGCCGGGAGCTGCGCGGAGCCGGAGCCGCCGAGGGATCGGCCGGTCACTCACCACGTCCTGGTCACCGGCACCGGCGGCATCCAGTGGAGGCCGGTGGCCGGAGAGGTGGGTTGGGATGGGGTGGGTTGGGATGAGATGTTCCTGCCCCAAATCCTGTTTTTTGTCTTGGTTTGGGATGAGCCATTCCTGCCCCAAATCCTGTTTTTTTCCTTGGTTTGGGATGAGCCGTTCCTGCCCCAAATCCTGTTTTTTCCCTTGGTTAGGGATGAGCTGTTCCTGCCCCAAATCCTGTTTTTTCCCTTGGTTTGGGATGAGCCGTTCCTGCCCCAAATCCTGATTTTTTCCTTGGATTGGGATGAGCTGTTCCTGCCCCAAATCCTGTTTTTTCCTTGGTTTGGGATGAGCCGTTCCTGCCCCAAATCCTGTTTTTTCCCTTGGTTTGGGATGAGCCGTTCCTGCCCCAAATCCTGTTTTTTTCCTTGGTTTGGGATGAGCCGTTCCTGCCCCAAATCCTGTTTTTTCCTTGGTTTGGGATGAGCCGTTCCTGCCCCAAATCCTGTTTTTTTCCTTGGTTTGGGATGAGCCGTTCCTGCCCCAAATCCCGTCTTTTTACTTGGTTTTGGGTGGATTTGGGATGAGAGGTTCCTGCCCCAAATCCCGGCTTTTTTCCTTGGATTGGGATGAGCCATTCCCATCCCAAATCCCATCTTTGTCCTTGGTTTGGGATGAGATATTTCTGCCCCAAATCCCTGGTTTTTCCCATCCTAAATCCCTTATTTTTCTTTGGTTTGGGGTGGATTTGGGATGAGCCATTCCCATCCCAAATCCCATCTTTTTCCCATCTCAAATCCCGTGTTTTTCTTTGTTTTGTGCTCCTTGCTTTTGCCCGCCTTCTTTTCCCATTTTTCCCACTTTCCCACCCAAACCCACCCCACTCCATCCCCTTCTCTCCCCTTGTGCCTTTTCCCCGTGCTCCATCTTGCCCCGGCACTCCCCCAACCCTTCCCAGCGGCCGGAAAATTCTGGAATTCTCCCCTTTGCTCCCCTCAGAGCACGGAAAGCTTCTCCCAGCGCGGATATTTTGGGAGAAAAAGCCGGAAAAAGGAGCCGGAGGCGGCTCCGGAGCGGAGCGAACCCCCCTGGCGCCGTTTCTGCGATTTTCGGGAAATCACCCACGTGGTGGTCAAGGATGCCAGGATCAGCATCCACCGGCAGGACAACGAGTGCCTGGTGCGTGGCCACGGATCCCTCCTGGTTTTTAGGCTTTTCTGGGTTTTTTAGGGTTTTCCGGGGGTTTTTTTAGGGTTTCCCATGGGTTTCCTGCGGGATTTTTAGGGTTTCCCATGGGTTTTTTTAGAGCTTCCCATGGGTTTCCCATCGGTTTTTTAGTGTTTCCTGCAAGTTTCCCAAGGGTTTTTTAGGGTTTCCTGTGGGATTTTTAGAGTTTCCTGCAGGATTTTTAGGGTTTCCCGTGGGTTTCCTGCGGGTTTTTTAGGGTTTCCTGTGGGATTTTTCAAGTTTCCCGTGGGTTTCCCATGGATTTCCCACAGGATTTTTCAGGTTCCCCGTGCATTTCCTGTGGGTTTCCTGCAGGATTTTTTGGGTTCCCCATGTGTTTCCCATGGATTTCCTGCAGGATTTTCCGGGTTCCCCGTGCGTTTCCTGTGGATTTCCCGTGCGTTTCCTGTGGGATTTTAGGGTTTCCCGTGGGTTTCCCATGGGTTTTTCCAGGTTCCCCATGCGTTTCCCATGGATTTCCCATGGGTTTCCTGTGGGGTTTTAGGGTTTCCCGTGGATTTCCCGTGGGTTTTTCCGGGTTCCCTGTACGTTTCTCATGGATTTCCCATGGGTTTCCTGTGGGGTTTTAGGGTTTCCCATGGATTTCCCGTGGGTTTTTCTGGGTTCCCCGTGCGTTTCCCGTGGGATTTTAGGGTTTCCCATGGGTTTCCCATGGGTTTTTCCGGGTTCCCCATGCGTTTCCCATGGATTTCCCATGGGTTTCCTGTGGGGTTTTAGGGTTTCCCATGGGTTTTTCCGGGTTCCCCGTGCATTTCCCGTGGATTTCCCGTGCGTTTCCCGTGGGTTTTTCTGGGTTCCCCGTGCGTTTCCCGTGGATTTCCCATGGATTTCCCGTGGGATTTTCCGGGTTCCCCGTGCGTTTCCCATGGATTTCCCGTGGATTTCCCGTGGGATTTTCCGGGTCCCCGTGCTCACCCCGTGCTCTGTCCCTCCCAGGAGGTGCTGCTGCCCAGCCCCGGCAGCGCCCTGGCCCTGGTGTCGCTGGTGGACGGATATTTCCGGCTGACGGCCGACTCCAGCCATTACCTGTGCCACGACGTGGCCCCGCCGCGGCTGCTGCTGAGCATCCACAACGGCATCCACGGGCCCATGCAGTGAGTGCGGCTTCCCTGCGGATCCCCCGGATCCAGGGAGTCATCCCGGAGCTGCTCCGTGTCCTCGGGGTGCTCCCGTGGTGTTCTGTCTGCTTTGGGCTGATCCCGATCCATTCCATCTGCTTTGGGCTGATCCCGATCCATTCCCTTTGCTCCATCCCAATCCATTCCCTTTGCCCCATTCCCTTTGCTCCATCCCAATCCATTCCCTTTGCCCCATCCCAATCCATTCCCTTTGCTCAGGGCTCATCCCAATCCATTCCCTTTGCTCAGGGCTCATCCCAATCCATCCCCTTTGCCCCATCCCAATCCATTCCCTTTGCTCCATCCCAATCCATTCCCTTTGCCCCATCCCAATCCATTCCCTTTGCTCCATCCCAATCCATTCCCTTTGCCCCATCCCAATCCATTCCCTTTGCCCCATCCCAATCCATTCCCTTTGCTCCATCCCAATCCATTCCCTTTGCTCCATCCCAATCCATTCCCTTTGCTCAGGGCTCATCCCAATCCATTGCCTTTGCCCCATCCCAATCCATTCCCTTTGCCCCATCCCAATCCATTCCCTTTGCTCCATCCCAATCCATTCCCTTTGCCCCATCCCAATCCATTCCCTTTGCCCCATCCCAATCCATTCCCTTTGCTCCATCCCAATCCATTCCCTTTGCTCCATCCCAATCCATTCCCTTTGCCCCATCCCAATCCATTCCCTTTGCCCCATCCCAATCCATTCCCTTTGCTCAGGGCTCATCCCAATCCATTCCCTTTGCCCCATCCCAATCCATTCCCTTTGCTCAGGGCTCATCCCAATCCATTCCCTTTGCTCCATCCCAATCCATTCCCTTTGCCCCATCCCAATCCATTCCCTTTGCTCCATCCCAATCCATTCCCTTTGCTCAGGGCTCATCCCAATCCATTCCCTTTGCTCCATCCCAATCCATTCCCTTTGCTTTGGGCTCATCCCAATCCATTCCCTTTGCCCCATCCCAATCCATTCCCTTTGCTCCATCCCAATCCATTCCCTTTGCTCCATCCCAATCCATTCCCTTTGCTCCATCCCAATCCATTCCCTTTGCTCCATCCCAATCCATTCCCTTTGCTCAGGGCTCATCCCAATCCATTCCCTTTGCCCCATCCCAATCCATTCCCTTTGCTCCATCCCAATCCATTCCCTTTGCTCAGGGCTCATCCCAATCCATTCCCTTTGCCCCATCCCAATCCATTCCCTTTGCTCAGGGCTCATCCCAATCCATTCCCTTTGCTCCATCCCAATCCATTCCCTTTGCCCCATCCCAATCCATTCCCTTTGCTCCATCCCAGTCCATTCCCTTTGCCCCATCCCAATTCATTCCCTTTGCCCCATCCCAATCCATTCCCTTTGCCCCATCCCAATCCATTCCCTTTGCTCAGGGCTCATCCCAATCCATTCCCTTTGCCCCATCCCAATTCATTCCCTTTGCTCCATCCCAATCCATTCCCTTTGCCCCATCCCAATCCATTCCCTTTGCTCCATCCCAATCCATTCCCTTTGCTCCATCCCAATCCATTCCCTTTGCCCCATCCCAATCCATTCCCTTTGCCCCATCCCAATCCATTCCCTTTGCTCCATCCCAATCCATTCCCTTTGCCCCATCCCAATCCATTCCCTTTGCCCCATCCCAATTCATTCCCTTTGCCCCATCCCAATCCATTCCCTTTGCTCCATCCCAATCCATTCCCTTTGCCCCATCCCAATCCATTCCCTTTGCTCAGGGCTCATCCCAATCCATTCCCTTTGCCCCATCCCAATCCATTCCCTTTGCCCCATCCCAATCCATTCCCTTTGCCCCATCCCAGTCCATTCCCTTTGCCCCATCCCAATCCATTCCCTTTGCCCCATCCCAATCCATTCCCTTTGCTCCATCCCAATCCATTCCCTTTCCTCACGGCTCATCCCAGTCCATTTCCCTTCCTCACATCCCAATCCCAACCCGCCCCTTCCCTGCCTTTTCCAGGGAGGAGTTTGTTTTTGCCAAGCTCCGCCGGGAAGAGCCGGAGGAAGGGCTCTACATCCTCCGCTGGAGCGTCCTGGATTTCAACCGCATGATCCTCTCCGTGCTCAAGAGGGGCCACCAGCAGGTAGGGAGCGCAGAATTCCCGGGAATTGCCAGCTCTGGAATGACCCGGGAGCCCCGTGGCTTCAACTCCTGGATTTTCCAGGCTCCTGGGACGCCGGGAGCCTTCAAGTTCCGGCAATTCCGCATCCAGAAGAAGGGAGACTCCTTCGTGCTGGAGGGCTGGGATCGGGAATTCCCTTCCCTGCGGGAGCTCCTGGACGTGCTCAAGGGCTGCACCCTCAAATCCGGCGAGGAGAACTTCACGGTGAAGAGGTGCTGCCCGCCCAAGCCCGGAGGTAGGGACGGGGATCGTGCCGGGGATCGGGAACGGGCGGATCCGGGAGCTCACGGGGCCCCTCTTTTCCCAGAGATCTCGGACCTGCTGATCACACGGAAGGAGAAGGATAACGGGAAGCAGATCCTGAACCTCACCCAGCTCAGCTTCCACCAGATCCGCAAGAACGAGATCACCCAGGTGCCGCTTTCCGGGGGTTTTCCCTGCTCACATTCCTGGGGTTTGCCGGGGGGAGTGGAGGAACCTGCTCTGGCTTCTCGGGTTCCTGGAATGGTGGATGAAGCCTCTCGGAGTTTTTGGGATTCTCAGCCTCCCAGGGATTCCCTCCAGATCCCAGGATCCCAAAGCCAGCCAGCAGGATGGATTTGCTGTTTCATCCCTTCCCTTTCCAAGGAAAAGAGATGGAAAATTCCCCTTGGAAGCGTCCTTCTCCCACATTAGGAGGCGGAGGGAATCCGGGGAGGGATCCAGGTGAGGATTCCCAAATTCCCAGCGTCCGAAGCTCCCGCTTTTCCCCGTTTTCCCAGCGAGCCCACCTGGGCCAGGGCACCCGGACCAACATCTACGATGGGGTCCTGAGCGTCTGCGGGAATTCCGGGAACAACAACGACGACGAGGCCGAGTATTTTTCCACGGAGCAGAACAACAACGGGAGGGAGATGCACGTGGTGCTCAAAGTCCTGGACCCCAGCCACAGGGACATCGCCCTGGTGAGCCCTTCCCGGGCCGGGAGAGCCGGGATCGGGGCGGGAAACACGGATCCGGGGGGTGGGAGAGGGATCCAGGGGGTGGGAGAGAGATCCAGGGGGTGGGAGAGGGATCCAGGGGGTGGGAGAGGGATCCAGGGGGTGGGAGAGGGATCCCAGGGGGTGGGAGAGGGATCCAGGGGGTGGGAGAGGGATCCAGGGGGTGGGAGAGGGATCCAGGAGGTGGGAGAGGGATCCAGGGGGTGGGAGAGGGATCCCAGGGGGTGGGAAAGGGATCCAGGGGGTGGGAGAGGGATCCAGGGGGTGGGAGAGGGATCCAGGGGGTGGGAGAGGGATCCCATGGGGTGGGAGAGGGATCCAGGGGGTGGGAGAGGGATCCAGGGAGTGGGAGAGGGATCCAGGGGGTGGGAGAGGGATCCCAGGGGGTGGGAGAGGGATCCGGGGGGTGGGAGAGGGATCCAGGGGGTGGGAGAGGGATCCAGGGGGTGGGAGAGGGATCCAGGGGGTGGGAGAGGGATCCAGGGAGTGGGAGAGGGATCCAGGGGGTGGGAGAGGGATCCAGGGCTGGGATGTGACCCCAAAAGGGCTGGAACACGGCCCAGAGGGTTGGAATGTGGATTTGAGGGCTGGAATTCAGCGCCAGGGGCTGGAATTCAGTTCCAGGGGCTGGAATATGGATCCAAGGGCTGGAATATGGATCCGAGAGCTGGAATAAGGATCCGGGGTTGGAATTTGGCTCCCAAAGGGCTGGAATGTGGATCCATGAGGGCTGGAATTTGTCCTGGCTTTTGATCCTGGAATTTGGCTCCCCAAGGGCTGGAATTTGGCTCCTCAAGGGCTGGGATTTGGCTCCCCAAGGGCTGGGATTTGGCTCCTCAAGGGCTGGGATTTGGCTGGAATTTGGCTCCCTGGATCCCCCTGCCACCCCTCTGTCCCCACAGGCGTTCTTCGAGAGCGCCAGCCTGATGTCCCAGGTGTCCCACGTCCACCTGGCCTTCGTGCACGGCGTCTGCGTGCGCGGCTCCGAGAGTGAGTCCGGCTGTGCCCCAAATCCTGCTCCTGTGGGATCCCCGAGCTCGTGGGATCATCCCGTGGGATCATCCTGTGGGATCCTCGCTCCCGTGGGATCATCCTGTGGGACCCCAAATCCCGTGGGATCACCCTGTGGGATCCCCAATCCTGTGGGATCATCCCGTGGGCTCCCCGCTCCTGTGGGATCATCCTGTGGGATCATCCCATGGGATCCCCGCTCCCGTGGGATCATCCTGTGGGATCATCCTGTGGGATCCCAAATCCCGTGGGATCACCCCGTGGGCTCCCCGCTCCCGTGGGATCATCCGGTGGGATCACCCTGTGGGATCCCCAGTCCTGTGGGATCCTCACTCCTGTGGGATCATCCCATGGGATCATCCTGTGGGATCCCAAATCCCGTGGGATCATCCTGTGGGATCCCCGCTCCCGTGGGATCATCCTGTGGGATCCCCAATCCTGTGGGATCCCCAATCCCGTGGGATCATCCTGTGGGATCCCCAATCCTGTGGGATCCCCAATCCTGTGGGATCCCCAATCCCGTGGGATCATCCCGTGGGATCATCCTGTGGGACCCCAAATCCTGTGGGATCCTCGCTCCCGTGGGATCACCCCATGGGCTCCCTGCTCCCGTGGGATCAATCCCCAATCCTGTGGGATCCCAAATCCTGTGGGATCATCCCGTGGGATCCCCAATCCTGTGGGATCCTCGCTCCCGTGGGATCATCCTGTGGGATCCCCAATCCTGTGGGACCCCAAATCCTGTGGGATCATCCCATGGGATCCCCAATCCTGTGGGATCCCCAATCCTGTGGGCTCCCTGCTCCCGTGGGATCATCCCGTGGGATCATCCTGTGGGATTCCAAATCCCGTGGGATCATCCTGTGGGATCCTCGCTCCCGTGGGATCACCCCGTGGGCTCCCCGATCCCGTGGGCTCCCCGATCCCGTGGGATCACCCCGCTTTTCCCGCAGACATCCTGGTGGAGGAGTTTGTGGAGCACGGGCCCCTGGACGTGCTGCTCCGCAGGGAGAAGGGCCGGGTCTCCGTGGGCTGGAAAATCACCGTGGCCAAGCAGCTGGCCAGTGCCTTGAGCTACCTGGTAATGGAATTCAGTTTAAAACCCTTTATTATCAGGAATTCCAGCTGGGAATTCCCATGGATATCCCGCACTGCCTTCCCTCCCTTTTTTCCTTCATGTACCCAGGGTATTTATTTTTTTTTTTTTTCAGGGCCTAATCAGCTTTATTTTCCTTTTAACCCTAAATCCCCATGATTTTAAAACCTTTTTACTATCGGGAATTCCCATGGATATCCCACAGTTCCTTCCCTCCCTTTTTTCCTAGGGGATAATCCCATTTTTAGGGTCATTCTGCCCTTCCTGCAGCCCATTTTTGCTCCCTCTCTGCTTTTCCAGGAATTCCAATCCTCCATGCATTCATTTTGGAGCTGGGAAAAGCCAGGGATGAGGATGGGATTCTGAGCAGGGCTTTGGGAACAGGGCTGGAAAATCCCTTTTATCCTTTTTATTCCCTGTTTTGGGTTGATCTCGGAGCAAAAGCCTAAGAAAATTCCAGCCAGGAATTCCAGATTTTTGTTTTATTATCCAGAGGCTTCACCTTGCCCTGTGGCGTTGCTGGGATTTTTCCCAATGTTTTATATTTTTCTGGGATTGTTTTCCAGTATTCACTTATTATTTGGGATCTGTTGGGATATTTGCTGTTGGGAAAATGAATACGGGAACTTTATTATGGGGAAAATTATTATGGGAATTTTTATGTTGTTATTATTATTATTATTATTATTATTATTATTATTATTATTATTTCCCATATAATTATTATGGGTAAATTCATTACTGGGAAGTAATTTATTATAAGAAAACAGTAAAGTATTGACAATAAATAAAAAATAATTGATTTTTAAACTTTTTTTTTTTAAATTTCCCAATAATTTTTTTCATTTTCCCAGGAGGACAAGAACCTGGTGCACGGGAATGTGTGTGCCAAGAACATCCTGCTGGCCAGGAAGGGGCTGGAGGAGGGATCCCTGCCCTTCGTGAAGCTCAGCGACCCCGGGCTCAGCTTCGCCGTGCTCTCCCGGGAAGGTACCGGATTCCCAGGGGAAAAATCTGGGGGGAAAAATCCCAGGGGGAACGGGGAAAAATCCTGGGGGGAACAGGGAAAAATCCCTGGAGGGAATGAGGAAAAATCCCGGGGGGAATGGGGAAAAATCCTGGAGGGAATGGGGAAAAATCCCGGGGGGAATGGGGAAAAATCCTGGGGGGAACGGGGAAAAATCCCTGGGGGGAATGGGGAAAAATCCTGGGGGGAACGGGGAAAAATCCTGGGGGGAACGGGGAAAAATCCTGGGGGGAAATGGGGAAAAATCCCTGGAGGGAATGAGGAAAAATCCCTGGGGGGAACGGGAAAAAATCCTGGGGGGAACGGGGAAAAATCCTGGGGGGAACGGGGAAAAATCCTGGGGGGAACGGGGAAAAATCCCTGGAGGGAATGGGGAAAAATCCCGGGGGGAACGGGGAAAAATCCCTGGGGGAATTGGGGAAAAATCCTGGGGGAAACGGGGAAAAATCCCGGGGGGAACGGGGAAAAATCCTGGGGGGAATGGGGAAAAATCCCGGGGGGAATGGGGAAAAATCCCGGGGGGAACGGGGAAAAATCCCTGGGGGGAACGGGGAAAAATCCCTGGAGGGAACGGGGAAAAATCCTGGAGGGAATGGGGAAAAATCCCAGGGGAAATGGGGAAAAATCCTGGAGGGAATGGGGAAAAATCCCTGGAGGGAACGGGGAAAAATCCCTGGGGGAAATGGGGAAAAATCCTGGAGGGAATGGGGAAAAATCCCAGGGGAAATGGGGAAAAATCCTGGGGGGAACGAGGAAAAATCCCTGGAGGGAATGGGGAAAAATCCCTGGAGGGAATGGGGAAAAATCCCTGGAGGGAATGGGGAAAAATCCTGGGGGGAACGGGGAAAAATCCCTGGAGGGAACGGGGAAAAATCCTGGGGGGAACGGGGAAAAATCCCGGGGGGAATGGGGAAAAATCCCGGGGGGAATGGGGAAAAATCCCTGGAGGGAACGGGGAAAAATCCCTGGAGGGAATGGGGAAAAATCCTGGGGGGAATGAGGAAAAATCCCTGGGGGGAATGGGGAAAAATCCCTGGGGGGAACGGAGAAAAATCCCTGGGGGGAATGGGGAAAAATCACGGGGGAAATGGGGAAAAATCCCTGGGGGGAACGGGGAAAAATCCCTGGAGGGAATGGGGAAAAATCCCGGGGGGAATGGGGAAAAATCCTGGGGGGAACGGGGAAAAATCCTGGGGGGAATGGGGAAAAATCCTGGGGAAGATGGGGAAAAATCCTGGGGGGAACGGGGAAAAATCCCTGGGGGGAATAAGGAAAAATCCCGGGGGAAATGGGGAAAAATCCTGGGGGGAACGGGGAAAAATCCTGGGGGAAATGGGGAAAAATCCTGGGGGAAATGGGGAAAAATCCTGGGGGGAACGGGGAAAAATCCGTGGAGGGAATGGGGAAAAATCCCTGGAGGGAATGGGGAAAAATCCCTGGAGGGAATGGGGAAAAATCCCGAGGGGAACAGGGAAAAAATCCAGATTATTTTTCCACCTTTTCCCCAAAGATTCCCACAGCTTGTGGCCAGAGCTCTTTTCATAGGGTGCTCACAATTTTCCAACAGGAATTTTCCCAATATTTGGGGTTTTAATACGGGAATTCCATCTGGTTTGGTGCCCAAGCTGCTGTCAGGGGGGATGGGATGCCTGGGGTGCTTTTACCATGAGCTGTCCCCCTTGTAAATCCCGGTTTTTGTCCCTTTAAAATGCAGAATTTTCTATCTTTAACATCCTGTATTTTATGCCTTTCATATCCCTTATTTTTCTAATTGATATTCTGTATTTTACACAGTATTTAATATTCTAAATTAGTTTAAATTAATATATACATTATATATTATGTATTTGTTTATTATATTGTTATATTTAATATATAACATTATAATAATATAATATAATAATATGTAAGATTGCACTATATATAAATATATATTACATTTATGTATAAATATATATGTTGTATATAAAATATAACAATTATATATAAATATACAATTTATATATAAATATATGTTATATATAAAAATATATTACATTTATATATAAATATATATAATATACATTATATATAATGTATAAATATGTATTGTATTTATATACAAATACATTTATATATAAAATATCTATAAATAAGACTATATTATATATTATAATATACACTTTATATACATTTAATTTATATATAAATTTTTATATATGTATATATATCAAAAATATATATAAATATCAGAAAATCATAATATTATCTATTATATTGTTATATTTGTATATATATTTAATTTATATATAAATTATATAAATTCATATCTAAATTAAAGGTGCCCTTCATCTTTAACGTTTTACATGTAACAACACCCCGAACACACTTCTTTTCATTATTTATTAATTCATAATAAATTAATTAATTTTCCTTTTAACCCTTTAAAACCCTTTTACTCTCAGTAATTCCATCTGGGAATTCCCGTGGATATCCCGCAGTGCCTTCCCTCCCTTTTTTTCCTTCATGTATTTCTTCCTTCAGTAATGAATTTATTATTAATTAATAAATAAATGAAAGAAATAATTACAATACTTTGGGGGCGGGATGTGCCCCTCAGAGCGTGTGGACAGGATTCCCTGGATCGCCCCGGAATGTGTGCGGGACGTGGGGAACCTCAGCCCGGCCTCGGACAAGTGGAGCTTTGGGACGACGCTGCTGGAAATCTGCTTCGACGCCGAGGTGCCGCTGAGGGAGAGAACCCCCTCCGAGGTGATTCCTGCTGGTTTCGGGGTGTTGGGATGGGTTTTGGGGTGGGGTTTGGGGTTTGGGGGTGAGATTTGGAGTTTGGGCTGGATTTGGGGGGTGGGATTTGGAGTTTGGGCTGGATTTGGGGGACAGGTTTGGAGTTTGGGCTGGATTTGGGGGTGGGATTTGGAGTTTGGGCTGGATTTGGGGTTGGATTTTGAATTGTGTCTGGATTTGGGGGTGGGATTTTGAATTTGGGCTGGATTTAGGGGGCAGATTTGGAGTTTGGGCTGGATTTGGGGGCAGATTTGGAGTTTGGGGGTGTGATTTGGAGTTTGGGGCTTGGATTTGGAGTTTGGGCTGGATTTGGGGGTTGGATTTTGAATTTGGTCTGGATTTGGGGTTGGATTTTGAATTTGGGCTGGATTTAGGGGGCAGATTTGGAGTTTGGGCTGGAGTTTGGGGGTGGGATTTGGAGTTTGGGGCTTGGATTTGGAGTTTGGGCTGGATTTGGGGGTTGGATTTTGAATTGTGTCTGGATTTGGGGTTGGATTTTGAATTTGGTCTGGATTTGGGGGTGGGATTTTGAATTTGGGCTGGATTTAGGGGGCAGATTTGGAGTTTGGGCTGGATTTGGGGGCAGATTTGGAGTTTGGGGGTGTGATTTGGAGTTTGGGGCTTGGATTTGGAGTTTGGGCTGGATTTGGGGGTTGGATTTTGAATTTGGTCTGGATTTGGGGTTGGATTTTGAATTTGGGCTGGATTTAGGGGGCAGATTTGGAGTTTGGGCTGGAGTTTGGGGGTGGGATTTGGAGTTTGGGGCTTGGATTTGGAGTTTGGGCTGGATTTGGGGGTTGGATTTTGAATTCGGTCTGGATTTAGGGTTGGATTTTGAATTTGGGCTGGATTTGGGGCTGGATTTTGAATTTGGGCTGGATTTAGGGGGCAGATTTGGAGTTTGGGCTGGAGTTTGGGGGTGGGATTTGGAGTTTGGGGCTTGGATTTGGAGTTTGGGCTGGGTTTGGGGGTGGTATTTTAAATTTGGGCTGGATTTGGGGGGCAGATTTGGAGTTTGGGGGTGGGATTTGGAGTTTGGGCTGGATTTGGGGGCAGATTTGGAGTTTGGGGGTGTGATTTGGAGTTTGGGGCTTGGATTTGGAGTTTGGGCTGGATTTGGGGGTTGGATTTTGAATTTGGTCTGGATTTGGGGTTGGATTTTGAATTTGGTCTGGCTTTGGGGGTTGGATTTTAAATTTGGGCTGGATTTGGGGTTGGATTTTGAATTTGGGCTGGATTTGGGGGCAGATTTGGAGTTTGGGCTGGAGTTTGGAGTTTGGGCTGGGTTTGGGGGTGGTATTTTAAATTTGGGCTGGATTTGGGGGGCAGATTTGGAGTTTGGGGGTGGGATTTGGAGTTTGGGGCTTGGATTTGGAGTTTGGGCTGGGTTTGGGGGTGGTATTTTAAATTTGGGCTGGATTTGGGGGGCAGATTTGGAGTTTGGGGGTGGGATTTGGAGTTTGGGCTGGATTTGGGCGTTGGATTTGGAGTTTGGGGGTGGGATTTGGAGTTTGGGCTGGATTTGGGGGCTGGATTTGGAATCTTTTGGGATTTTCTGCAGAAGGAGCGATTCTACGAGAAGAGGCACCGGCTGCCGGAGCCGTCCTGCCGCGAATTGGCCTCGCTGATCTCCCGGTGCCTCAACTACACCGCGGTGGAGCGGCCGTCGTTCCGCACCGTGCTCAGGGAGCTGACCCGGCTGCAGCCGCACCGTGAGGGAACGGGGAAAAATCCTGTGGGGATGGGGAAAAAAATCCTGAGGGGAACGGAGAAAAAATCCTTGGGGGAAAGGGGAACAAATCCCGAGGGAGAAAGGGGAAAAATCCTGAGGGAGAACGGGGAAAAATCCTGAGGGGAAAGGGGAAAAATCCTGAGGGAGAACGGGGAAAAATCCTGGGGGTACGGGGAAAAATCCTGAGGAGAAAGGGGAAAAAATCCTGAGGGGAAAGGGGAAGAATCCCACAGGGAAAGGGGAAAAAATCCTGAGGGGAAAGGGGAAAAATCCCAAGGGGAAAAAATCCTGGGGGTACAGGGAAAAAGTCCTGAGGGGAAAGGGGAAAAATCCCGGGGGGAACAAGGAAAAAATCCTGAGGGGAAAGGGGAAAAATCCCGGGGGGAACAAGGAAAAAATCCTGAGGGGAAAGGGGAACAAATCCTGAGGGAAAAAATCCTGGGGGGAAAGGGGAAAAATCCTGAGGGGGAAGGGGAAAAATCCTGGGAGTATGGGGAAAAAATCCTGAGGGGAAAGGGGAAAAATCCTGGGGGTATGGGGAAAAAATCCTGAGGGGAAAGGGGAAAAATCCCAAGGGGAAAGGGAAAAAAATCCTGAGGGGAAAGGGGAAAAAGTCCTGAGGGGAAAGGGGAAAAAATCCTGAGGGGAAATGGGAAGAATCCCAAGGGGAAAGGGGAAAAATCCCGAGGGGAAAGGGGAAAAATCCCGAGGGGAAAAAATCCTGGGGGGAAAGGGGAAAAAGTCCTGAGGGGAAAGGGGAAAAAATCCTGAGGGGAAAGGGGAAAAATCCCAAGGGGAAAGGGGAAAAATCCCGAGGGGAAAGGGGAAAAATCCTGAGGGGGAACGGGAAAAAATCCTGGGGGGAACAGGGAAAAAATCCTGAGGGGAAAGGGGAAAAAGTCCTGAGGGGGAAGGAGAAAAAATCATGAGGGGAAAGGGAAAGAATCCCACAGGGAAAGGGGAAAAAATCCTGAGGGGAAAGGGAAAAAATCCCGAGGGGAAAAAATCCTGGGGGGAAAGGGGAAAAAGTCCTGAGGGAGAACGGGGAAAAATCCTGGGGGTACGGGGAAAAAATCCTGAGGGGAAAGGGGAAAAATCCCAAGGGGAAAGAGGAAAAAATCCCAAGGGGAAAGGGAAATAATCCTGAGGGGAAAGGGGAAAAATCCTGAGGGGAAAGGGGAAAAAGTCCTGAGGGGAAAGGAGAAAAAATCATGAGGGGAAAGGGGAAGAATCCCACGGGGAAAGGGGAAAAATCCTGAGGGGAAAAATCCTGGGGCGTACGGGGAAGAAGTCCTGAGGGGAAAGGGGAAAAAATCCTGAGGGGAAAGGGGAAAAATCTCAGGGGGAAAGGGAAAAAATCCTGAGGGGAAAGGGGAAAAATCCTGGGGGGAACGGGGGTGAGGGTCCTGGATTGGGGAACCGAGAAAAATCCTGGGATTCTGTGGAGGAAAGGGGCATGAGGGAGCTGAGCCGGCTGCAGCCACTCTGTGAGGGGCAGAAAAAAGGGAAAAAATCCTGGGAAAATCCTGGGGGAAAAGGAGGAAAAGGGAAGCCAGGAAAACCCGCGGTCCCTCACAGACCTCGTGGACGTCACGTCGGTGAACCCCGACTGCCCGGTGTCCGATCCCACCGTCTTCCAGAAGCGCTACCTGAAGAAAATCCGGGAGCTGGGGGAGGTCAGTGACTTCTGGGCAAGCTGGGAATGTTCCTTTCCCTCTCTGCATCTGAAATTCCACTCTTCAATCTCCTCTCCTGGCGGATTTCCCTGGCTGGAGCCAAAATTCCACCTTTTAATCCTTATTTTCACATTTTAACCTGTTTCCCCTGCTGATTTTCCCCTCCATTTCTGAACTTTGTTGACCCCTTCTGGATCCTCCCAGCACGGGGAAGCCCCAAAGCCTTTCCCCACCACATCCTGAAAATTTTTCCTTCTCCAGGGCCACTTTGGGAAGGTGAGCCTGTGCTGCTACGACCCCACCAACGATGGCACCGGGGAGATGGTGGCGGTGAAATCCCTAAAATCTGGGAGCAGCCCCCAACTCCTGAGCTCCTGGAAGAGGGAAATCCAAATCCTGAAGACCCTGTACCACGAGAACATCGTCAAGTACAAGGGCTGCTGCAGCGAGCAGGGTGAGGGGAAAACCCCTGGGATTTTCCAGTGGATCAGCCATGGAGAGCTTAAAAAAAAAAAACCAATTCCCACTTTATTTTTTATTTTTTTTGGCCAGGAATCGCTGTCCTGGCAGGAATTTGGGGGTTCTCAGGGGTGGTCCCCACATTCCCACCTGTCTGTTGCAGGGGACAAGGTGGTGCAGCTGATCATGGAATACGTCCCGCTGGGAAGCCTCCGGGAATTCCTGCCCAAGCACCCCCTGAGCCTGTCCCACCTCCTGCTCTTTGCCCAGCAGATCTGCGAGGTAAGCCCGGAATGGGGCTGGATCCCAAAAAAATGGGATGAGTCCCAAAAAAAATGGGGTTGGAAGAATCAAAAAATGGGGGTTACAGCCACAAAATCCGGCTGAATTGGCAAGAAAATGGGGTGGGAACGTTTGGAAATGGGGCTGAATTCCCAAAATGGGACTGAATTCCCAAAATGTGGCTGAATTCCCAAAATACGGGAGCGGATCCTTTGGAAATGAGACTGAATTCCCAAAATGTGGCTGAATTTCCAAAGTATGGGAGTGGATACTTTGGAAATGAGGCTGAATTCCCAAAATGGGGCTGAATTCCCAAAATGGGGCTGAATTCCCAAAGTATGGGAGTGGATACTTTGGAAATGAGGCTGAATTCCCAAAATGGGGCTGAATTCCCAAATTTTGGGGGTGGACCCTTTGGAAATGAGGCTGAATCCTAAAATGGGGATGAATTCAAAAAATGGGGTCGATTCCCACAAAAACCCCCGAAAACCCCTCACAGCTCCCCCAGAAATGCCTCAAACCCCCCCAAAACTGCTTCCAACCTTCAGGAATCCCCCCAAAATCTAATTTTTCCCCTGTTTTTCTCCCCATTTTTCCTGTTTTTTTCCCATTTTTTCCCCATTTTCCCCCGTTTTTTCCCCATTTTTTTCCATTTTTCCCCATTTTTTCCCCGTTTTTTCCCATTTTCCCCCCGTTTTTCCCAGGGCATGGCCTACCTGCACTCCCTGCACTACATCCACCGGGACCTGGCCGCCCGGAACGTGCTGCTGGAGAACGAACACGTGGTGAAAATTGGAGATTTTGGGCTGGCCAAGGCCGTCCCCGAGGGCCACGAGTATTACCGGGTGCGGGAGGACGGCGACAGCCCCGTTTTCTGGTGAGAATTTGGGAATTTGGGAACCCAAAATCCCAAAATCCCGGATCTGTCAGCGTTCAGGAGCACAAATAATCACGGGATATAATTCTTTGTTTTTATTGAGGGCTCTGGGAGTCAGGGGTGAAGACCCAAATCTGACTCCCACACGGCTTTCGAGCTGAACATATTTTATATTTTACCGTTATATAGCTTACATATTAATTATTCAACTTATATTTTTTTATTGTATACATTGGCTTTTCCCTAGGGTATAATCAGCGTTCAGAAACACAAATAATCACAGGATATAATTTTATGCAGATGCTTTTATTGATTCCTGATTTGGGAATCAGGGGTCCAGACCCAAATCTGACTCTGACACGGCTTTCGAGCCAAATTCCAAATTTATATTCTGTCCTTATATAACTTACATATTAATTATTAAGCTTATATTGTTTTAACTTACATATTAATTATTAAACTTATATTGTTCTATTGTATACATTGACTTTATTCAATCCGAGTTTCTCATGATCTTTCTCAAGCCCCTGACCACAGTTTCTCATGATTATTCTTACGATTAAACAGTAATTATATTTAATTGCTAAACAATCATCACATCTAACAATTATATAATTTATTATCTACTAGCTACACAGGTGCAGCTCTAGCACCTGCATGTACCCAGGATATTTATTTATTTTATTTTTTCATGTCCTACTAAGCTTAATTTTCCTTTTAACCCTAAATCCCCATATTTTAAAACCCTTTTATTATCAGTAATTCCAGCTGGGAATTCCTGTGGATATCCTGCAGTGCCTTCCCTCCCTTTTTTCCTTCATGTACCCAGAGAATTTTTTTTTCTTTTTCAGGGCCTATTAAGCTTAATTTTCCTTTTAACCCTAAATCCCCGTATTTTAAAGCAATTTTACTATCAGATCTGTAATTCCAGGTACGCCCCAGAGTGCCTCAAGGAATGTAAATTTTATTATGCCTCGGATGTTTGGTCTTTTGGGGTGACCCTCTACGAGCTCCTGACCCGCTGCGACCCCGGGAGCAGCCCCCCAGCCGTGAGTCCTGGGAGGATTTGGGGCTTTTTGGGTTGAAATCGGGGTTTTTCTCATGGTTTTTGGGTGGTTTTTTTTTTTTTTGGCACAGAAGTTCCTGGAGATGATCGGGGCCACGCAGGGGCAGATGACGGTGCTGAGGCTGATCGAGCTCCTGGAGAGGGGAAAGAGGCTCCCCATGCCCAGGGATTGTCCCTGTGAGGTGGGAAACGGGGAAAAACGGGGAGAAAATGGGGAAAAATGGGGGGAAATGGGGGAAAATGGGAGGAAAATTGGGAAAAATGGGGGGAAAATGGGGGAAATTGGGGAAAAATGGGGGGGAAATGGGGAAAAATAGGGAAAACTGGGGGAAAAATGGGGGTAAAATGGGGAAAATTGGGAAAAACGGGGGAAATGGGGGCAAATGGGAGGAAAAATGGGGAAAAACGGGGGAAATGGGGGCAAATGGGAGGAAAATTGGGGAAAATGGGGGAAATTGGGGAAAAATGGGGGGGAAATGGGGAAAAATAGGGAAAACTGGGGGAAAAATGGGGGGCAACGGGGAAAATGGGGAAAAACGGGGGAAATGGGGGCAAATGGGGAAAAGAGGGGGGAAATGGGGGAAAATGGGGGATAAAAATGGAACAAAAATGGGGAAAATGGGGGGAAAAAGGGAAAATGGGGGGGAATGGGGAAAATGGGGAAAAATTGGGAAAAGTGGGGGGGAAATGGGGAAAAATGGAGAAAATTAGGGCAAATGGGGAAAATGGGGAAAAATGGGGGGGAATGGGGAAAAACAGGGAGGAAATGGAGGAAAATGGGGAAAATGAGGGGAAATGGGGAAAAATAGGGAAAACTGGGGGGAAAATGGGGGGAAAATTTGGGGCAATGGGGAAAATGGGGGAAATGGAGCAAATGGGGAAAAGAGGGGGGAAATGGGGGAAAATGGGGGAAAACGGGATAAAAATGGAAGGAAAATGGGGAAAATGGAGAGAAATGGGGGGAATGGGGAAAATGGGGGGAAATGGGGGCAAATGGGGAAAAGAGGGGGTGAAATAGGGAAAACGGGATAAAGATGGAAGGAAAATGGGGAAAATGGGGGTAAAATGGAACAAATGGGGGGAAAATGGGAAGGGAAAGAGAAAAAGGGAGAGAGGGAGGAGGAAAGTGGGGAAAAGGGGGATAAATGGGAAGGGAGAAAGGAAAATGGGGAGGGAAGAGGGAAAATGGGGAGGGAAGAAGGAAAATGGGGAGGGAAGAAGGAAAATGGGGAGGGGAGATGGAAAATGGGGAGGGGAGAAGGAAAATGGGGAGGGGAGAAGGGAAATGGGGAGGGGAGAGGGAAAATGGGGAGGGAAGAGGGAAAATGGGGAGGGAAGAAGGAAAATGGGGAGGGAGAAGTGAAATGATTCCCACAGATTTCCCCGAGATTCCCCCAGAATCCCCCCAGAATTCCCGGAATTCCCAGGGAATTCCCGCTTTTCCCAGGTGTTCCGGGTGCTGCAGCTGTGCTGGGAGGCCGAGGCCTCGTTCCGCCCGGCCTTCCCCAACCTCGTCCCCGTCCTGCGCCGCTTCCGGGAGAAATACCGGGCCCAGGCGGCCTCGGTCTTCAGCCTCTGCTGAGGGAATTCCCAAAAATCCGTGGAATCGGGGGGGAAACGGCCCAAAAAATCCATGGAATGGACGGGGGAAACGGCCCAAAAAATCCATGGAATGGACGGGGGAAACGGCCCAAAAAATCCATGGAATGGCGGGCAAAAAATCCCATGGGATGGGGGAAAACACCCCAAAAAATCAATGGAATGGAGGGGAAAAAAATCCCATATAATGGGGGGGAAACACCCCCAAAAATCCGTGGAATAGACTGGGGAAACGGCCCAAGAAATCCATGGAATGGACCAGGGAAATGGCCCAAAAAATCCATGGATTTGGGGGGGAAACGGCCCAAAAAGTCCATGGAATGGAGGGAGAAAAAATCCCATATAATGGGCGGGGAACACCCCCAAAATTCCATGGAATTAGGCGGGAAACATCCCAAAAAAATCCATGGAATGGCGGGCAAAAAGTCCCATGGAACTGGGGGAGAAACATCCCAAAAAAATCCATGGAATCGGGGAGGAAATCCCCCAAAAATCCATGGAATGGACAGGGGAAAAATCCCAAAAATATCCATGGAATTGGGGGGAAATCCCAAAAAGATCCATGGAATATAGGGGGAAAATTCCATGGAATGGGTGAAAAAAAACCCCAAAAAATCCATGGGATGTGGGAAAAAACCCAAAAAAATCTACAGAATGTTGGAAAAAACCCCAAAAAAATCCATGGAATGGGTGGAGAACACCCAAAAAAATTCCATGAAAATTAAGGAAAATCCCCCAAAATTCAATGGGAACCCAATTCCGGACACAAATCCCCCAAAATTCCGTATTTCCTCCCAAAATTCTGGATTTTTTTCTCACCAAGAACTGTGAACGAGGCTCTGGGGACGGCGATTTTGGGGTGAAAGAGGGGGAATTTGGGAATTTCTGGAAGTTTTGCCTTATTCCCACTGCTCTCCCCAAAAATTTGGGGTTGGGGATTAAAAAAAAATTCGGTTGTTTTGGTTTTTTTTTGGAGGGTGGGGGGAGGGGCTGGACCTCCTTCCTCCCCCACCAGGATTTTGAGGCCTTTTCCCAAAAAATAAACCCAAAAAAATGGGAATTCCACCAAAAAAAAAAAAAAAAAAAATTCCAAAAACCAAACCTGGCACTTTATGGGGATTTTGGGGAATTCCCAAAAATTCCTTTTATTTATTGCCTGCTGTGCCCTGGGGGGATTTTGGGGAAAATCCCTGGGAATTTGGGGCTTTGGGATTTAGGGAATTTTGGGGGTTGGAAATCCCCGGGAATTTGGGGTTGGAATTTGGGGGTTCCTGAGGAGATTTTGGGGGAAATCCCCGGGAATTTGGGATTGGAATTTGGGGTTGGAATCTGGGGGTTCCTGAGGGGATTTTGGGGGAAATCCCCTGGAATTTGGGGTTTGGAATTTGAGGGTTCCTGGGGGATTTTGGGGGATCCAAAATGTCCCGAAATAAAGGATGGAAAAGGCTCCGATTTTGGGGTCTCTTTGGGTTACTTTTAGGTTATTTTGGGGTCTCTATTTGGGTTATTTTTTGGTCTATTTAGGGTATTTTTTGGGGGTTTTATTTGTGGTTTTTTGGGTTATTTTGGCTCTTTTGGCGCCCTTTCAGGCCATCCAACGGCCCAACCGAACCAACCAATAGCAACCCGCCATCTTGGGGGCTCGCCCTCCTCCACCCAATCCCATCCGCGGACACAACACCCCATCCCTCCCACCCAATCCCAACCTCCGTCCCATCCTTAGCCTTTCCCCTCACCGCCCAATCCCCGCGTGGGATACTCATAGCGGAGCTCTCCTCCAATGAGAAGCGGCGTTGTTGGCGTGGCGGGCAGCGGCGGGGCCAAGATGGCGGCGGCGCTGGCGGTGCCCGGGGCCGCGGCCGCTCCCGGAGCCGCTCCCGGGGCGGCGGCGCCGCCGGCGGGGCCCAGCCTGGCCCCGGAGGAGGAGCTGCCGCCGCTGGAGCCGGCCGAGGTGCGGAGCCGCCTGGAGCACAGCGAGCGGCAGTTCCGCAACCGGCGGAAGGTTCTGATCCGCGGTTTACCGGCGGACGTCAGCAACCAGGTGAGGGCGGAACCGGGAACGGGGGAAACGGGCAGGGAAACGGAGCCGCGAACCCAGCCCGGATCTGCCTTCCCGGCCTTTACCTGCTCTGCCTCCAAATCCCCGTTTTCTCCCCCATCCAAAAAACCGGGAATTCACCGAATATCCACCGGGAATTGCCCAAAAATCCCACCTGAAAATTCCCAAAAATCCACCGGGAATTGACCAAAAATCCCCCGGGAATTGGCCGGAAATAAATCCCGGGACAAAACCCAGAATATCAAACTGGGGACATCCCCAGGGTGGAAAATTCGGGATTTTTGGGAACAACTCCAGGATTTTCCCTTCCCTGTGCCCCCTCCCCCCTCTATTTTCCCCCTTTTCCATGGAAAATCCCGGATTTTTGGTTTTCTTTCCCCTTTTTCCATGGAAAATCCCGGATTTTTGGTTTTCTTTTCCCCCTTTTCCGTGGAAAATCCCATTTTTTTCCTTTTCCCAGGATATCCACGAGCTGCTGAAGGATTATGAGCTCAAGTATTGCTTCGTGGACAAGCACAAGGGCACAGGTGAGGAGCAGATTCCAAAGAAATCCTGGAAAATCCGGGAAAAGGGAAGAGTCACGGATCATTCCCCATTCCCCCTTTTCCCCCAGGAATTATTTCCCAAATCCCCTTTTTTTCCCAGGAATTCTTTCCAAAATCCCCCTTTTTCCATGATTCTTCCCCATTTCCAAACCTCTTTTTCCCAGGAATTCTTTCCCTTTCCCAAATTCCTTTTTTTCCATGGATCCTCCCCATTCCCCCTTTTTTCCCATGAACCTTCCCCTTCCTAAATCCCGTTTTTTCCATGGATCCTTCCCATTTCCAAACCCCTTTTTTTCCATTTGTCCCCCCGTTCCCAGTCCCATTCCCACCCTCATCCCTCCCCATTCCCAACCCCATTCCCAACCCCGTTTCTCCCTGTTTTCCCCCCATTCCCAACCCCATTTTACCCCCCATTTCCCCCCATTTTTCCCCCATCCCTCCCCATTCCCAACCCCATTCCCAGCCCTGTTTCTCCCCCAGTTTTCCCCCATTTCTCCCCCATTCCCACCCCCATTTCTCCCCCACTCCCAACCCCATTTCTCCCCATTCCCACCCCCATTGCTCCCCCATTCCCACCCCCATTTCCCCCCCATTTCCCCCCATTCCCAACCCCATTTCTCCCCGGATTTCCCCCCATTCCTCCCCCACTCCCAACCCCATTCCCACCTCCATTTCTCCCATTTTTCCCCCATTCCCAACCCCATTTCCCCCCCATTCCCACCCCCATTTCCCCCCCATTTCCCCCCCCATTTCTCCCCCACTCCCAACCCCATTTCCCCCCCATTCCCACCCCCATTTCTCCCCCATTCCCAAACCCATTTCTCCCCCATTCTCAACCCCATTTCCCCCCCATTCCCACCCCCATTTCTCCCCCGATTTCCCCCCATTTCTCCCCCATTCCCAACCCCATTTCTCCCCCATTCCCACCCTCATTTCTCCCCCCATTTCCCCCCCATTCCCACCCCTATTTCTCCCCGGATTTCCCCCCATTTCTCCCCCATTCCCAACCCCATTTCCCCCCATTTCCCCCCATTCCCACCCCCATTTCTCCCCCACTCCCAACCCCATTTCTCCCCCATTCCCACCCCCATTTCTCCCCTGGTTTTCCCCCATTTCTCCCCCCATTCCCAACCCCATTTCTCCCCCATTTCCCCCCCATTCCTCCCCCATTCCCAACCCCATTTCTCCCCATTCCTCCCCCATTCCCAACCCCATTTCCCCCCATTCCCACCCCCATTTCTCCCCTGGTTTTCCCCCATTTCTCCCCCCATTCCCACCCCCATTTCTCCCCCTATTTCCCCCCCATTTCTCCCCCATTCCCAACCCCATTTCTCCCATTTTTCCCCCCACTCCCAACCCCATTTCCCCCCCATTTTCCCCCCCATTCCCCCCATTCCCCCCCCCATTCCCGCTCTCTCTCTCCCCGCAGCCTTCATCACGCTGCAGACGGCCGAGCAGGCGTCCTCGGCCATCGAGCGGCTGCAGGGCCGCGCGCTGCGGCGGCGCCCGCTGCGCCTGCAGCTGCAGCCCAGCGAGGCCGTGCTCTGCGTGGCCAACCTGCCCCGCCTGCTGCGGCAGCCGCAGTTCCAGGAGCTGCTGCGGCCTTTCGGCAGCCTGGAGCGCTGCTTCCTGGTCTACAGCCCGGCCAGCGGCCACTCCAAGGGCTACGGCTTCGTGGAGTTCATGAAGAGGGAGGCGGCGGCGCGGGCGCGCTGCGAGCTGCAGGGGCGGCGCCTGGGCAGCAGGGCCCTGCAGCTGCATTGGGTGGATGCGGCGCAGTTCGGCCCCGAGCAGCTGCACTCCAGGTGTCTGTGTGTGGACAGGCTGCCCCGCGGCTTCTGCGACCTGCAGGCGCTGCAGGAGGTGTTCGAGAGGGTCTGTGTGCCCTCCTTCTGCCAGGTGGGGTCTGGGGTTTGGGGTTTTGGGGAGTTTTGGGGTCACCGAGGGGGTTTGGGGGGGTTTGGGATGAGGGAAAGCAGGCACAGGCTGCCCCGGGGATTCAGCGACCAGGAGGTGTTCAAGAGGGTCTGTGTGCCCTCCTTCTGCCAGGTGGGGTCTGAGGTTTGGGGTTTTGGGGAGTTTTGGGGTCACTGAGGGGTTTTGAGGGGTTTTGAGGGGGTTTGGAATGGTCAGAGAGGGGTTTGGGGGGTTTGGGGTGAGGGAACTCAGGCACAGGCTGCCCTGGGGCTTCTGTGACCTGCGGGAGGTGTTCGAGAGGGTCTGTGTGCCCTCCTTCTGCCAGGTGGGGTCTCAGAGGGGTTTTGGGGAGTTTTGGGGTCACCGAGGGGTTTTGAGGGGGTTTGGAATGGTCAGAGAGGGGTTTGGGGGGTTTGGGGTGAGGAAAAGCAGGGACAGGCTGCCCCGGGGATTCAGCGACCAGGAGGTGTTCGAGAGGGTCTGTGTACCCTCCTTCTGCCAGGTGGGGTCTGGGGTTTGGGGTTTTGTGGGCGTTCATCCCCTCACTGACCCCCTGTCCTGCCCCTGTTTGTCCCCTCACTGTCCCCCTGTCCTGTCCCTGTTCATCCCCTCACCGTCCCCCTATCCTGCCCCCGTGTGTCCCCTCACTGTCCCTGTTCATCCCCTCACTGTCCCTGTTTGTCCCCTCACCGTCCCCGTTTGTCCCCTCACTGTCCCCGTTTGTCCCCTCCCGTCCCCGTCTGTCCCCTCTGTCCCCGTCCCCAGCTGGCCGTGGGGCAGGACGGGCAGCCCCAGGGTTTCGCCGTGCTGGAGTTCGAGTCCCCGGAGGCGGCCGAGCGAGCCCAGGAGGCCACGGACGGGTTCCCGCTGGCCAGGCGGCACCTCCGGGTGTCCTTCTGCGCGCCCGGCGCCTCGGGGCCCTGCGCGCTGGCCGCGCTGGTGGCGGCGCGGGCCACGGTGAGCCTTCCTCCCTGCTCCTCCTCCTCAGCCTCGCTGGCATCGTTACCTTCAGCCTTAACCTTATCTTCATCCTCATCCTCATCGTTACCTTCATCCTCAACCTTATCTTCATCCTCATCCTCATCGTTACCGTCATCCTCAACCTTATCTTCATCCTCATCCTCATCGTTACCTTCATCCTCAACCTTATCTTCATCCTCATCCTCCTCATTGTCTTCATCCTCATCGTTACCTTCAGCCTCATCCTTATCTTCATCCTCGTCATTGTCTTCATCCTCATCGTGACCTTCAGCCTCAACCTTATCTTCATCCTCATCCTCACCATTGTCTTCATCCCTGTCGTTACCTTCAGTCTTAACCTTAACTGTATCTTCATCCTCCTCCTCCTCGTTACCATCATCTTTATCTTTAACCTTAACCTAAATATATTTTCCTGGCCTTAACCTTATCTTCATCCTCATCATTAACTTCAGTCTTATCCTTATCTTCGTCCTCATCATTATCTTCATCCTCATCCTCATCCTCATCCTCATCCTCATTGTTATCTATAACCTTAACCTTATCTTCATCCCCATTCCTGCTGCACCCCAATCCCCGAATCCCAAACCCCAAACCCCAAACCCTGAATCCCAAACCCCAATTCCCAGACACTTTTCTCCTAAAATGTGGCTTTTTTCCCCTTAAAATGTGCTTTTTTCCCCTAAAATGTCGTTTTTTTCCTGCTTTTACACTAAAATATCATTTTCCCCACTTTTTCCCCTAAAACTTGGCTTTTTTCCCTAAAATGTGGCTTTTTTCCCCTTAAAATGTGCTTTTTCCCCCCGCTTTTTCCCATAAAATGTCGTTTTTTTCCTGCTTTTACACTAAAATATCATTTTTCCCTCTTTTTCCCCTAAAACTTGGCTTTTTTCCCTAAAATGTGGCTTTTTTCTCTCTTTTCCCCTAAAATGTCACTTTTTTCTGCTTTTCCCCTAAAATGTACCCTTTTCCCCCACTTTTTCCCTTAAAATGTTGCTTTTTTCCCATTTTTCCCCCTAAAATGTCTTTTTTTCCCCCACTTTCCACTAAAATATCATTTTTTCCCACTTTTCCCCCTAAAATGTGCATTTTTCCCCTAAAATGTCACATTTTTCCCCTAAAATGTGGCTTTTCCCCCTAAATGTGGCTTTTCCCCCACGTTTTCCCCTAAAATATCTTTTTTCCCCCCTAAAATGTCACTTTTTTGCCCACTTTTTCCCCTAAAATGTCATTTTTTTCCCCGTTTTTCCCCCAAAATGTCTTTTTTTCCCCCTTTTTCCCTAAACTGTGGCTTTTTCCCCCGTTCCAGGCGCTGAACCGCGGCAAGGGGCTGCTCCCGGAGCCCAACATCCTCCAGCTGCTGGGCAGCCCCGCCTCGCTCCCACTGCTGCTGCACCCCCTGCTCCAGGGCGCCAAGCAGGGTAATTTGGGCAATTTCGGGGCAAATTTCGGGGATTTTGGGCAATTTTGGGCGATTTCCCCCCCGTTTCCTCCTTTTCCCGCAGGAATTTTGGGCGCCGCTCCCCCGCTGCCGCTGCTGCCGGCCCCGGCGCTGCTGCGGCTGGCGCTGCACGGCCGGGCTCAGGTGGGCTGAAATCCCCAAATTTCCCCCCAAATTCCGCTCCTCCCACCCAAAACCAGAATTTCCTCACGGATAATCTGCTTTGTTTTGGGGAAAAATCGCCTTTTTTAGGGATTTATCTGTCATTTTTCCTCCCAGAAACCGGGAATTTTGGGCGATTCCCCGCTGAGCTCCCTGGTTCAGCCCCCCGGGAAGATCCTGGGGGAGATTCCAGCGGGTAAATCCAAAAATTTGGGTGGAAAATGGGAAAATTTGGGTGGGAAAAGGGAAATTTGGGTGGGAAAAGGGAGATTGGAGTGGGAAAAGGGGGAATTTGGGTGGGAAAAGGGGAAATTTGGGTGGGAAAAGGGAAAATTCGGGTGGGAAAAGGGAAATTTGGGTGGGAAAAGGGGGAATTTGGGTGGGAAAAGGGAAAATTCGGGTGGGAAAAGGGAAATTTGGGTGGGAAAAGGGAGATTGGAGTGGGAAAAGGGAAAATTCAGGTGGGAAAAGGGAAAATTCAGGTGGGAAAAGGGGAAATTTGGGTGGGAAAAGGGGGAATTTGGGTGGGAAATGGGAAATTGGGGTGGGAAAAGGGAAATTTGGGTGGGAAAAGGGGGAATTTGGGTGGGAAATGGGGAAAATTCAGGTGGGAAAAGGGAAATTTGGGTGGGAAAAGGGGAAATTCGGGTGGGAAAAGGGAAATTTGGGTGGGAAAAGGGGGAAATTGGGTGGGAAAAGGGGGAACTTGGGTGGGAAAAGGGGGAACTTGGGTGGGAAAAGGGAAAAATCGGGTGGGAAAAGGAAAATTTTGGTGGGAAAAGGGAGATTTGGGTGGGAAAGGGGGGATTTTTGGGTGTCCCCCCCACCCCTCTTTTTTTCTCTGTTTTTTGGGCTCTTTTCCCAATTTTTCCCTTTTCCTCCCCACTCCCTCATCCCCCCAAAATTTGACTTTTTGGGAATTACTGCCAGGTTTCATTTTTTGGGAGCCTTTTCCCAAATCTGGGCTCTTTTCCAGGTGTGGACGTCGCCCACGGGACCCCCCCGGGCCTGGGGGTCCTCCCAAAATCCATCCCAAAATCCGTCCCCAAATCCATCCCCAAATCCATCCCCAAATCCCAGCAGGGCGAGAGCAGAGCCCCCACGGTGAGCAGCCCCCAGCCCCAAATCACTCAAAAAAACCCGGGTGGGACCCCCAAAAATTCAGAAAAATTAAGGGTGGGACCCCCAAAAAATCCAGGGTGGGACCCCCAAAGAGTGCAGGGTGGGATTTCCCAAAAATCCGGGATGGGCCCCCCCAAAACCCCTCTGGGACCCCCCAAACCCCTTTGGGTCCCCCCTGAGCCCCCCAAATTCCCCCCCCAGGTCTCTCTCCTGGGGGAGCCCCCCAAAAATTGGAGGATCCCCCTCAATCCCTACCTGAACCTGCAGAGTCTCCTGCCCGCGCCTGGTGAGTCCCCAAATTCCTGGTTTTTTCCCCAAAAAATTCCCTTTTTCCCCAAAATTTCCCTTTTTTCCCCAAAATTTCCCTTTTTTCCCCAGAAATTTCCCTTTTTTCCCCCAGAAATTTCCCTTTTTTTAAACAGTCCCACCATTTTATTTTATTTATTTTATTTTATTTTATATTTTATTATTTTATTTTATTTAAATGTAATTTAAGTTTTTTATTGTTTCTTTTTTTATTATTTTTAAAAATTTATTTTATTTTATTATTTTAGTTATTATTTTAAACCATCATTTTATTTTTATTTATTTTATTATTTTATTTAAAAATATTATTATTTTATTTTATTTTATTTTATTGTTTTTTTAAATTGTTTAATTTAATTTAAATTTATTTTATTTTATTTTATTCTATTTTACTTTGTTTTATATTTTATTATATTTTATTTTATTTTCTATTTCAGGCAAGGCCTTTAAGCTGAACCCCGGGGTTTTGGGGCCCCCCCCGACCGACTCCTTCGCCACAGAATTCCCGGTGAGGGGAAATTTTGGGGTCAAATTTGGATTTTTTTTCGCAATTTTAAATTCAGGATAAAACCCCCAAATTCTGCTTTTTTAGCCAATTAAATTTTTTTAGGCAATCCCAAAAAAATTTGTGATTTTGGGTTTTTTGGGGGGGAAATTTGGGATTTTTGGGGTTTTTTTGTGGGGGGGAAATTTGGAATTTTTGCGTTAAATTTGTGATTTTTGGGGTTTTTTTTTTGAGGAAATTTGGGGGTTTTGGAGGGTTTTTTTGGGAAAATTTGAGATTTTATGGGCATTTTGGGGGGACATTTGGGATTTTTAGAGAGTTTTTTTTGGGGAAATTTGGCATTTTTTGGGGAAATTAGGAATTTTGGGATTTTTTGGGGGGAAATTTGGGATATTGGGATTTTTTCGGGGGAAATATGGGATCTTTGGGTTTTTTTTTTTAAATTTGGGATCTTGGGTTTTTTGGGGGGGAAATTTGGGATTTTTGGGGGTTTTTTTGGGTGAAATGTTGGATTTTTGGGGAAATTTGGGATTTTTGGGGTTTTTTTAAGGGAAATTTTGGATTTTTTGGGGGTTTTTTTGGGGTTTTCAGCTGCCTGTGCTCCCCTTGCAGGTCTCCTCCTCCTCGGGGTTGGACAGGGGGGCTTTGGGACCCCCAATTCCCCCTTTTTTCTCAGGATCCCCCAATTCCTGCTTCACCTCTGGCCTCCAGGCCGGCCTCAGGCAGAGCCACCTCAGCAAGGTCAGAGCCCTTTTCCCCTCAAATCCCAAAAAATCGGGGAAAAATCCCTAAAAATACCTTGAAATCCCATTGAAACCTGTTAAAATCCCTAAAAATGCCTTAAAATCCCATTGAAACCCTTTAAAATCCCTAAAAATGCCTTAAAATCCCATTGAAACCCCTTAAAATCCCATTGAACCCCCTTAAAATCCCTAAAAATACCTTAAAATCCCATTAATACCCCTTAAAATCCCATTAAAACCTCCTTAAAATCCCCATAAAATCTCCTTAAAACCTCCTTAAAATCCCCTTAAAAATCTCCTTAAAACCTCCTTGAAATCCCCTTAAAGTCCCCTTAAAACCCCCTAAAACCCCTAAAGATCCCTTCAAACCCCCTAAAACCTCCTTAAATCCCTTAAAGATCCTTTTAAAAACCCTAAAATCTCTTAAAGATCCTTTTTAAAGCCCCTGTAAATCCCCTAAAATCCCTTTAAAACCCCTTCAAACCCCCTAAAATCCCTTAAATATCCCTTTAAAACTCTTTCAAATCCCCTAAAATCCCTTCAAAATCCTTTTAAATCCCCTAAAATCCCTTTAAAACCCCTTCAAATCCCCTAAAATCCCTTCAAGACCGTTTTAAAACTTTTATTTTTCCTGTTTTTTCCCCCCAGGCCGTCGCCGTCCCTCCGAGCTCCGACTCCATCCTCACTTTGGCACCTCCAAACTCTCACCCCAAGGTACCAAACACCCCCAAAAAAACCCCAAAAAACCCAAAAAAAACCCCAAAAAAACCCCAAAACTGACGGAAAATTCTCATTTCAGACCCCCCTGGGACACAAGAGGGGCTTCTCGCAGCTGCTGCCCGAGCCCGAGCCCAGCCCCGAGGGCTCCTACGTGGGGCAGCACTCGCAGGGCCTCGGGGGCCACTACGCCGACTCCTACCTGAAGAGAAAAAGGAGATTTTAGTAGGGGAAAAAATGTTAAAAAACCGACCAAAAAAAACCCCACAAAAATCCAAAAAATTTCAAAAAAATCCCGCAAAAAATCCCCCAAAATTTCAAAAAAATCCCACAGAAAATCCCCAAAAATTTCAAAAAAATCCCACAAAAAAAACCCAGAAAATTTAAAAAAACCCAACCAAAAAATCCCCCAAAAAAACCCCAAAGCCACCCAAAAAATAATAATAATAATAAAAAAAAAATCCCCACAAAAAACCCCGCTCAAAAACCTCAAAAAAATCCCCCAAAAAAACCACCAGAAAATTCAAAAAAAACCCAACCAAAATATCCCCACAAAAAGCCCCAAAAAACCCGCTCAAAAACCTGAAAAAAAAAATCCCAAAAAAAAAACCCCAAAAAAACCAGAAAATCCCCACAAAAAATCCGCTCAAAAACCTCAAAAAAATCCCCCCAAAAAAAGACTCAAAAATTTAAAAAAAAATCCCAAAAAATTCCAAAAAAATACCCCAAAAAATCCCCACTCAAAAACCTCAAATAAATCCCAAAAAAAAACCCCAGAAAATTCAAAAAAATCCAACAAAAAAATCTCCCCCAAAACCCCGAAAGAAAACCCCCAAAATCCCCAAAAAATCACTCCAAAAATCCAAAAAAAATCAAACCAAAAATACCCAAAAAATAAAAACAATCCCCACAAAAAACACCAAAAAAAATCCCCCAAAAAATCCGAAAATCCCCTCCAAACCTGGCCTTTATTTTTATGTGGTTTTTTTTTAAGTTTTTGGGATTTTTTTGGTCTTTTTTTGGGTTTTTTTGTGTATTTTTTTTACTTTTTTGGGGATTTTTTGGGTTTTTTTTTTATTTTTCTGAAGCCGTTTTAGGATTTCCAACACCCCTCGAAGAATTTGATGAGAAAACCTGAAATTTTTTGGGAATTTTTGAAATTTTATTTTCAATTTTCTGCCTCCTTCTCCCCAGAGCAGCCCCTGGAGCCCCCCAAATTCGCTCCCTGCCTTAACTGCTGCTTCTGGGGAGAAATTCCCATTTTCCCCCAATTTTTCACAGTTTCGGGGTTAATTTTTGGGTGAAAATCTCAATTTTTGGGGGATTTTCCCCTTTTTGTTTTTTGGGGTCCAATCCCTCTTTTTAAACATTTCACTGCTTGGTTTATTTTGCTGTTTTATTTTTAATTTTTAATTGTTTTTTATTTTTATTTTGGGGTAAAATTGACTTTTGTTTTAACTTTTTTTTTTTTTAATTCACCGAATTTTCCTCCTTTCTTTTATTTTTCTTTTTTAAGTTTTCTTTAGGATAATTTTCCCGAATTTCAGGGTTTTTTCCTCTTTTTGCTGTCAGGGGAATTTTGGGGGGGGTCTGTGTCCCCCCCATCCCCTTCCCTCCCCTCAAACCCCCCCCCAAAAAATAAAATTTTATTTATATTTCTCCTTTTTTTGGGTTATTTCAGCCTGGTTTCATTAGTTCTTCTAAAATGCCCCAATTTCCCCCCAAAATTCCCAATTTCCTCCCGAAATCCCCCAATTTCCTCCCGAAATTCCCAATTTCTCCCACTTTCCCTCCAAAATTCCCAATTTTCTCACAAGTTTCCCCAATTTCTTCCCAAATTTCCCCACTTTACTCCCAAAATCGCCAAATTTCCTCCAAAATTCCCCAATTTCCCCCCAAAATTCCCAATTTCCTCACAAAATTCCCAAATTTCCCCACAGAATTCCGCAGTTTCCTCCCAAAATCCCCCGGTTTTCCCCCGAAATTCCCCAATTTCCCACAAAATTTCCAAAATCCCACAGTTTTCCCTCAAAATTCCCCAAAATCCCCAATTTCCTCCCAAAATTCCCAATTTCCCGCCAAATTCGCGGCCGGGCTTTTCCCGCCCAGCGGAGGCCCCGCCCCTCCCGCCGGTGGCTCCGCCCATTTCGTTCTCTGGCCACGCCCCTCTTCCCGCCCGCTGACGATCACGTGGCGCGGTCACGTGACGCCCAACATGGCGGCGCCCATGGCGGCGGCGGCGAGCGGCGGCTCCGTGACGCGGCGGCTCCTCCGGGGCTTCTCCCGCAGCCTCAGCGGCGGCGGCGCCGCGGCCGAGCAGCCCGAGGCTGCCGTGTGAGTACCGGCAACTCCCTCCCGGAGCGGCGGAACCGGAGCGAGTCCCGGTGCTGAGCCCGGTGCGGCGTTTCCCTCCCGGTTTCCGCAGCGTTAACGTCGTGTTCGTGGACCGGAAGGGGCGGGAGGTGCCGGTCAGCGGCAGAGTCGGTGACAACGTGCTGCACCTGGCGCAGCGGCACGGGCTGGAGCTGGAGGGTCGGTACCGGCACCGAGAACGGGCTTGGGGACCGGGAACGGGAGCTGGGGAAGCGCGCTCGGGGCTCCGGGAGGCTCCCGGTACCGACAGAGCGGTCCCGGGACGGGGCTGGTGCTGCCGCTGGTCTCGGTGCTGACAGCGCTTCCAGGCGCTGTCCCGGTGTTACCGGGGCGCTCCCGGGAGCTGTCCCGGTGCTGACGGCGCTCCCGGGGGTGTTACCGGGGCTGTCCCGGTGCTAACGGCGCTCCCGAGGGTGTTACCGGGGCGTTCCCGGGGGGTATTCCGGCTGCTACCGGCGCTGCCGTGGGACTGCCCCGGTGTTCCCGGGGCTTCACCGGCTCTCTCCCGGTACTCCCGGTGCTCTCCCGGTATTACCGGGGCTTTACCGGCTGTCTCTCCCCCGGTCCCGCAGGCGCCTGCGAGGCGTCCCTGGCCTGCTCCACCTGCCACGTTTACATCAGCGAGCCGCACCTGAGCCGGCTCCCGGCGCCCGACGAGCGGTGAGGGACCCCCCGAACCCCCCGGTAACCCCCCGGTAACCCCCCCCGGTACACCGGGAGCCCCCGGTAACTCCCCCCGGTGCCGTGCAGGGAGGAGGACCTGCTGGACCAGGCGCCGCTGCTGCGGGAGAACTCGCGGCTCGGCTGCCAGCTGCGCCTCGGGCCCGCCATGGAGGGGGCGCGGATCGGCCTGCCCCGCCTCAGCCGCAACTTCTACGTGGACGGGCACACCCCGAAACCGCATTGACCCCCAAAACCGCACTGACCCCCAAAATCTACTGACACCCCCACTGACACCCCGAAACCGCACTGACACCCCCAAATCTACTGACACCCCCAAATCTACTGACTGCACCCCGAAACCCCATTGACACCCCAAAATCTACTGACACCCCCAAACCGCACTGACCCCCAAAATCTACTGACCCCCCCACTGACACCCCCAAATCTACTGACACCCCCCACTGACACCCCGAAATCCCACTGACCCCCCACTGACACCCCGAAACCGCACTGACACCCCAAAATCCCACTGGCACCCCAAATCTACTGACTGACACCCCAAAATCTACTGACACCCCGAAACCGCACTGACACCCCCAAAATCTACTGACACCCCAAAACCGCACTGACCCCCAAATCCCACTGGCACCCCAAAATCCCACTGACCCCCCACTGACACCCCGAAACCGCACTGACACCCAAAACCGCACTGACACCCCCAAATCTACTGACACCCCCATTGACACCCCACTGACACCCCGAAACCTCATTGACACCCCCAAAATCCCACTGACCCCCCACTGACACCCCGAAACCGCACTGACACCCAAAACCGCACTGACACCCCCAAATCTACTGACACCCCCATTGACACCCCACTGACACCCCGAAACCTCATTGACACCCCCAAAATCCCACTGACCCCCCACTGACACCCCGAAACCGCACTGACACCCAAAACCGCACTGACACCCCCAAATCTACTGACACCCCCATTGACACCCCACTGACACCCCGAAACCTCATTGACACCCCCAAAATCCCACTGACCCCCCACTGACACCCCACTGACACCCCGAAACCCCATTGACACCCCAAAATCTACTGACTGACACCCCAAAATCCCACTGACACCCCACTGACACCCCGAAACCCCACTGACACCCCAAATCTACTGACTGACACCCCAAATCTACTGACACCCCGAAACCGCACTGACACCCCAAATCTACTGACTGACACCCCAAATCTACTGACACCCCGAAACCGCACTGACCCCCAAAATCTACTGACTGACACCTCAAAATCCCACTGACACCCCACTGACACCCCAAAACCGCACTGACACCCCGAAACTGCACTGACACCCCCACTGACACCCCGAAACCGCATTGACACCCCAAAACCCCACTGACACCCCAAATCTACTGACTGACACCCCAAATCTACTGACACCCCGAAACCGCACTGACACCCCCAAATCTACTGACTGACACCTCAAAATCCCACTGACACCCCACTGACACCCCAAAACCCCACTGACACCCCGAAACTGCACTGACACCCCCACTGACACCCCGAAACCGCATTGACACCCCAAAACCTCATTGACACCCCAAAATCTACTGACACCCCCAAATCTACTGACAGACACCCCGAAACCGCACTGACACCCCCAAATCTACTGACTGACACCCCAAAATCCCACTGACCCCCCACTGACACCCCACTGACACCCCGAAACCGCACTGACACCCCAAAATTTACTGACTGACACCCCAAAACCTCATTGACACCCCGAAATCTACTGACACCCCAAAATCTACTGACTGACACCCCAAATCTACTGACACCCCACTGACACCCCGAAACCGCACTGACACCCCAAAATCTACTGACACCCCAAAAGCTATTGACTGACACCCCACTGACCCCCCACTGACACCCCACTGACACCCCAAAATCCCACTGAACCCCCACTGACACCCCCAAACCGCATTGACACCCCAAAATCTACTGACTGACACCCCAAAATCTACTGACACCCCAAAACTGCACTGACACCCCAAAATCCCAGTGAGCCCCCAAACCCCACCGAGCCCTTGGGGGACACCCCCAAACCCCCCCTGACACCCCCAAACCCCCCCCAACCCCCTGGGGGACACCCCCAAACCCCCCCTGACACCCCCAACCCCCCCCCCAACCCCTCGGGGACACCCCCAAACCCCCCCTGACACCCCCAACCCCCCCCCAACCCCTCGGGGACACCCCCAAACCCCCCCTGACACCCCCAAACCCCCCCAACCCCCTGGGGACACCCCCAAACCCCCCCCCAACCCCCTGGGGGTACCCCCAAATCCCCCTGACACCCCCAAACCCCCCCGGGAAGTGGGGACCCCCCCTCAAAAATCAATTCGGGTCCCCCCAAGTGCCCCCCCGGGGGGGGTGGGGACAGGGCGACACCCCCCCCCCCCCAGCCCCCCAAAAAATCCCGGGGCTCGGATTGGAGGAAGGAGCCTCGGCTCATTAATGAGTGACTGATTGCTAATTGGGCACCCTTGGGTGCTGCTCGGTGACACCGGGGGGGCTCTGGGGGGGGCTCGGTGACACCGGGGGGGCTCGGTAACACCGGGGGGGGCTCGGTGACACCGGGGGGGGCTCGGTGACACCGGGAGGGGAGCTCGGGGGGGGCTCGGTGACACCGGGGGGGGCTCGGTGACACCGGGGGGGGTCTCTGGGGGGGCTCGGTGACACCGGGAGGAGCTCTGTGACACCGGGGGGGGCTCGGTGACACCGGGGGGGGCTCGGTGACACCGGGGATGGTTCGGTGACACCGGGGGGGGCTCGGTGACACCGGGGGGGGCTCGGTGACACCGGGAGGAGCTCGGTGACACCGGGGGGGGGGGCTCGGTGACACCGGGGGGGCTCTGGGGGGGGCTCGGTGACACCTGGGGGGGGCTCGGTGACACCGGGGGGTGGCTCGGTGACACCGGGGGAGGCTCTGGGGGGGCTCGGTGACACCGGAGGGGGGGCTCGGTGACACCGGGGCGGCTCCAAGGGGGCAGACTCGGGGACAGCGCGGTGGTGACGCCCCCCGACACCGGGGTCGTTTATTTGGGGGGGGGTCTCTCCACGCCCCGGGAGGAACCGGCCCGGTCCCCGCCAGCCCCGGCCCTGAGGGGCGGCCGGGCCACGCTCGGGGCGGCTCCCAAATCCCCCCAAAAAACCCTGGGGGGATCTTTGGGGACCCCAAAACCCCACGGGGATGGTCCCGGTCCCTGTCCCGGTCCCGGTTCCGGTCCCGGTCCCGGTCCCGGTCCCGGCTGAGCGATCTGGATGCCAAAATCGTCCCCGTTGTTGTCCCGGTACCACCGGGCACCTCCAGAGGAACATCCGGGCCCTGCCACACCCCAAAAATACCCCAAAAACACCCCAAAAACACCCCAAAACTCGCCGGGGCCGGGGATTTGGGGGTTCCGGGCAGCACGGGAGGAACGGTGCCGGTCCCGGTGCCGGTCACGGTGCCGGTGTCACGGTGCCGGTGCAGACACGCGGCCTCGGGGGTACCCTCGGTCCTGGGTGTTGTACCCCCCAAAAACCCCCAAAAACCCCTGAGGGATGGCGGGCGGATCTTTGGGGACCCCAAAACCCCACGGGGACGGTCCCGGTGCCGGTGCCGGTGCCGATCAGGCGATCCGGTTGCCAAAATCCTCCCCGTTGTTGTCCCGGTACCACCGGGCACCTCCAGCGGCATCCTTGGCACCCTCACACTCCCAAACCCCCAAAAACGCCCCAAAACCGCCCCAAAACCCGCCGGGGCCGGGGAGGAGCGGTCCCGGTGCCGATCCCGGTGCCGGTCCCGGTGCCGGTGCCGGTGCCGGTCACGGCTGCGGCAGCTGGATCCCGAACACCTCGGTGCCGGTGTCGCGGTGCCGGTGCAGACGCGCGGCCTCGGAGGAGCCCTCGGCGTCCCGCACGTTGTACTCTCCGGTTTTACCGGCGCTGCTTTTCACGTAGAGACCACCGGCCACCGCCAGTCCCAGCGCGGCCACCGCGCCCAGCGCTCCCAGCGCCGCCAGCACCACCGGCCGCCTCTCTGCGGGACGGCGCCGGTGACACCGGGACGCCGCCGGTAACACCGGGACGCCGCCGGTAACACCGGAACCCCTCCCGGTTCTCCCGTCTCACCGTCCACCCGCACCACGACGCTCCCGGCCCGCCGGCCGTGCCGGTTGCTCGCCGTGCAGGTGTAAAGGCCCCGGTTGGCCGCGGTGGCTCCGGTAACCGTGACCGAGCGGTTGTCGGCGGCCAGGCGCAGGTTGGGGGCGGGGGGCAGCGCCCAGGTGTAGGTGGGCACCGGGAGCCCCTCGGCGCCGCACTCCACCGTGAAACCGCCGCCGCGGGTGACGTTGGCGGAGGGCAAGACGCGCACGGTGACACCGGCGGGGCCGTCTGCACCGGGGCGACAGCGGCCGGTGCTGAGAGCCGCCAAAAAACCCCCGGTTTGCACCCAAAACCCCCGGTTTTCCCCCCTAAAAACCCGGTTTGCCCCCAAAAATCCCCGGTTTGCCCCCCCAAAACCCCCGGTTTTCCCCCCAAAACTCCCAGTTTGCCGCCAAAAACCCCGGTTTGCCTCCCAAAAATCCCCGGTTTGCTCCCCCAAAACCCCCGGTTTGCCCCCAAAAAAACCCGGTTTGCCACCCAAATCCCCGGTTTTCCCCCAAAACCCCCGGTTTGCTCCCAAAATCCCCGGTTTGCCCCCCAAAATCCCCGGTTTGCCGCCCCCAAAACCCCCGGTTTGCCCCCCAAAACCCCCGGTTTGCCCGCAAAACCCCCGGTTTGCCCCCCCAAAAACCCCCGGTTTGCCCCCCAAACCCCCGGTTTTCCCGGTAAATCGCCGCCCGCGCTCACACTCCACGGCCACGGTGACGTCGCGGACGGCGGAACCGTGCGCGTTGGTGGCCCGGCACCGGTAGGTGCCCGCGTGGGCGCGGGTGACGTTGGGGGTGGCCCGGGGGGGGTCCCGGGGGTCTCCCGGTTCGGTGGCGTTGTCGGGGGGGTCGCGGCCGCCGCCCAGCTTGGCGCAGGTGACGCGGGGCGGGGGGTTCCCGGTGGCGGCGCAGCGCAGCTCGGCCGGGCTCCCCTCCAGCCACCGGCGCCGCTCGGGGCAGCCGCGCTCACCGAGGCTCGGCCGGTCTGGAAACGGCGGGAGGGTGGGGGGATGGAGGCGGGAGAGCCCCGGGAGATCACCGGGAGATCACCGGGAGACCACCGGGAGATCACCGGGAGATCACCGTGACCCTCCCGTGAGACCACCGGGAGACCACCGGGAGATCACCGTGAGACCACCGGGAGACCCCCGTGACCCTCCCGTGAGACCCCCGGGAGACCCCCATGAGATCACCGGGAGACCCCCGGGATCACCGGGAGATCACCGGGAGACCCCCGGGAGATCCCCGGGAGACCCCCGTGAGATCACCGGGAGATCACCAGGAGACCACCTTGACCCTCCCGGGATTCACCGTGAGACCCCCGTGACCCTCCCGTGAGACCCCCGTGAGACCACCGGGAGACCACCCTGACCCTCCCGGGATTCACCGTGAGACCACCCCCACCCCACCGGGATCCACCCCCGGGAGACCACCCTGACCCCGCCGGGATCCACCGGGAGAACCCCGTGAGACCACCCGGTCCCTGCTCCCCCGGTGTCCCCTCCCCCCCGGTGTCCCCTCCCCCCCGGTGTCCTCCCGATGTCCCCCTCGGTGTCCCCTCCCGGTGTCCCTCCCGGTGTCCCCCCGGTGTCCCCTCCCGGTGTCCCCTCCGCCCCGGTATCCCCCCGGTGCCCCCCCGGTGTCCCCCCGGTGTCCCACTCACACTCCACGGTGACCAGGACGCTCCTCACGGCCACCCCGTGCCGGTTGGTGGCCCGGCACACGTAGCGGCCACCGTCGGCCCGGGTGACCACGTGGGTGCCACCGTGGTGGGTGTCACTGTCGTGGGTGTCATTGTTGTGGGTGTCACTGTCACGGGTGTCACCATCATGGGTGTCACTGTCGTGGCTGTCACCATTGTGGGTGTCACTGTCGTGGGTGTCACTGTCGTGGGTGTCACTGTCGTGGGTGCCACCATCACGGGTGCCACTGTTGTAGGTGACCCCACTGTGGTGGGTGTCACTGTTGTGGGTGTCACCTTCATGGGTGCCACCGTGGTGGGTGCCACCATCACGGGTGCCACTGTCATGGGTGTCACCCTCATGGGTGCCACTCTCATGGGTGCCACTCTCATGGGTGTCACTCTCATGGGTGTCACTGTCACGGGTGTCACTCTCATGGGTGCCACCATCATGGGTGCCACTGTTGTGGGTGCCACCATCATGGGTGTCACTCTCATGGGTGCCACTCTCATGGATGTCACTCTCACGGGTGCCACTCTCATGGGTGCCACTCTCATGGGTGCCACTCTCATGGATGTCACTCTCACGGGTGCCACCATCCCGGGTGCCACCATCCCGGGTGCCACCGTGGCGGCTGTCCCGGTGGCGGGCACAGCGTGTGCTGGGCGCGGGCTCCCCGTCGGCGCGGCACCGCAGCTCCCGCCGCTCGCCCTCCACCCAGACCCGGTGCGCCGGGCACCCCGACTCGGCCAGCGTGGGCTCGTCTTTGGGGGGGCACAGAGGGCACATGTCACTGTGGCGGCCACCTCGGGGACCCGGTGCCATCCCCGGTGCATCCCCGGTGTGTTCCCGGTGCCATCCCCGGTGTGTCCCCGGTGCATCCCCGGTGCCATCCCCGGTGCCATCCCCGGTGCACCCCCAGTACCATCCCCGGTGCATCCCCGGTGCATCCTCGGTACCATCCCCGGTGCCGTTCCCGGTGCCATCCCCGGTGCCATCCCCGGTGTGTCCCCGGTGCCATCCCCGGTGCCGTTCCCGGTGCCTCCCCAGTGCCATCCCCGGTGCCATCCCCGGTACCATCCCCAGTACCGTCCCCAGTGCCATCCCCGGTGCATCCCCGGTGTGTTTCCGGTGCACCCCCGGTACATCCCCGGTACCATCCCCTGTGCCATCCCCGGTACTGTCCCCGGTGTGTCCCCGGTGCCATCCCCAGTGCCATCCCCGGTGTGTCCCCGGTGCCATCCCCGGTGCATCCCCAGTACCATCCCCGGTACCGTCCCCGGTGCATCCCCGGTACCATCCCCGGTACCATCCCCAGTGTGTCCCCAGTACCTCCCTGGTACCATCCCCGGTACCATCCCCGGTACCATCCCCGGTACCATCCCCGGTACCATCCCCAGTGTGTCCCCAGTACCATCCCCGGTACCATCCCCGGTGCCATCCCTGGTACCATCCCCGGTGTGTCCCCGGTGCATCCCCGGTACCATCCCCGGTGCATCCCCGGTGCCATCCCCGGTACCGTCCCCGGTGCCATCCCCGGTACCATCCCCGGTACCATCCCCGGTGCCACCCCCGGTACCATCCCCGGTGTGTCCCCGGTACATCCCCGGTGCATCCCCTGTGCATTCCCTGTACCATCCCCGGTGTGTCCCCGGTGCCATCCCTGGTACCATCCCCGGTGCATCCCCGGTACCATCCCCGGTACCATCCCCGGTACCATCCCCGGTGCATCCCCGGTACCATCCCCGGTGCCCCCCCGGTACCATCCCCGGTACATCCCCGGTGTGTCCCCGGTGCCATCCCCGGTGCATCCCCGGTGCCATCCCCGGTGCATCCCCGGTACCATCCCCAGTACCATCCCCGGTGCCGTTCCCGGTACATCCCCGGTACCATCCCCGGTACCATCCCCGGTACCATCCCCGGTGCCATCCCCGGTACCATCCCCGGTGCCATCCCCGGTGCACCCCCGGTACCGTGCCCGGTGCCGTGCCCGGTGTGTTCCCGGTGCACCCCCGGTACCGTCCCCGCTTCCATCCCCGGTGCCATCCCCGGTACCATCCCCGGTTCCATCCCCGGTTCCATCCCCGGTTCCATCCCCGGTACCATCCCCGGTACCGTCCCCGGTACCGTCCCGGTGCATCCCCGGTACCGTCCCGGTGCCACTCACACTCCACGCGGACGGTGACGCGGCGGCTGCGCGTGCCCAGCGCGTTGGTGGCGTTGCACACGTAGGTGCCCGCCCGGGCCCGGGTCACCGGCCGGGGCTCGGTGCTGCCCGCGGGGCCCCCGCGGCGGCCGCAGGTGACGGTGGGCTCGGGGTTCCCGGTGGCGCGGCAGGACAGCGCCGCCAGCGAGCCCCGCAGCCAGGTGCGGGTGGGGGGGCAGCCGCTGGCCGGGATCTCGGGGTGGTCTGGGGGAAAACAAAATAAAAAAAGGGGTTTTGGGGGGGTCTGGGGTGTAAAAAACAAAATAAAAAGGGGTTTTGGAAAGATTTGGAGAGAAAAAAAACAAAATAAAAAGGGCTTTTGGGAAGATTTGGAGAGAAAAAAACAAAATAAAAAGGGGTTTTGGGGAGATTTGAAGAGAAAAAAACCAAAATAAAAAGGGGTTTCGGGGAGATCTGGGGGGAAAACAAAATAAAAAGGGGTTTCGGGGAGATCTGGTGAGAGAAATAAAAAAAAAAAGGGATTTTGGGAAGATCTGGGGTGAAAAAAACAAAAAAAGAAAGGGGATTTGGGGAAGATCTGGAGAGAGGAACAAAAAAAAAAAGGGGATTTTGGGAAATCTGGGGAGAGAAAAACAAAATAAAAAGGGGATTTGGGGAAGATCTGGCGAGAGAAACAAAAAAAAAGGGATTTTGGGAAGATCTGGGGGGAGAATAAAAAAAAAGGGATTTGGGAAATGTTGGGGAGAAAAAAAAAAGGATTTGGGGAATGTCGGGATTTCGGGGAATAAAAAGAAAGGGATTTGGGAATGCCGGGATTTCGGGGATTGGGGGAATTTTGGGATTTCGGGGAATAAAAAGGGATTTGGGGAATTTCGGGATTTCGGGGATTTGGGAATTTCGGGATTTCGGGGATTTGGGAATTTCGGGATTTTGGGGAATAAAAAAAAAGGGATTTGGGTATTCCGGGATTTCGGGGATTTGGGGAATTTTGGGATTTCGGGGATTTGGGAATTTCGGGATTTCGGAGGATAAAAAGGGATTTGGGGAATTTCGGGGATTTGGGGAATTTCGGGATTTTGGGGAATAAAAAAAAGGGATTTGGGGAATTTCGGGATTTCGGGGATTTGGGGAATTTCGGGATTTCGGGGATTTGGGAATTTCGGGATTTCGGGGATTGGGTATTCCGGGATTTCGGGGATTTGGGGAATTTCGGGATTTCGGGGATTGGGGAATTTCAGGGACTAAAAAACGGATTTGGGGGATGGCGGGAGGGGCCCTCACAGAGCACCGCCAGCCGCGCCCCCGCCTCCTTTGTCACCGCCGTGTCACCGACCGCCAGGCTGGCCCGGCACCGGAATTCCCGCCCGTCGTCGTCGCGCCGAGCCACCAACCGGAGCTGCAGCCGCGGCTGCGGCCCCTCGGCCAGGACGCCGCCGTCGGCATCGCGGAGCTGCAGCCGCGCCGCCGGCGGCTCGGTGGCACCGGAGCGGCACGTCACCGTCACCTCCCCGCCCGCCGCCACCGGGGCCGGGCTCAGCTCCAGGGCGGGCACCGGCAATCCTGCGGGACGGCGCCGCGGGTGGATCCCGGGGGGTTCGGAGCTCCCCGCGCTCCTCCCGCCGCCCCTCCGGTGGCCTTACGGTAAACGTGGAGCCGCCTCCGCGCCGTCCGCGCCGCCGTGGCCACCGCGGCCGTGCAGCTGAGCTCCCGCGGGCCCGGGCTGCGCGGGGCCAGCTCGGTGCTGGCCGTCACCGTGTCCCCGGTCACCTCCGCCGTGACGTTCAGCGGCTCCCGGTCCAGCGCGGCGGTGACGCGGATGTCGCCGGCGGGGAAGGCGCCGGTGACGCGGCAGCTGGCGGCGGTCACGGTGCCAACCTCGAGGATGGCGGGGACCCGGAGCTGCGGCGGCTCCGGGAGAGCTGCGGGGACACCGGGACGGGGAGGGGGGACGCGGCGTCACCGGGACCGTGACGCATCCCCAGAACCGGGGACGGCGACAACGAGGGACAACGACGGTGCCGCCGCCGCCGCCACTCACCGAACACCGAGAGCGTGACCGGGACGGCGGCGCGGGCGAAGAGGGGCCCGTGCGGCCGCAGGGACAGCTCGGCGTGGCAGGTGACGCGCTGGCCGTGGTCCCCGCGGGTGGCGGTCAGCCGGTGGCTCACGGCCACGGTGGCGCTGCCCTCGGCGTCGCCGAAGCTCTCGGTGCGCAGCGTTTCGGTGCCGCGGCGCAGCGTCACCGTCAGGTTCCGCAGCGGGGCCACCTCCAGCACGCGGCACGTCAGGGTCCGGCTGTCCCCCTCCGCCACCGGGGCCACCGGCTCCAGCTCCACCCGCTCCGGCAGCTCTGGGGAGCGAGACCAGCGCGGTGTCACCCTCGGTGTCCCCACCGTGTCCCCTCCCCCGGTACCGGCAGCTCTGGGGACCGAGACCAGCGCGGTGTCACCCTCGGTGTCCCCGGTACCGGCACCGGCAGCTCTGGGGACCGAGACAGTGTCACCCTCGGTGTCCCCACCCCCGGTACCGGCTCCAGCTCCACCCGGTACCGGCAGCTCTACGGACCGGTCGAGACCAGCGCGGTGTCACCCTCGGTGTCCCCACCCCGGTACCGGTTCCAGCTCCACCCGGTACCGGCAGCTCTGGGGACCCAGCTGGTGCCACCACCGCGGTGTCACCCTCGGTGTCCCCTCCCCGGTACCGGTACCGGCAGCTCTGGGGACCCAGCCGGTGCCACCACCACGGTGTCACCCTCGGTGTCCCACCCCGGTACCGGTGCCACCACCACGGTGTCACCCTCGGTGTCACCTCCTCCGGTACCGGCTCCAGCTCCACCCGGTACCGGTGTCACCCTCGGTGTCCCCACCCCCGGTGCCGGTACCGGCAGCTCTGGGGACCAAGTGGGTGCCACCACCATGGCGTCACCCTCGGTGTCCCACCCCCGGTACCGGTGCCACCACCGCGGTGTCACCCTCGATGTCCCCTCCCCGGTACCGGCTCCAGCTCCACCCGGTACCGGTGTCACTCGGTGTCCCCACCCCGGTACCGGTGCCACCACCGCGGTGTCCCCCTCGGTGTCCCCACCCCGGTACCGGTGCCACCACCGCGGTGTCCCCCTCGGTGTCCCACCCCCGGTACCGGTGCCACCACCGCGGTGTCACCCTCGATGTCCCCTCCCCGGTACCGGCTCCAGCTCCACCCGGTACCGGTGTCACTCGGTGTCCCCACCCCGGTACCGGTGCCACCACCGCGGTGTCACTCGGTGTCCCCACCCCGGTACCGGTGCCACCACCGCGGTGTCCCCCTCGGTGTCCCCACCCCGGTACCGGTGCCACCACCGCGGTGTCCCCCTCGGTGTCCCACCCCCGGTACCGGTGCCACCACCGCGGTGTCACCCTCGATGTCCCCTCCCCGGTACCGGCTCCAGCTCCACCCGGTACCGGTGTCACTCGGTGTCCCCACCCCGGTACCGGTGCCACCACCGCGGTGTCACTCGGTGTCCCCACCCCGGTACCGGTGCCACCACCGCGGTGTCCCCCTCGGTGTCCCCACCCCGGTACCGGTGCCACCACCGCGGTGTCCCCCTCGGTGTCCCCCTCGGTGTCCCCCCCGTGTCCCCCCCGGCACTCACGGTAGACCAGGACGCCGGTGCTGGCGTTGGCCTCGGTGTCGCCGCAGCGGCCGGTGCAGGTGACGGGCCCGGGGCTCCACCGGGACACGTTCCGGAGGCTGAAGCTTTGCCAGCGGAGCCCCGCGGGCCCGGGGGTCGCGGGCACGGGGGTCTCCAGCCCCAGCGTGGCGTTGTCGCCCCCCGGGCAGGCGCTGCGGCTGCAGTTGACGCTGACCGAGCCCCCGAAGGCCACCACGGCCACCCGCGGCCACGCCGCCACCGTGAAGGTGCCCCGGGCGACCCCTGCGAGACCCCCACCACGGGCAGTGCCCCCCAGTTCCGGCTGGGGGGGAGAGACCTGAGACCCCCCCCCAAAAACTGCCGAGGTCCCGGGGGTGTCCCCGAGGGTCGCCAACCCCCCCCAGTGCAAAAGGTCGCTGGGGTTTTGGGGGTCCCTGCGTGTGACCCCCCCCCGGTTTTTAGGTTGGGTTGGGTGGGGGTCTCTGTGTGCTCCCCCCCATCACTAAACGGTGTTTTGGGGGGGGTCTCTGAGGGTCCCCCCCTCCCACTCCCGGGGGTCCCCCAAGTTCGTGTGCCCCCCCCCCCAAAAAAAAAAATAAATTCGGGCTCTCTCCCCTCCCCCCCCCCAATTAATGATCGCTGTTTTTTGGGATCCTCAGAGACGCCCCTCCCCCATTTTGGAGGGACCCCCCCCCAATTAATGATCGCTGTTTTTTGGGATCCTCAGAGACGCCCCCTCCCCATTTTGGAGGGACCCCCCCCCCCAATTAATGATCGCTGTTTTTTGGGATCCTCAGAGACGCCCCCTCCCCATTTTGGAGGGACCCCCCCCCAATTAATGATCGCTGTTTTTTGGGATCCTCAGAGACGCCCCCTCCCCATTTTGGAGGGACCCCCCCCCCCAATTAATGATCGCTGTTTTTTGGGATCCTCAGAGACGCCCCCTCCCCATTTTGGAGGGACTCCCCCCCCCCAATTAATGATCGCTGTTTTTTGGGATCCTCAGAGACGCCCCCTCCCCATTTTGGAGGGACCCCCCCCAAATAATGATCGCTGTTTTTTGGGATCCTCAGAGACGCCCCTCCCCATTTTGGAGGGACCCCCCCCCAATTAATGATCGCTGTTTTTTGGGATCCTCAGAGACGCCCCTCCCCATTTTGGAGGGACCCCCCCCCCCAATTAATGATCGCTGTTTTTTGGGATCCTCAGAGACGCCCCCTCCCCCATTTTGAAGGGACCCCCCCCCAAAAAACCAAGCCTGGAGCGCCCCCTCCCCCCTTTACCTGCGAGCGCCAGAACGAGGGGGGGCAGGAGCCGCGTGGCCGGGCCGGGGGGGCCCATCGGGAGAGGAGGAGGAGGAGGAGGGTGGGGAGGAAGAGGAGGAGGAGGGTGGGGAGGAAGAGGAGGATGGAGCGGACGGGGATGGAGCCGGCGAGGAGGGGGAGGGGGATGAGGATGGGGAGGGGGATGAAGCGGACGAGGAGGAGGATGGGGATGAAGGGGAGGAGGAGGAGGATGGGGATGAAGCGGAGGAGGAGGAGGATGGGGATGAAGCGGACGAGGAGGAGGAGCGGGATGAAGCGGAGGAGGAGGAGGATGGGGATGAAGGGGAGGAGGAGGAGGATGGGGAGGAGGATGAGGATGGGGGAGGGGGATGAAGCGGACGAGGAGGAGGATGGGGATGAAGCGGAGGAGGAGGATGGGGATGAAGCGGAGGAGGAGGAGGATGGGGAGGGGGATGAAGCGGAGAAGGATGATGGGGATGAAGCGGAGGAGGAGGATGGGGATGAAGCGGAGGAGGATGAGGATGGGGAAGGGGATGAAGCGGAGGAGGACGGGGAAGGGAGAAGAGGAAGAGGAGGATGGGGAAGAGGAGGAAGAGGCGGCTGAGGCCGAAGGCAGCTCCTCCGCTGCCGCGCGCGCCGCCGGTCCCGCGGGGCTGCTCCTCCCCCCGCCCACGCCAAACCCACCCCGCCCCCACCCCCCAAAATTCCCCCGCCCGGTGCTCGGCGCTTCACGAACCCCCCACAAACCCCCCAAAAATCCCTCCCCGAGCCCCTCCCCGCGGGGGCGGCTCCGGCCGCGCGTGGGCGACGCGACAGCGACAGACGGGACCGGGTGGGGGACGGGCGGGGACACCGGCGATGTCCCCAACCGGGCGGGACAATGTCGGGACACCGGCGATGTCCCCAACCGGGCGGGACAATGCGGGGACACCGGCGATGTCGGGACAATGTCGGGACAATGCGGGGACACCGGCGATGTCCCCAACCGGGCGGGACAATGCGGGGACACCGGCGATGTCGGGACAATGCGGGGACACCGGCGATGTCGGGACAATGCGGGGACACCGGCGATGTCGGGACAATGTCGGGACACCGGCGATGTCCCCAACCGGGCGGGACAATGCGGGGACACCGGCGATGTCCCCAACCGGGCGGAACAATGCCGGGACACCGGCGGTGTCCCCAACCGGGCGGGACAATGCGGGAACACCGGCGATGTCGGGACACCGGCGATGTCGGGACAATGTCGGGACACCGGCGATGTCCCCAACCGGGCGGGACAATGCGGGAACACCGGCGATGTCGGGACACCGGCGATGTCGGGACAATGCCGGGACACCGGCGATGTCCCCAACCGGGCGGGACAATGCGGGGACAGCGCGGTCACCTCCCCCCAGTGCCACCCCGCACCCCGGGGTGCTGGAAAAGCGCCCGGAATTGCAGAGGGTGTCACCTGCAGCCTTTCTTGGAGGGACGTGTCGCTGTCACCTCCCTGTCCCCTCCCTCCTCCTCCTCCTGCTCCTCGCCAAAAACTCCCCGGGGATTCCGTCCCAGTCCGTCCCCGTCCATCCCAGTTTTATCCCAGTCCGTCCCAGTCCATCCCAGTCCATCCCAGTTCCATCCCAGTCTATCCCAGTCCATCCCAGTTCCATCCCAGTCCATCCCTGTCCGTCCCAGTCCATCCCAGTCCGTCCCAGTCCGTCCCAGTTCCATCCCAGTCCATCCCAGTCCGTCCCAGTCCATCCCAGTCCATCCCAGTCCGTCCCAGTCTGTCCCAGTCCATCCCAGTCCATCCCAGTCTGTCCCAGTCCATCCCAGTCCATCCCAGTCCGTCCCAGTCCGTCCCAGTCCGTCCCAGTTCCATCCCAGTCCGTCCCAGTCTGTCCCAGTCCATCCCAGTCCATCCCAGTTTTATCCCAGTCCGTCCCAGTCCATCCCAGTCCGTCCCAGTCCATCCCAGTCCGTCCCAGTCCATCCCAGTCTGTCCCAGTCCATCCCAGTCTGTCCCAGTCCGTCCCAGTCCATCCCAGATTTTGGGTGAATTCCAGACTTTTGGGGTGAATTCCAAGATTTTGGGTGAATTCCAAGATTTTGCAGTGAATTCCTGGATTTTGGGGTGAATTCCAGGATTTTGGTTGAATTCCAGACTTTTGGGTGAATTCCAGGATTTTGGGGTGAAATCCGGGATTTTGGGGTGAATTCCGGGATTTTGGGGTGAATCCCAGGATTTTGGGGTGAACTCCCGAATTTTGGGGTGAATTCCAGGATTTTGGGGTGAATTCCAAGATTTTGGGGGTGAATTCCAGGATTTTGGGGTGAATTCCGGGATTCTGCAGTGAATTCCCGGATTTTGTGGTGAATTCCAGGATTTTGGGGTGAATTTCGGGATTTTGCAGTGAATTCCAGGATTTGAGGTGAATTCCCGGATTTTGTGGTGAATTCCAGGATTTTGGGGTGAATTTCGGGATTCTGCAGTGAATTCCCGGATTTTGTGGTGAATTCCCGAATTTTGGGGTGAATTCCCGGATTTTGGGGTGAATTCCGGGATTCTGCAGTGAATTCCAGGATTTTGGGGTGAATTCCCGGATTTTGGGGTGAATTTCGGGATTTTGGGGTGAATTTCAGGATTCTGCAGTGAATTCCCGGATTTTGTGGTGAATTCCCGGATTTCGTGGTGAATTCCCGGATTTTGGGGTGAATTCCCGGGATTTTGGGGCCAGCGATGTCCCAGTACAATCCCAGTTCAATCCCAGTACACACACACTCATTTATTGTGATTTTTTTTCCCCATTTTGGGTTGAATTCTCGGATTCTGGGCGAATTCCCGAATTTTTGGTGAATTCCCAGATTTGGGGTGAATTCCCGGGATTTTGGGGTCACAGGGGCTCCTCGCACACCCAACTCAGCGACGTCCCGCAGGGAAACTCGGCCCGGAGCCCGTCCGGCCCCACGGCCCCACACTTCTCCCAACTGCCCCAAAAAAAGGGAAAAACGGCTCAGGATCCCAAAAATCCCCAAAATCCCCAAAATCCCCAAAACTCCCAGCCCAAATCGCAAAAACAATCCCATAAACGACCCCAAAAATCCCGTTAAAATCCCACTAAAATCAAAAAAAAACCCCATAAAAATCCCATAAATGACCCCAAAAACACCTCAAAAAAATCCCATAAGTGACCCCAAAAATCCCATAAATGACCCCAAAAATCCCAATAAAAATCCCAGAAATGAGCCCATAAATTCAATTTAAAAATCCCATTAAAAATCCCATAAAAATCTTATAAATGACCCCAAAAACCCCATTAAAAAAATCCCATAAATGACCCCAAAAATCCCATCAAAATCCAAAAAATCCCATTAAAAAAAATCCCATAAATGACCCCAAAAATCCCATAAATGACCCCAAAAATCCCATAAAAAATCCCATTCAAATCCCATAAAACATCCCATAAATAATCCCAAAAATCCCATAAAAAATCCCATTCAAATCCAATAAAAATCCCATAAATAACCCCAAAAACCTCAGAAATTACCCCAAACTCCCCATTAAAAAATCCCAAAAAAATCCCATAAATGACCCCAAAGACCCCTCCAAAAAAATCCCACAAATGACCCCAAAAATCCCAATAAAAATCCCATAAATGAGCCCATAAATCCCATTTAAAAATGCCGTCAAAATCAAAATCTCAAAAATGACCCCAAAAACCCCATAAGTGACCCCAAAAATCCCATAAAAAATCGCATTAAAAATCCCATAAATGACCCCAAAAATCCCATTTAAAAATCCTATTAAAATCCTATAAAATCCCATAAATTACCCCAAAAAACCCCATTAAAAATCCCACAAATTACCCCAAAAATCCCATTAATGACCCCAAAAACCCCATTAAAAAACCCCATTAAAAATCCCATAAATCCCAAAAATTCCAAAAAACCCCAAAATCCCCAAAAACCCCAAAATCCCAAACCTGGATTTGGGGTCGCGGTCGTGGATCCAGGAGGGGCCCTGGAGCTGGGCCTGGACGTGGAGCTGGGAACCAGTATAAACCAGTATGGACCAGTATGGACCAGTATAAACCAGTATGGACCAGTATGGACCAGTATAAACCAGTATGGACCAGTATGGACCAGTATAAACCAGTATGGACCAGTATAAACCAGTATAAACCATTATAAGCCAGTATGGACCAGTATAAACCAGTATGGACCAGTATGGACCAGTATGGACCAGTATAAACCAGTATAAACCAGTACGGACCAGTATAAACCAGTATGGACCAGTATAAACCAGTATGGACCAGTATAAACCATTATAAACCAGTATGGACCAGTATAAACCAGTATAAACCAGTACGGACCAGTATAAACCAGTATGGACCAGTATAAACCATTATAAACCAGTATGGACCAGTATAAACCAGTATGGACCAGTATGGACCAGTATAAACCAGTATGGACCAGTATGGACCAGTATGGACCAGTATAAACCAGTATAAACCAGTATGGACCAGTATAAACCATTATAAACCAGTATGGACCAGTATAAACCAGTATGGATCAGTATGGACCAGTATGGACCAGTATGGACCAGTATAAACCAGTACGGACCAGATGGACCAGTATGGACCAGTATGGACCAGTATGGACCAGTATAAACCATTATAAACCAGTATGGACCAGTATAAACCAGTATGGACCAGTATAAACCAGTATGGACCAGATGGACCAGTATAAACCAGTATAAACCAGTATGGACCAGTATAAACCAGTACGGACCAGTATAAACCAGTATAAACCAGTACGGACCAGTATAAACCATTATAAACCAGTATAAACCAGTATGGACCAGTATAAACCAGTATGGACCAGTATTTATGGGATTTAGGGGGGATTTGTGGGATTTGGGAATTTTTTTGGGGGGATTTGGGGGGAATTTGGGATTTTGGGGGGATTTATGGGATTTTGGGGGAATTTATTGGATTTCGGGGGAATTTGGGATTTTTATTTTTTTGGGATTTCAGGGATTTAGGGGGGATTTATTGGATTTTGGGGGAAGTTGGAATTTTTATTTTTTTGGGAATTTTGGGATTTAGGGGGGATTTATTGGATTTCGGGGGAATTTGGGATTTTTTATTTTTTTGGGATTT